GTCCTATCTATACTAGCTCGCTTCGACTCTGAGGTTATCTCGCGATCTTGCGCCTTTGGTGTTTTGTCGATCGAAGAAATGCTGTCCTTTCCTTTGGAGTGCCTACTCACAGCGCTCTTTGGGCGAGACTCGGAGCTCTTCGGGCGCTCGCTGATCGTTGATGGCTCAGACTCGGTACCAGGATGCACGTCTCCGTCTGCAAGTTTTTGAGATCGCCTTGCTCGGCCTGACTTCAGATCCAGAGGAGCGGGCATATCAGTCTTGGATCCGGCTTCATCCATAAACGGATCCGGTGTGTCAGAAAGCCATGCCTCGATTTTGGCTCCACGGCCTGTAGTCGGCGTAGGGGTAGGTCTCGGTGGTTCAGGTTCGGGGATCCCAAACATTTTTCTGGACTCGTCGATCATGTGCGCGAATATACCACCTTTGGGTGGCTTTGCTGGGCCGCGCTTGCGTCTCCTAGACAGTTCAGAGAAATCCGCCTCGCTTGCTGCCCATGCATCCTCTGGAGGAGGCGAGCGCGTCTTCAGTCTTTCCGAGAGCTCTGAAGCTTCGACGGACCTGGGATGGTCCGTCTCGTAGTCGCTCTCGGTGATGGTATCGATATTCTGTCGTGCACCCGCGGACTTGGTGTCTCGAATAGGAGATTTGGTCCCTGCCCCGGTACTTCGTTTGCCCTGTAATCGAGGAAGATCGCGATTTTTCTCGTCTTCGTCTTCGCTATCGTCGTGCTTCCCCCGTGAAGATCTAGCCTGCCCTTCATTTGTGGTATATTCGGCTATGCGTCTGGGTGTGGGTAGATTGCGCGACGAGGACTGGGTCGAGGCTCGGTTTCGCGTTCGCTTCCAATGCTCGTCACTCACCACACGTTTGCGGGGCGTGCTGTGACTGCGCTTCCTTGTGGTCGGGGGGTTGTCCTTGATCGGTTTCTCCAGCTTCTCCAGCTTCTCTACCTTAACCTTGGCAGGCTTCGGTTTTGGTTTCACATCATTTTCCTCGTCATCGGCGTAGGGGTCGTCGACCGTCACAACTCCGCCGCCTTGTTGCTGCCATTTTCGCACCCTTGAGCGCACCGTGTTCGTGTCGTGCGCCCCCAGCGGTTCTCCGATGTCTAGCGGTTTTGAGATCGATTTTGGAGTTCCTCCACGATTGGAGGGACGTTGTGGCGTTGCAGGAGATGGCATCGGTACCTGTAGAGCAAATCAGAGGCATTAGTAGGGAGCTCTCGAGGGTTTGTCAAAGTAGGTACCCGAATAAACACGGGTTTGTTGACTTCACAGTACTTTGTACTTACCAATCCCCCAGAGATCTCTTAACAAATTTGGAGCATCTGCTATAAGAAAATCCTTCAAGGATCATGAAAAACAATGCGTCTGGGCAAATGTCGGGGCTGACAAGTTAAGCCTCTCTCCCCCTCTCCACTTGGTTGCCGGGAAACCAAATCGGGTTGACAAGTTCGTCTTAAAAAGATTCTCCCCCCCGTTTATCTGAGTCTTTATTTAAAGATCTCTTAAATTCAAAAGAAGTTACTGGGGGAGACAAGGCAGTGAATATTAATATTGCCGGGTTGCGCGTCAGCTGCCCTGTGTGCATGAGCGTCATAGGGTACACTTAGTGTGAAGATATTTAATCTATTAAACCTATTGAACCTATTGAACCTCGGACTATGAATGGATTAATAGGATATAGCCTTATTTAATCATCTTATAAGGCTATCTTATATGATTCCAGATATTATACACTGAGTTTCCCCTTCTAACCCTCACATCTTCTCAATCCCAACCAAATTCCCTTTTTCGAACACAGTTCTAGCCCAATGCTCCACCTAACCCGCCACTACCGATGACGGAAGAGGTGTTACTTAGTCTTGTCCTTTTCCGCCTGTTTGAGTGCAGCTGAAATTGTGGAGATGCTCCGATAGAGATAGTCTACCATAAAAACGTCAGCTTATAACGGGCACGGGAATTGCATGACATACAGGCGGGAACAACAATCCAGATGAAGTTCATAAAAAAGTAATACAGCCAAAAATAATACGGCTCCGGTCGGGAATATGGTTGCCCGTGGACATACTCGTCAAACAAACTGGTGGCATAATACAGTGTGTCGCCGTACAGATGGCTCATGCACACAATTACTTGGATGGGGTGGCGCAGGGAATGCCTGATTGCGGTCAAGTATGCAACAACAAAGCACAATGGTCCCCACAAGACCTTTGTGGGAATCAGCGGTGAATCCTCGTATGGACCTGATATATAGCTGTGGGACTTACCACGGTCATTGTCTCCATACATAACACCAACGTGTCCGAGGTCATATACCGGGAATCCGCTAGGGCGTATTCTTTCCATAGTTGCCCAAAAAGATCTTGTGCAGAAGCCATGTGGTTATGGTGGACCATAAAATAACCCTCAAAGAAGCAGTGCAGAGTTCCAGCTATATCATTGTCAATCTCGAAACTTCAATATTTGCTCGATTGTCTTACAGAGCACAAACCACAAGATGGCGATTCGATCTGCCATGCGCAATGTCGGTTTCACATAGCTGGCCAACACGAAAGTCACACTAAGAAGAATAGTACATGCCCCACCAGCAGAGACGAGGAGCTCCAACACTGGAGTCTGGTTGGGCTCATAACCCACAATATTGGCATCCAGGGGGTAGTATGGGTGAGACGGAGGACTGGGCATGTTTGCAGTTCTGAGTGTTGAAAGTCTACTCTAGACTATTAATGTCCCAGTGTCTCGGAAACAGAAATATACAAAGTATAGAAGGGTCAATGGACGAGACGTCGGAATGTCTGGCTTTTGCGAAGGGGGTGGATTTGTGTTTGGCCAATAACAAGCTTAAAAAACACTTGAAGCTTAACTGGATCTATAGATGAAGCCTCAATTTGAGACAATTAGAGATCAGATTGATCAAGCAAAAATAAAGAACTAGGGACACAAGCTTGAAATATTTGCGCCTGATGTTTGTTTTTTGGCATATTTTGAGGGTCCGTATGCCTCAGGCATTAGTTCTGGCCTGAGGCATTATATCCACTCACGCATCTGTAGAGTACTTAGATACAAGTTGACTACCTAGCTTCCTAATTGAAGGCCTACAAGGCCACACAGCTAATATTAGCAAAGCTGGCTAGATTTATGTGCTAAACGATAACCCTCCATTTGCAGAAATAACACTTCCAGTGCACCACCCAAACTCCGCATTACAGATCGTCGCAACCAGCCCAGCAATCTCCTCAGCATACGCTGCCCTCCCTCCAAATTTCTTCCCCAACTCCTTCACCTCCGGGCTATCAGTCTCCCGAACAGGCACCAATGGTGTGAGAGGATTCCACAATGAAAGCCCCTCCTTGACCTCATCGGGTGCAGACATGTACATGTCCGTCATGACAGGACCAGGGTTGATCGAGTTGACGGTGGCTCTCTCCGCCAGCTCACGACACCACACGCGTGTCATGGCCTCAATAGCACCCTTAGTTCCCGAATAAAGCGAAGTGTTCTCCGTCCCCGTTTTCGACGCAATACTCGATAGCATCACAATACGCCCCGAGCGATCAGTGGGAAGATACTCCCTGCAGGCACCAGTGAGTAAAAGTGGCCCAAGAACATTTACTTCATAGATTCGATAGAAGTCGGATTCTTTGACTGATTCCAGTGGACCGAGGTATAACACTGCGGCGTTGTGAACGATGATGTCGATTTGGAAGGATCCTGTGTGCGAGTCTGTGAAATGCTTTTTCGCACTTGTCACGATTCTCGCACATTCCTCTCGCAAGGTAATATCTGCTCGGATGGGCAGTGCGCGCACTGAGTATTCCTTTTCGAGATTGGCAGCGAGTGCTGTTGCGGGCGCGTCGGAGGCCTCGGTTGCATAGTTGATGATCACGTTGCAGCCTTTGCTGGCCAAGTTTTGTACTATTGCGGCTCCAATACCTGAAAGACGATCAGTATGGGATGCCCAATGAACCAATGTCGGACTTACTCCGTGCGGATCCTGTTACTAGGGCGAGCTTTCCCTCGTATATGCGAGGGAATGCGCCTTGATAACTACCCATATTCACAGTGATATGATTGAACAAAGACCAAGATTGGACCTCAGTCGGAACGAAAGCAAACCAGACACGCCTGCTTATGAGAGATGCGGGCTCATTTGGCTCCAGTATTAATGGGACTTGTCAGCCATATTATTGGTCTGCCCCCAAGCTCAATGGAAATGAAGGATTGACCCCCGACTTAGTACGGAGTACTAATGTGTACAAAAGTACGATGTGCAACGGTTTTATGACCCACATAGATTGACTCAAATAGTTAGCAGACGTACAAGTCGCTAATGAATATGTGGATACTAGCGCATAACTTGTGCCGTGTCCTATATTGTACAAAATATGCTAAAGCAGCTAACCAAAAAGGAAGGGCAGCTCCGGATCCGCGAGACCGAAGCTGATATCTAGGAAAACATCTCCATTCCCAATTTGCTAGAAGCCCTAGAGCAACAATGCTGTCGCTAGAAAAGTGTCAGATTTTCTTTTTACTCGGTCGAACAGTTCAACCCATATTCGCTGGCCTCGAAACCTCTCACTATCCGACTGATTATCTTCGATTGATGATTAAATATGTTTCGCACCAACACTCACATTTCATCAATCCTTACCCTACACCTGACGCTGCCATAGTCCGCCATATTCCACCTATTGATGAGAGCTGAAAGTATCTATCATAAACGTGGATTCAACAACCTGCTTTCGAGCTTTAGATGCTCTCCAGTCTATTCTGAGAAAAGCTCAAACGTATCGTAGATTTCGAGGTCACTCAATTCACACGGCTCTGCCACGGAATATCCAAGCGTCCATCTGGCACTGCGTCTATTGGTATGAACTTGATCGGGAGATCTTGCATCATGGGCCGCTGGGAATAGGATGAATTCGATGTGCCACTGGATTGATTAATCATGCAGATGGCTAGCTTCTTGAACAAATTAAACAAAAATGGAGATGCTCACTCATCGAAGAATCTCCACGGTGGTGGCGTTGAATTATCGAGAATGAACCTTGCATCTTGCAAGTCCAATCCAGGCGAGTTCGCATGCCTGACCAACACTTGCAGAGCCCGATAGTCTTCTAGCTCGACTGCTGTGTTCACCATATCCTGTGACACTTCGAGATTTGTCCGGTGGGTAAAGAAACTCCTTAAAAGCCATCCATGCCCTGCATTCAAGGCATTGACCACAAGTTTATCGGTCACTTCAATTTCAAATTCGCTCTCGAGGACACAATTCAGAATAGACACAGATGTCAAATCGTCCCACCTGTCTGGAATATGGTTTGCCGTCATCACTGCGTCTAGAATATCCTGGCACAATCTGGAATCTTTCACCCGGGAAAAAAGAAACCCAACAATCGTGGCGCTCGAATAAAGAGATGAATCCTGAACGTTCAAAAACATCTTAGGACAAACTCCAATGTGTGGGGCGAAGTTCCAAAGCATCTTGAGCATGTCAACGCTACAGTCGTAATTTCCTGATGCCGCAATCAGGATTTCTTCGGTAACAACAGCATTGTCTAGTCTCAAAAGATGTTTCATCATCTCTAAACTCCCCTTGGCCGCGGTGGCTAACAATACTGGTGGTGTGGCCTCGGTGATTGAACATCGATCCAAGACCAAGCTTAGCATAGAATGGTTTCCGGACTCGGCCGCGGGTTTCACATGCGCTTCACAGAGATCAAGTTGTCCGAAATAGCTCTCCAGAATCTGCAGTGTTGCATAACCTGAAATCAAATTACTGACAACTGCGTCAACAACCATGGAGGATGGTTTCTCGATCGTTGCAGTTCGCTGCAGTAAAAGCTTTGTCATTTCATCTCCGAATTGAATGTTCTGAGCAGCTCCAAGTAGCATCTGGCTCGAAACCGTCGTCGAGCCATGTCGATCGAGAAGTTTCAACATGGGTTTGTCGTAGTCCAAACTTTTCAATGCAGCCACGATCACCGCATCGGTAATCTGAATCTCCCGGTTGTCCTCCAGAATCACACCCAGATTGCTGTTCCCTTTGTAGGGATTTTTCATGAAAGCAATTAAAACCTCTTCTGAGATCATCAGATCAGGTTTCATTTCCAGGAGCGCTTGAAGGATTTCCGAATGGGGGAATGGAATCTGAGCGCATTGTAGCATCATCTGGACCCATAATTCATCGTCCAATGGTCTGTTCATCAAGGATACAAGGAGCATGACCATTCGAGCCCCATCATAAGCATTCTGCGCTCCACCAACAATGACTTGGGACGTAATTAGGCCTCCGGCCTTGAGCAGAAGCTGGAAAGAAACAACCATTCCCTCTTTTGCAGCATGGACCATAACCTTTTCTGTCACCGGCCAACCGTGATCAAGAAGAATTTGAATCACCTCAGTGTTTCCATTATCGACAATGGCTCGCATCATAGCCCTCTCGGTCCCTTTGGTCTGCCCAGCGCGTTCCAACAAAAGTTCTATTTTGGCTCGCATCCCGTCTTTGTAACCCGCGCACGAGCTAGCTGTCCCGATAACATCACTTGTAATGATTGATCTATCATTCTTGTCCAGAGTTTCTCTCAGACGTTCAATGGGCATGTCCGCTATAGCACTATTGAGTATCTCAGGGGTGATTAAGAGATCGGGGGCTCGGCGGAGAAGTCCATCAATCGCGGTGTAAGAATATTCGCATTCTTCAATGAGCTCCGTCGTAATGTGGAGATTTTTATTATGATCAAGCAACAGCTCAATGGTTTCTTGATCTGCCCCATAGGTATGCACAATGACCGATCCGGTAATCAGGTCAGGCTCGATAAGACCCAAGAACCATTTGAGCGGCTCGATGGCGTTGTTTCGGACCAGAGCTTCCAAAACGCGCTTTTTCAGTAATCGTTCTGTTGTTTCTCCTATCAAATACTCCAAAATATCATACTTGTGGTATGTCGTGGCCGCCAGAATACATGCTTCTTTGACGTTATCATCGAGCTCATGGTAGTGGTCGAGGCGAAGAACTTCACCGAACCCGAAGACGCAGGAAAGCACAAATCCCAGGTCCCGCGATCGAGGGTAATTTTGTAACAGCCGGAGAAACTGCGCACCGCGATCGTTTTCCAGTTTGCGGCGCCGACGAGAACGTATCCAACACTTTAATGGGCAGCTCGGATCTGAATCATCAAAGAGAAAATAGCGCAGGAGGCGAGAAATATATAGTTCCTCGTTTGCTCGATTCATTTCGCCAGCACCCACACAGTGTTCATTCCAATTTCGCAAGGAGTAGTCATGTATGCCGTTCTTGTAAGAGTCGATTTCCGAGAAAGTAACGGTGTCTTGAACATTGAGGTCTAGTCTGCCGAGGAATTGTTCTGCGCTGGGCGAGCCGGAAGCACCGAGCAATCTCAACAAACAAACTTCCGCGGCAAAGGTGTTGCTGGATTTTGAGGAGTATTCAGACTTGTTTTCCAAAAACTCTCGCACCGACAGATGGGCGAAGCGGAAGGTCCGTTTTCCTTCTTGCGTTGTCTGAGAGATTACGAAATTGCTGAGAAGATCCAGGATGAAGTCTTCATCGATTTCGTATGCCTCAATTTTCACGAAGCTCGTGAGAGCTTGGGAGAAGTCTTCCCAACCAAAAACGCGCGTCGTGCATAACATCCATTTCAGCGTGTTTCGGAACAAAGCCCGATCTGTGTCTTCGGTGCTTTCGAGTGCCTTGCTGTAAAGGTCCTCGTATAGCTCGCTGAGAGGGCGTGGGATCCTTAACATAGCGAGTCGAATGTCCCTCTCCGTACGAATCCAACGAAGGCTTTGCAGCTGCAACTGGGCCCAACGGAACCTAGAGCTTGTAAGCTGTTGCGTAATCGAAGACACGGAAATGTCCCAACTCACATTCCGTTGGCCTTAGATATAGTGTCTTCCTTGATCAATGCCTTCAGGTTCTCTTTTGTGGCTTTGAATCGGATATATGGAAGTAGCTGGTTCTTTGCCACAAGCCTGTCTGTTTCAAAGTTCACAAATTTCTCAATATCGGACCCATTCTCTACCCACGTCACTTGAACCCCGGAATGTGCCTGGATAGATAACCTCAAGTCACCTTCTTCACGCGAAGTGACAAAGATCTTGACTAGACTAGTCGAGTTGTCGATGATATATTCCAGTGCCTCGACGAGTTCTGCTCGCTCCTCCCTACTGCACTCATCCAGAGCGTCTACCACAATAGTGGTCCGGGAATGGGCTTCACTCAGTTCAATAATTAAGTCACGGCATTGATACAGACTAGGAACTCTCGTGGAACCATCTGCCAGGTGTAATTTCCTGTAAAGAGAAAGTGTTGGGGGAGCAAGTGGCTGGTTTGAAGATGGACTGGAAAGCTGACGGGCAATACATCCGAGAATACTCTGTGCATTTGCACGTTGGGGCTCAGCAGTGTTGCGAGAACAATAAAAGTAGGCATGAGCGAAGTCTTCGATCTGGCTGGAAACATTCATACCATCCTCAACGACCATTGATGCTAAGCAGCTTTTGCCCGCACCCTGAGCACCATGGAGCCAAAGCAGCGAGTTTGTGCTTTCGGCTTTCCATTCAGTGAAACTTGCATGTTGCAAAACCCATTGGCATGTTCCGTCCAGGACTCTAAATTTGATCGTGGCGTGGTGGTCAACATACGGCTGAGAAGACAACCAGTCCAGCATCTGTCGTCGCTGTATACCTGAAAGATATGTTAGATTACGGCGATCGTTTAACACAGACACTTACTGTCTAAATGATCCTCAACCTTGCTTAAGGGGAAGAATGCCTGTGAGATTGGCTGTTTCATCCGACTGAGCGTATCTTGCAGTGAATGAATGGTACTCATGTCTACGGAATCATTAGTGATGGGCATTTCTGCTCGTGGTTTGAGTAGTCTCCTTACCTAATGACAAGGTCGCGAGATGAGAGGAAATCTCATTATTCACTATTATGGTCTAGTGATCAACCACATGGTCCGACCAAAACAAGGTAAATGGAGTCCTTACTCTCACCTTGAACCAAACTCGCGCACCGGTCTACCAATCTTTCGTCCGCTTCCATTTTGTCCAAAAGTTCCTGGAAGTCATTCTGACCAAAAAGGCCACTTTTCAAAATTCGCACTAGAGGCTGTGAGCTTTGCCCAGTTACAATTGACCCTGGCAATGTGAGCTCACCTCCTGTTTTATGTTCGAAATAGCGCTTGGCTCCAACAAGATATTTGAGGATCGAGCCGTACACCCCCACAACTGCCTGCTCAAGCTGTTCTGAGGCAGCTGAGCCTTTTTGAACGTAAATCTGCTCGATAATTTTGTATCGCGCCGTCATTTTAGTGATTCTTTCCGCACCCTGCACAACGAAATCGAATTTGCTGAAATCATTGATAGCCATCTGCAGCAAAAATCGGGCTCCAGCCCACGGTAAGGCAGCGTGGCCTGGGTCATACTGCACGATTTGATCGCCCACGGATTTGAATAGATCGATCCAGTGCGCGACTTTGCTCAGGAGGTCACGAATGATAAATTTCTTCCCTTTTCCCGGGATGGTGATTTTCCATCTCTTGTGGACGCATGTATCGTATGCTTCCTGAGTAGTTTGCTCGAGACTCTCCAATATATTTTCATTTTGTCGAGATTGCTTGATACCATTGTCGCTGTCAAATTCTAGCAGCTGCTGGTCAGCTTTGTCGAGTTTGGCTTTCGCAGCCACCCAGAGTGACTGGGTCTCGGGCATCCTTTAGCATCAATACACGTTTAAAACGATAGTTGGCAGAGACAGCTGACTAGAAAAGTCAAAGAAAAAGAGTGTCCCCGCGCTTATAGCTGAGCTAATCTGGAGGGGCTGTGCACGTGCATATATTAGGGAAGGAATATGGAGATCACCATAATGTACCTGGATCATTTAAGATGATTCATCTAATATGGGATGTTTGGCTAGACGCGTTCTTGGTGATCTCTCTTGGGATCCGATGGAAGACACCTCTCGCCTTTAACTGAATTATAAGATATAGGCTTATCCAATGGAAGTTTTCTGATGTCTCTTCTATCCCCAGATCTAGGACCCTGAAAACTGGCTTTAAACCTTGAAGTTCAACATTTGAATATGGTTTCGAACATGTGTGTCGATAGTCAATATTGACTGTCAAGCATTTTACTTCACCATGCTTTTCGAAGATGCCATTTTCCGCGTTTGCCCTCGGTCGCCTTTTTACTTTGGCTCATCCTTCGACTCGAGATCCTGCGACGGTCACCCGTGAAGTCCAACTCCCCCAACTTTGCAATCTATAAATCGCTATTATATTTCTCATCGGATTAGGAAGCAATGATTTACTATTTAAGAACATTAGGTCCTACTATTTGTGCTTCTTGTGCTGCAGATCATTTTTACGGTGTACCGAGTGCAAACTAAACCTCCGCAAAGCCCTTAAATGGGCCCGGGGTCCGGGCCCAAAGCCCAACCTAACCCGTAGCCCATTCGTGGGGGCCTATTAGGCCCCCCCTTTATAGCCCATTTAGAGAGTTCAACTAGCATCTTGTATTCGCTGTATTCTGACCTTCCACTTATTATATAGAGTTTAAAATTTTAGAATTTGTACGGGAGTACTACTTTCTACTAAGTGAGCTGCTGTAATTTATGAATTGTCTAAATAACGCGTTTTCTCGCATTTTTAAATGTGATATATAAACCTAAGTAAGATATGATGTCGAATCTATTAAAATAATACAACTTTACCTTGGAATAAAGGCTAAAAACGGGACCTAAACATAAGGTATTGAAAAAAAGTCACGTTTTCGGAATGTTTGTATTGTTTGGTGCTTATTGGGCCTATTAGGCTCCTATTCCAAGCCTAGTGGGCTTTTACCTCGGGGCTAAGGACCGGGCCCAAACCCCAGACCATTGGTGGGTTGGGGCGGGTTGGGCTATGTGGGCTTTGCGGAGGTCTCGACCCCGGCAGCAGCGAAGCCACAACTCTCGCAGTGATCATCCTGTCCATTACCAAAGATCAACGAGCAATCCATCCATCTGAAACGCTCGTCGCTTAATTCTCGGCCTTGCCTATTCTCTAAATACCTGACTTGCGCACATTATGGCTCATCCCCTTCATTCCAGTTTCTCGAGGACTGTTCACGGCCATCTATATTTTCGCGTCCGCCTGATATGGTACATACTGCTTCATACATGTAGGTAGGTATAGTTCAATGGTGCAACATAAAGCTAACTACCATTTGGCCAGAAATCCTCCATCAATCGGCAGACAAATTCCATTTATGTATGACGAACACTCGGATGCAAGCCAAAGTGACCCCTGCGCTACCTCATGGGCCTGTCCGAACCTGTTTAAGCTGCTAACCTTGGGCGCAAACTCATCATGAGTGGTTCCCATTATCTCCAATGCTGCGACCGACATTTCACTCTGTCCTTGTTAGACCGTCTCTGACTTAAATATGGGGAAAGACTTACGAAGATTGCTCCAGGTGCAATGGCGTTAACTCGGATACCCTTAGGACCACCTTCAGTTGCCGCATGCTTGGTCAAGCCCAGAAGTGCATGCTTAGCCGCAGTGTATGCTGGCATATTCGGCTGGGGTGAATATGCGTTGATGGAAGCAATATTGACAATAGAGCCCTTTGAGCCCTGCTTTTCCATTTGCTGCATCTGATATTTACAGCACAGCGCGGTACCAGTCAAACTGACATCCATCAACCTGCGCCAATATGACTCGTCAAAGTCAATCAGGGGAGTCTTATCGGGGGACATTGCCGCATTGTTGATTGCCACGTCCAATTTGCCGAAGGCGTCGACTGTCTGCTCAATGAGGTTCTGTACATCCTCTGACTTGGAGATGTCAGTCTCCACAAAACGGATTTCTCCCAAAGCAGAAAGCTCCTCTGCAACCTGAGCCCCCTGCTCTGCCTTCACATCGGCAATGACTACCTTAGCCCCTGCTCGGAGAAAGACAGAAGCGGTAGCCTTGCCCATGCCCTGGGCAGCGCCTGTGATGATGGCAACCTTGCCTTCAAGAAGGGGGAATATAGGTGCTTCTGGTACGTTCATTCTGCAGAAGATCGGCTAGATGACAAATGGATATAAATATGTGAAGCACAGGAGACAAAACAAAGATTTTTGTTTCGGTTTAGTGTGGCCGGTAGGATTTTATGTTCAACAACCGTTTAAATTTGTGGATCGGCATTGGCCCCTTGCTCCTAAGACTATTCAACCTCGTGTATCCTCGAATTGGTCTGCACAGACTATAATCTACCCCATTCCCTAGAAACGACCGTTATTGTGTCAACATTGTGTGGATAAAAAAAATCTAGAGGAAGACCCACTTTCCGAAGCCCCGGCCTTGGTAAAACGCCAATATCAATTTAGTGTCGACGCCGTCAAGCCCTAGCGGACGGTGATCGCCCACTCTACCACTTCTTTAAGAACAAGGCAATCAAACTTATCAAGTGCTATTCACGGAGTACAAGACATATCGTACATAAGTACTTAATTTACACATGCATGAGGAGATTTTATTTTGCCGCCCTGTCCCTCTCTTGGTCTCGGCCCCTCTCTTGGTACATCTAGACGCCGATCTGTGGATAATAGCTATAATTCCTGTCCTCAAAAGGCAAGCCAACTACAGAGTACGCGTCTTTGGCCTCATAGTGGAAAACACCCGATTCTGGTAATCGATGTGGAATTAAGCTACACTTTGTACCCTGTACCTGTATGTACTTCATGGATCATCTCAACACTCGCTATGCTTACTATGTAGACCGGCCACTAGTATCCCTTCAGCTTATACCTAGGGCTCAGTCCAGCCTAGTTCAGGAAAGAGTCGTCCAGGACCCACTTTTCCTCCAGTATGCTGCAGGATGAAGCAGAACCGTTACGAAGGTACGATGTAGTAGCGTGACGGCCATAACACTTGCTAATATTTGAATAGGGGTGATTTGCAGTGATGAAAGTCTCTCGAGTCCCGTTTGTGGGCTTTTCCCTTTTTCCTAGTCCTTCCTGTTCTCTGTCTCACTCCGATATTTGAATATTTGAAATGAGTGAATCTCAGAGTCCAGCTCAGGACCCTGAGAAAAGTCGATCTGTCACACGCACGCAAAGTGTCAAGGGTGGAGATGTACCAGAGACCAGTCTCGTCAATATCTTGGTATCCTTAGCCAATTATGTTTGCGTCAATGCTTGTACTAACTTGGGAACTAGGTCGTTTGCACGGCATGCCTAGGAGGATTCGTATATGGATTTGCGGCTAACGCCCTCTCTGGCTCCCTCTCCCAAACAACCTTCATTGCAAAGTTCTTGTCGACACCTGATGCAACATCTCGACAAGATGGTATGCTTGGAGGGTATGTTCAACCTTGCTGCCAGACAAAGGAATCTTTAGCTAAATATTTCTCTAGTTTCCTCGGAGGCGCCCTAGTTGGTGCTATCCTACAGGCACCCCTAGCCAACAAGTTCGGTCGACGAATCGCCAATGCCGTTGCTGCCGTCATCGTCATTATCTCGGGTGCCTTACAGGCTGGTGCCGTCGATGCCACCATGTTCATCGTTGCGCGTGTCATCTGCGGCGTCGGTGCGGGTATGGTATTCTCGAATACCCCCGTGTATATGAGTGAAATATCGCCTCCACACACACGTGGAATGTTGGTCGGTCTACATGGTGTAGGAACGGTGGTCGCATATATCCTGGCCGCAGTTTGCGCGCTGGCGTTCAGTTTTGTCACCACTGAAATGCAGTGGCGATTTATCTTCATCGTTCTGACTGCTGTGGGTGTTATCTACTTGGTCACACTATTCTTCATCCCCGAGTCTCCTCGTTGGCTCATGCAACAAGGACGTGACGACGAGGCGAGACAGGTGCTGGAATATCTGCATCGTACTAAGCGAGACCCTAGAGCTGCTTTTGCTCTTGCTGAGGCGGTTCAAATCAAGGCTCAGGTCGACGCAGAGAAAGATACTCCGAGCGGCTATCTCTATATTATGCGCACAGCGTCTCATCGCAAGCGCGCGCTCTGCTCTATCCTGTTGTGGACTATGGGTCAAGGAACTGGCATCACTGCTATCGCAAATTTAATTCCTACACTTATGGGTGCACTGGGCTTTGGTACTACGATGCAACTTGGACTTGGCGTTGTCTGGACAGTGTGCGCGGTAATTGGTTGTGGAATTAATGTTTTCCTCCTCGATAGAGTTGGACGAGTCAAGTTGTTGGGTGAGTTGGGAAGCTTTTCCGTTGGATTGTGTGCCTTCTTATATACTAACCGCAACATTCGCAGTGATCGGTGGGTTTGGCTCCGCTGCTATCATTAGTGTTATGGCCGCTCTTGAAAAGTTCTACCTCAACACAACCTACACACCGGGCATCAATGGCGCCGTGGCCATATATTTCATCTTCGGTGCCTTCTTCACCTCCACCATTGAATGTACCGCATACGTTTATGGCTCGGAAATTTGGCCGACACACCTACGCAGCGAGGGAGCGACCATTGCATTGGTCAGTTTCTTTGGCAATGCTGTTGCATACAGTGCGCCTGTTACACTCGCTCTTACCAATATCGGATGGAAGTTCTATATGGTATTTGTTGCTGTCACCGTTGCAAGTACTATTGTCATAATGTTCTATTTCCCTGAGGTATGTTTTGGTTTCTCTTCATGCACCGTTAAGTCGCATCTAACAAGTCTTCTGTTTCTTTGTAGACCATGGGATTGAGTCTTGAGGAGATCAATGGTAAGTTCGGCGATAAGGTCGAGATGGAGCTTCAGGATGCCCTTGATGTTGAGGATACCAGCTCGCAACGCACAGTCTGAACAAAAGTGTGGTCTCATTTCAGGGCCCATGCACGTTCGAGTACGGCGGGATTTTGGGTTCATCGCGCCAACCGGGCTTTTCGCGGGCAGAAGGTTAACCAGCTGCCATCAGTATTTATACATATATGTGATCTCTTGAAATTCTAGCAATAACTACAATAAGTAGCCTACTAACAATACTAGGGTGTAGTTAGCGGTTATATTCTAAAAGACATCAGAAAGGACCTTAAAAAGACCGATAGAAAGATGATAACAAAGTGGTTTTTATAGCGCTAGATTTTCTCTGCGAGATGTACAAGCGATTTTTGCAGTAGGGCATATATCGAGCTTACAAAACTATTTAAAATGGAGAAATAATCTCATGCTTATACGGACTTGTACATAGGCTGGCGCGGTAGACCCAGAAACCTGCCGTAATAGAAATGGATATTTAGATTGTTCTTCGTTCGCATCTGTGAAGTTTCTGTTGCTGACACAGCTACGTATATAATTTTGATTTAGCATTCACAATATGGCCATTTACCGCATTTTGCAAGTACTTTTTTTTTCTCGCTAGAGATTCTGAGACCTATACGGAGTAAGTAGTGGACCTTTCCCGTCCATAGCGCTCCCAGGCCAACGTTTCGGACGGCTCGCGACCTTGCCAAGGCGGCTGGCGCTGTCGATCGGGTCAGGGAGACATAGTACGGAGTAGACAACTTGATAGCTAATTCGTCAACTCTCCACTTAAAATCTCATGTAACATGCCTCTATTCATATGGATATACCTTTCCCAAGCTTTCCATATCAGATCAATGAATGCTAAGAAAGACACTCGTAATTCCAGCTGTCCTTTATACAAATGATTCGGGATATTATCGATACAGACACATGAATGTGATGGGCTGATCCACTATTTCAATGTTCTGGCCTATACTCCGTATATGTACCTATGTAAAACGCCGGACGCCTCGTGGATTGCCCTAGGCCCCCACCAAGCTAGCGGAAGCACCATGCTTCTTTTCCGCTGGAGCCAAACCAATTGCAGGGATCAAGACACCAGTCACGCGCCAGTACTCCGTACTGGGTACAGCGGAGATGTACGCACCCTTGTTCACAAAGGTACTGTGAGATGTATCGTTTGATTCTCACCCCTAGCGTGGATGAGCTTCCGAATAGGGCCTCCCAAAATTTAACAGGACTTGAAATTTCCATTATATCGCAGCAACACATAATTTGACTAGGATGAGACCTTGAGAGAGAAAGATCTACGAAGGAATATACCAAAATGCAGGGGATTTCGAGAAACGGAAGAGGAAATAGAGAGCTGAAGTACTACCTATCCGAACATTCACAATGTAGGATTAAATCGAGCCAGATATCGCCACGACTATGGTGGACTAGCTATGATCGTACCATGCCGCTGGAAGCGATTCCTGTGTTGATCCTTGTCGGGATGGATTTCCATAATTTTTTATTCTTTTTATTTTTGTGCCCTACGCCTACTAATGGTATGCTAAGCCGTTATGCCTAGCTGGAAGTGGATTGGGATCACCACTGTCAGAATAGATCATAATTCAAGATCATTAGCCCCCTATTATTATCTTGGTACTACTGTCTCTTCTTCTGGTGTGCCAGTATATTAAACGGCAATAGGAAGCAATGTTGAATAACATTGTGTCTGTACCTGAATCCTGACTCCACCTCTAACATGGTTCTCCGTGGTAAGGGTCCTACGTTGGTTGGAGTACTGTGGTTCGAAACACTATTGTGTATGTTTGTGCTTGCACTGCGAATCTACACACGGACTGTGATCCGCCACAGTATCGGTTGGGATGACTTACTGCTTATCGTCTCTTGGGTATGGGCCTTTGTGGGACATCAGTAGCTCTTGAATACTTTGCTAACTTGTGATGGCGGGCTATAGGCTCTGATGGTTGCCTTTTCAGGCCTCTGTACAGCATCTGCGCATCATGGTATGGGTGTGCATGCAAGTGAAATCGCAGTCGAGGAGACTCCGCAGGGAATGCTACTGCTCTTGATCGGGCAAAGTGTTATATCGATTTCCATGGGTTTGAGCAAGTGCGCAGTCGCTGCCTTCCTCATGCGGATTGTCGTTAAAAGATGGTATGCTCCCCTACAAGCTTGAACGTCACGAACCTTGCCTGACTAGTAGTAGGCACAAGATCTTCTTGTGGTTCTGGAATATCACTATCATGGCCCTGAGCATTCTTCTGGCCATCACTGTGTTTGCACAATGTACACCAGTTCAGTCGATCTGGGACTCGCGAGTCCCGAGTAATGGCTGCTCGTTGAATCTCACAATTATGGCTACAATCATGTGCGGTATGTTTTGGTTTTGTCCTTCCAAATACAGCCTGTCCCTCCAGCTGGTCTAACAAATATTTAGCATGGTCCGCCGTCCTTGATTTTGTTCTCGCTCTGTTCCCATGGGTGGCCCTGTGGAATTTGAACATGAAGAAAAAGGAGAAATACACTATTTGCCTCTCCTTGAGTCTGGGTATATTGTTAGTACTTCTTTCTTGACTCCTCAGCCACCAAGCTATGGCCTTTCCCTTTATTCATACTCACACATTATCACAGCGCCGGAATTTGCGGTGTAATCCGAACAACAGGTCTCGACGCTTTAACTCAATCAACCGACTATCTATGTGGGTTTCATAAACTTTTAACGGTTTGCAGATAAAGTAAGCTAATCACAGGACAGATGCAACCACCGACTCGGTAATTTGGACAATGTCGGAGCTTACCACCACCATAATTTGTGTCAGCATCCCCGCGCTTCGCCCTCTCTACCGCTCTATCCGCGGTAACAACTCATCCAACGACGCTTCATACTATAACAACATCCCTCCCTATAGAAAAGGCAGCGGTGGACGCAGCGGCGAACGCAGCGCAGAACCGACCTTTGCCATGGATACAATAACAACGACCACCGTGAATGCCAAAGACATTGATGACGAGTCTGGAGCTAGTGGGAGGAATGAAGATCACGGAGAGGATACAGACACGAGACATATTCTGCAACATCCACATCCTCAGTCACCTGGTATCTACCAAGTTAATGAGGTGAGGGTATCTTACGAGGATCGAAGGCCTGGTGGTGGGATGGCTGGTGACAACATGCCTTCTATCCCTGTCAAGGCCAAGCAGCATATTTGATATCTTCAAGTATTGCTATATATTGTTTGTCCATGAGAATAAACCAGCTGCGGTAAAGGTATGGCCTTCTGTAATCACCACGGGGGAATTCGATCGCACTGGCTAGAGAAAATTGGTTACTTAGGTATCAAAAAGGAAACGCAGAGGTGCATCCAAAATTAGACCTAAAGGAAATCTAAGCATGGCAGAAAATATCCATACCAGGTACACCATAATTAGTGTGGCGATACCTTTGCTCTATGTTTGGGAGTACAGCAAGGCCACATTTCAAACTTGACCAGTTCTTTTGAGATAACTTGTCACATTCTACTCTTTATAGCTGTGTGCTAAACACTGTATCTATTATACAAGAGACCCAACATGACGGTATACCAACTTCCTGACTCTTCAAAAATGTCAGCTTGCCTCAAACCCACTTTCTCTTCAGCAACTCGATCCTCATAAACGACGACCCAATGGCTATACAGTTAGTGTTAGCGTTCAAAACTACCAAAAAGTCTAGAGAGATTCATGCTCACGATTCTGCTCCTCAAGCACACCTAGCGGGTCCTGTGCAGCCTGGATGGTCTTTCTGTTGTCCACGGTGATCATCATGATCTTCGCGATGCTAGGCACGCCATCCCTATCCATGACGAATAACATCCAGTATCCAGGAATTAGGATACCAGAGTCTTTTGGCAGGGTGGTTTTCCAGGTGTTACCGAAGAATGACGTGGCAGTAACGTCAAGTGGAATGCGGCGTTGATCAGTGTTGACAGTGTGGGTGTTGGTGCCCAAACGGATCAGAGAAGCTGTCCAGATTGGGCCGGAGGTCTTGAATCTCAGGGTGCTACCCACCAAGGCTTTATCTTGCAGACCTGAGATAATCTTAGGACGGGGACGGGGCTGTCCTGAGGCAGTAAGGAGGTAGGGAGGAGTGAAGATCTGGCCATCGTAGTGATTGGCCGTGCAATTGCCACAGAGACCACCGCCTGCGTTCAATACCCGAGCATCTGGGAGGAGGATTGAGATGGTATGATAGACTCTCACAAGATTGTTCTGCTGTAACTTCTGGAAAGAGTTGGTTTCAGGGTCATAGAGTTCTGGAACAAAGTGGACGTTTTCCTCGTTGAAGGCAACACCATACTTCTGGCCGCCGAAGATGGCGACTTTTCCATCGGGTAGAACGACCGTAGTGTGGAACACACGCTCATGGTGCATAGCGCCTTCTCTTCCGGCCGGTTCAACCTTTGGCAGCTCACCCGGTTCGCCGATCGTGATAATATGGGCTGCATCGGTGGCCCAGGATTTATCGTAGTCGGGAGAGCCACCGAGCGTGAGGATCTTTCCCTTCACGGCATCGAACATGATGGCATTACCAGACATGGAATCCTCATCCGCCATGCGACGTCCTGCCGCCTTAACACTTCCATTGTCATGAGCGGAGTACCAGTTCATCTGCTTGCTAGGCCCGGCCTGGAAGATACTCAGATCTTTCCAGCCGAAGAGCCATCCATGGTTGTCCGCTCGCCAAGGGCCTTCCATATCCTCGGTCAACATTGCGTTGACTTTGGCGTCGGGGAGCATAGTCCAGTTTCTGGTAGCAGGGTCGTAAACTTCAGCATCCTTATCGACGTTCGAAGCTCCAGCCCATGAACCTCCGATGACGAAGACACGTCCATCAGAGAGAGTTGTAGACGCCTGATATCCACGTCGGAGTTGCATTTCGGTTGCGCGAATCCACTTATCACTGACAGAATCAAAGAGACTAGTCTCGGAGGCATCATTGCCACCAGTCACAACCATCATGCCGGTGCCGTCATAAGAAATGCCGGGGCAGAACATATCGTGGTGGGTTTCGCTGACAGTGCGCTTGGAGACCTCGTCGGTCAATGGGTTCCATCGGGTCATGACGGTCTTGCCTCCCGGGGTGGAGTGGAATAGGTCATCAGCCCACGACGACCAAAGAGTAAGCATGCCAGATCCCTCCTGAGCACCGGAGACAGGCACGATAGGGAAATCCAGAGTTGGCCCCCAAACACCGAGAGCAGGGTCACGAGGAATGGTGTACAGAGTTCCATAGATGTTAAGTTCGGCGATACCGACCCAAGGATTCTCATCGTCGGCATTGGTCGTGATCTTCAAGTATCGGGCAGATGATGGTTCAAACGCGGACATCCGCTGTCTGTTTACATTGGGCCACATTCCATATGCGACAGGTCCCGTCCATTTTTCATTATCCTCGCTGACCCAGACCTTGTGCTGGGTAATGAGACCTTCCAACTCTATATCAAGTGGAGGAAGGACAACGACAGCGCTCACTTGGTACCACGCTCCAAGATCAACCATGAATTCATGTCCCTTGACGGAGCGGTCGCTGCGCCAGGAAGTAGTGTTCTTGCCATCGATCGCATGTTTGCATGGGAAGCGGGGAACGGTACTGCTGCATGTCAAGGTCCAGTCTTGACGGGGGATCCGATGGCCTTGATATGGAGGAGATTCATCTTTGAACTGCGGGAGCGTGGAGGGGTTGTCGGATTTGCCAAAGCCAGAAACACGCTCTCCTCTCATAGCTTCGTGCATGTATTTGGCCATACCATTGACTCCAACGGAAGCCCCTAGGAGGAGCCCGGCCCATTGAAGCTTCATATTGGGCGAAATTTATCGGAGGACGAAGAGAATGTGAAGGAGAAGGGAAAAGAGAAGCTCACTTCACCTGTGGGAGAATAAACTCTTTGACGTGACCCGGGGCACATATAAGGGCAGTACTCGGCATACTCTGCCGAGGGCAGAGCGCTACTCTCATTTAGGATCCAAGGGATTTTCAGCACGGAGTACGGAGTAGCCGGCAATCTATGCCAATATTACGCAAACTATGACAAGCCCGATCTCCTCGGGGGCAAGTGGGGATGCTATCCTCCAGTCAAGTAGCAATCTCGACATTGCTGAAGGTGAGCATGAGAGATAAACGTCAGTGATTGTCTGGGCCCACCTTGCGTACTACGACGTAACTGGGCACTCCTTTTTAGATCGGTGAGGAAAATTCCCCAAAGACTAGACTCGATCGGCGATGCTCGGCCAGAAATCAATGATCGGCCTCTCCTGCAGAAAGACACGGGTTGCAAGCCCACTCCGACGTAGATGGGGAGTTCAGCTGTGTGAGGTTATTCCTAGTCTGCATATTACATGTGGGGCTTCCAGCATTGGACACTTCCCAAAACTTGTTGTCACGGCTCGGCAATCGAAAATTGACCAATTGGCGATTGTCGATTTGGAGCAAAATTACTGCATGTCGATCATGGGTGAAAGAGGAACCACAATATGCGATGATAGATGTCCTCTCGGGTAGATAGTTCGTGCTAGCGGCATTTAGGTGGAGCCCGGCCCGCTTCCGCTGAGACACCCATGGATTCATCAAGGGTTAATCTTCAATCCTATCTTAATAACATCACGTAGGTGGAAGTATTTCAGCTGAACCCCAAGGAATTATCGGCATTCTTGCCCTATATACTAAATTCTTGCAGATGTGAGATATGTCGCTCCTCGCAGAAATGAGCAACATATGGAACATAATTTGGACCCATAATTTGTCAAGTGAAAAGTGGAAAGCTGAAAGCTCTCTGGCCCACATCCACTGATTTTCCGGTAACCTTGGAATAATTCCAAGATGAGCCCGCCCTACATACCTACAATGTTATATCCATACCCCACCAATCAATGACTGTCGTTCCATCCTCTTTTATCGACTAAAATGTGAAGTAGAAATGAAGGGCCCCATTATTCAGATGCAGATATATTGTACCGGTACATGGTAGATAGCCGCCGAAGCCGAGAGATCTGTACAATGTCCATCGATGTACATCTTACATTGCCAGATATGGATATTCCGAGATCTCCACTAATGCAACCAATGTGCTGTACCAGCCCGCAGGAACCGCGATACGTTCATGATATTTTAAAATGGTCCATCTCATTTGCTTGAGAGTGCCCCACCCGTCAAAGTTGACTTCGAAGTGGACTATGTTGATCTTTGGTATCGGAAGAACGCGACCCTATGATCATCTCTAAATTAGGAATCCCTTCAATTAATGGCCTGTGGGGCAGTGAGTTCACAAACTCAAGTGAATCGTCGTCAAGGCGTAGTACCGAGTATGCCTTCCCTTCTCGCTCCAAGGATGTCCGTCCAGCTGAATGTGGCTGTAATTGATTATTGTTATTGGATCTCACTCGGTGCTAATGTCGGTGTCGAACATGCCCCATATCTACTCCGTAATGGGCGACCTGATCCAGTAGCTCAATACTATGTGTGGTGCAATCACAGACCTGCTCTGCCCCGCCTCCTTCCTTTGTTTTTTTTCTTTTGTTAGAAAATGGAATTGTTGCTGGGTCGCAAGACGGCGTGCCACCCTTCTTTTTCATATAATTATCCCGTCCCCTCTGTGTTTTGACAGTAGCTTCCATTGACATTGGATCGTTCACTCTTTAAGAGTTCAACTTTCCATCATGAGTCTTACTTCAGCCATCAAGGCAAACATCCAGGGAGATGTTTGGTAAGTTTCCTGTGCTGCCGAATGTTCATATCTCTGGGTAGTCTTTCAAAATACTTACCTCAATCAGGCCTGGTCTCCCTAAAAGGTTTCAAAGCTTCCTCTTTTTTCGCGTTCGAGACCAAGTTGATTTCAAGAACCGATTGAAGACATTTATTCCCAAGATTACAACGGGCCAAGAGGCCTGTGAAATGAGCGAGACCATTAAGCAGGCAAGGAAGGATGCCCAACTAGCGAAGAGATCGGCTAAGCTTCAAGCTTTACCGGGAATCAACATTGCTTTTACCTCTACCGGTCTTGAAGCCGTAAGTTAATTGTTAACTGTTTCCACTGGCATTGAACAACCACTGATGAGAGGTTACTCATAGCTGGGAGCATTTGTGAATACCAATGATCAGATCCTTGTCAAAAAGGACAGACAGCTGTCTACAGTTTTCCGGAAGCAACAGCTCCGCGGTGGACTGTTCGAAAAGGGCATGTATGCGGATCTTGTGGGCGAGGGATGGGACAATCCTCAGGAGCTTCGAAAGGAATACCAACCCACCAGTAACAATGAGAGACTCATTGATGGTGTGATTATGGTCACCTCGAGCCTGAAGTCTGTCTTGGATGCCAAGGTGAGCGAGGTGAAGCAGCATTTCCTAGCTGAGGAGGGAGAACCTCTCAACCCAGACACCTATAGGCTCAGCCAGAACCCTTCTATAGAGTTGACCCTGGTCAGAGAAGGAAAGGTTCGCCCGGGTGCTATGAAAGGAAAAGAGCAGTGAGTACTCGTCAAACGACTGAGATTGTTTACGAGTCAGACTAACTCTCATATTCAGCTTTGGATTCAAGGACGGAATCAGTCAGCCTATCATTGAGGGCTGGGATGATAAACAACCCCAGGGCAAGGAGCCCAAAGCCACCAAGTCAGGGTAAACATACTCACAGCAGTTGACCGAAGGACTTAGACTGATGAAATGCAGATTGATTGTTTGTGGGCATGAGGGTGACCCCATGGGCCAACCAGCATGGGCAAAAGATGGCAGTTTCTTGGTATTCCGTGATCTTCAGCAGCTTGTTCCTGAATTCGACGAGTGAGTGACCTCTGATTGTTTCAAAGTTCCCCGTTTGGTATTGACCCATTCTTTAGGTTCATGGAGGAAAATGCCCGCCACGCCCCTTTTACTCAAGACCACCCCAAGCCAGCTGAAAAGCTTGCTGCATACTTGATGGGAAGATGGAAGAACGGTACGTCACATTCAGAGTGTCAAATATGTGTGCAACAATTTGCTAATTAAAGCAACATGCAGGAACCCCTGTGGATGAGTCCCCTCATGATGACTCTGACGAAAGCCTCTTCTCCTCAAACAACTTCGATTACCACCCTGTCACGGAGCATTTGAAGTGCCCCTTTGCGGCACACACCCGCAAAATGAGACCACGAGCTGACCTAGAGCATGACCATGCTGTTATTGTCCGTCGTGGCATTCCGTATGGCGAGGAAGTCTCAGCCGAAGAAATGACGGAGCGAAAGTCCGCCGAGGATAAGGAGCGTGGTCTTCTGTTCGTCTGCTACCAGAGTGACATCCGAAATGGATTTAACTTCTTGACTACCCGTAAGCACTCCAAACTTGAACTCTTGCATAATGTGCGACAAAAAAAAAAGGACTACCTCGCTAACATTTTATTTTCCTAGGCTGGGCAAGCAACCACCACTTCCCCGATCGCAAGACCAACTTCGTTGGTGGTGAAGGTCCGGGTATTGATGCATTTGTGGGCCAGAGACTGGACCACCACCCGCCTCGCTCTATCGGTCTTCCTGATGGCAAATTCCCCACTGAGGCTCGCATGCCGCTAGAAAGCTGGGTTGTTCAAAAGGGTGGTGAATACTTCTTCGTGCCTTCTATCTCAACATTGAAGAACGAACTCACGGGTCCTAAACCTATATTTGACCAGAAGAAACTGGAGGAACTCCGTGAAGAGTCCGAGTAATTATGGGGGTTCTGACAGCTATCTGTATGGTAGATATATATAGTGCCACGCACTTATCGAAGTTTTTTGATATAATCAATATGTCCTCTGGACATTTGTCATGATATGGTGAAGAATGTAGACGAAAGGACTCTTTCGCATGAGATAAATTTGCCGTCTGACATGGTGGGCTGCTATTGCTTTTTATATAGAAAACTCTAGAAACCCTTCAATCAAATATGGCCGCTCAACAACGCTAGAAAATGAAAGTTATCAGGTCCATCTATGGATGCTGTATCATGTTACTGAGGATGTTGAAATGGCCAATATCTCACTTTCTCTCACCACCGATGATATATTGTCGTTCCTGGTTGGTTTGTCCGAACAAGTCTAGATTCCGAGATGCTGCCTTAGGCATCAACTCCGCATAGCCAAGGTCCCTTTACGAGCTCACCCCTCAACTTACCGTGATTCCCCGACACTGTTTGAATGTTGTCGCTCCCCATGATTCTCCTTCACAATGGTATCTGAATCTCCTAGGCCATTGGGCATTGATGTTTCACGTTCCTCTATGGAGTCGCCACCAGCCATTGCCGCCTTGTTCGTCATCAGCTTCGACATCAGAGCCGGGTAAGTCGTACTCCTTCCCCTGGGCATCGTAGCTTCTCAAGCTCAGGAACTTATTGCTGACATTCTGCGACAATAGATATGTGGTCTCATGGAAGCGCACTGCACCGGGAGGTGAGCAATCTGTTATCTAGCCGAGGCTACAATCGCCCCAACGCGCAATACTGACACTCGGGTGAATAGTTGAGGTTGAAGGGGTTGTGGAATACAAATCACTGCCCTCTGGGCTGCACAATGTGACAGAGGACCTCGTGTATGTTGTTCAAGGTCAAAAGCTTCGGATTCGATCTTTGCTGATGCGCTCCTCTAGGTACTTCGTTCATGAACAGTATGCCGGTATCAGCGCGTTCCTCAATTATCCCGCCACGGAGGCCGAACGCAATGCAAAGATGTTTGCGATCGGAGTTCTGGTGCCCCTCAGCACCGGAAGACTTGGGAAGAGCTGGCGACACGCTCCAAGGCTTAAGGAGCTCACGCTGTTCGTATCTCCAGCCACCCGTCATAGACGAGATGCTTACTGACACCGGTGCTTGATAGGAAATACGCCGAGAACATGTCGGATATGCAGCATTTGTGCGATTATTGGGATACATATAGGATAGGAGGGAACGATTCTTCAGCGCCCGAGTCCCCCCTCGACTCGCCTCTGAGTCTTCGATTCCGACCCAGCGAGCGACCAGATCAGAGTCGCAACCGTGCCTTCAGCGATGCAATGGTACTGGAAACGTTCAGGCCGGCCCTGACGCCCTTCCACCCCGCTTCATCGCTTCCAGATTTCACGGAGTGTTTCGGACCTTTGATCTTCCCCCTCTACAGAGCAGCTTTGCTGCGCAAGCGCATTCTCTTCATGGGCGAGGCTCCTGTACACACATCTTGCAACTATGGTACGCCCCTACACGAATTTCAATTGATCTACTGCTAATCCAGATCTAGTATATGATCTTTCTCTCTTAGCCTCATTGCCAAACTCCCTCCTCCAGCTCCTACCTGACGATCGCATACCACCACTACGCCCCCGCCCCCTGTTCAACGTCGGCATCCACGATATCCCATACCTCTCCTCTTTCGATCCATCGCGCAGCATCATAGACCTTGAAACAGACCCAAGCTGGATCGCCTGCTCCACCGACACTGTCTTAACTATGAAACCCGATCTCTTTGACGTCCTCATTACCCTCCCGGCACCATACTCACAACAAACCGCCGAGCGAGCCTTCCCCAAAATATCCCTAGTCCATAATGCGGGCGGCAAACCCAACCAAGCCCAGCAAATCCAGCTAAAAGCAACCCAGCGTGACGCCCGTCGCTACGCTATGCTCCGCCGCGGACTCCGGCAATTCCCCAACGACCGCCCCACATCCCCAGACCAAGACCAAGACCGCTCAGACACAGACTCAACCTATTCCTCCAGCGCCGTCGTCGAGCCCGTCTCCTGGACCCGTCTCGCCTACACCTCCTTCATATGGTGGGCCTCGGCCGGCGAGAATCGCGACGGCCTCTCAGAGGAGGAAGAAGAACAGCAGATAGAACAAGACTCCCGCCTTCTGGCAAGCGTCGAGAGTCTCGCTCGTCCCCCCTACAACTCCACCTCCCACTCGAGCCCACCCGGAAACCCACCCCACGAAGAGCAGCAGCCGCGCGAAGTCGCGCTAGTCGCGTACTTCCGCCGGCTGACGTCGCAGATCTTCGTTACGCTGGCTGGTGCCATCGCGCGCTATGATAGCGACCTTGACGACGATGCATATAACGACGCGCCGTATATCGATGAAGATGAAGATGCTGAAGCTTCGCTCTCCATGTCTCGCCAGTCTATCCACGGCGACGAGGGGAGTTCGCCTTTACTCCGGCAGCGGTCGAGCGTGAGCGGGTCTCCGAGTCGTGGGTCGAGAGCTGGTCACCGCGACGGTGGTGCGAATGACATTGTCACGATCACGGTGGCGGATATGGCGGAGATGGGGCTTGATGTGTGGAGTGCGACTGACCGTGTCTTTGTTGAGGAGTTGGTTTCTTTGTGGTGGGGCCGTGGTGCGAAGGTTGATAGTGCGAGGATTAGATGTTGTGGGATCTCGGTTTTGTAGAGGCTGGTTCTCTGTTTTATCTTCGAGGTCTCGTTTGTTTCCATTTTTGTCAGGCATATAGTGTTAAACATTGTAGGTTAATATACATATTTTCCATATTTGAATATAGTTCTGGCATGTATTACAGAATTTGCGGGATAAAGAAGACACTGACTATGATAAAATATGTAGAATTCACTTTCAGCAGCCGAAGCCTATGTACAGAAGGAGAAAAGCAAGACATAGGAAAGGTGAGAAGAGGGACAAACACTGAAGCCGAGAATGTATCAAAGGAAGGACAGGCAGTTGGAGAATTATTCCATAGTATACTGAGGCTCATAACATCGGAGCTAAAAGATCCAAACACAAAACAAAACATATTGCTTCCAATCACGATGCAAATGAAATAAAGACAAATTGATGCAGCGCCGGGGGGTATTAGAGGAAACGACAAGCACCAGCAGACCATGCAAAAGAAAGACATAAATATGCATCATGGGACATATACCCCAGGGCATTCATTAACGTCGGAACATCCGAACAGGAGCACTCATATCTCGGCGTTCACCAAGCTCGTTCTCAGTCCTCGAATCGGCCCGAAGATTGGGGTTGGGAAGGCGTCGAGGTCCCCGAGCAGGGGTTGGGTTGGATCCCGCCGACGCGCGAGCTGCGCGGCCAGGCTCGCTGGCACTGACTGACCGCTGCTTGCTGTGAGTACGGCCTCGTCGCGCCCTGATCTGTGCGAGCGCTTGTTCGCGGTCGATGGGTGTATCGGGAATGCCAGGGTGCGAAGTGCGCTGTGACTGTGGCTCTTGTCGGGAAGGAACTCTCTTTGGGGGGTTGATGGGCTGGCGGTGTCCATGGGGTTCTCTGTCGACACGTCGCGATGGTCTTGCTTCCACAGACAGTGGTGCTCGCGAGTGTTCGGCGGCACCATCTGATGGGGTGGGACGGGGCATTCTGGTCAAGGCTGGTTCCCCCGAAGGTGTAAATGAGTCGACGTGTTGGTCGGGTGATGCAGACCCATCGACATGACCTGCGTGAACATCCAGTCGAGGCTCAGAGAGATCGGGCGTGTCGAAGAAATCCAACCGCGGAGGTCTGACGTTATCTCGGAGAGGAGATGGGAATGTCGTGAATGTGCCGGTCTCTGGAGAAAATGTAACCAGGGGCTCAGCTGGCATTTGCATCTTGGGCAGGTCTCTAGGTTCAGCCTTTACAGAAGGCGCGGTGTGCTGGTGGACAGGAACAGGTGGCGCGGCCAGAGGGGTACGACTTGGCTCGGGTTCTTCCTGGTGGATACTGTGTTGAGGTGATCTCACCATGAGAGTGGGGGCCTGGTGAACAGGAGATCGGTGGACGGGGGGTGGAGGAGGGGGAGGGCTGGCCTCGGGGGTGCTGGCTGGGTGAGGATGGACTTGTTGCACACTTGCTTGCTGAATGATGGCTTGCTGGGCCCGAGCTTTCTCTTCCGCCTCAATCTGAGGCTTTTGGAATGTGTTATAGTAATCAGCATCGTAGATGTAGCGACGGCCTTGGCTCTCAGCAAGCCTGCAAGAGCAGCGTTCGAACTGGCACTCAATGTTCAAGAAATGCACCATGTCTTCGGCTGCGACTCTGCGGCGACGCTCAAAGTCAAGCTCTTCCTTAATCCTCTCTAACAGATCTTCTTGCAGTTCAGCAGCCGTCTCGGATGCGGGTTGTTCACTCTCCGTCTTTGGTGCACAGTCCGACAAACGCGGGCGTTTGGGGGGAGTGGCTTCTGCATGGTCTTCTTCGCGTGCCGGGGCTGGGGAGAGAACAGATCCCGCAGCGGCTCGTTTCGGTCTGCGTGGTGTGGCCAAAAACGCGAGGTCCCCTTCCGCTATTGACAGTCTTCCGAAGTCTTCTTTCCGAATCTCATGGGCGCGGACTTCGAGGGTGCTCGAGTGGTTGTCGGTTTCAAGGGCACGGAATTTTTCTTTCAGAACTTCAAGTTCCTCTGTAAGACCGGCGAGAGCATAGGCGCGTTCGAATGCCTCCTGTTTGGCCTTGTCCTTCGACTCGCGTTCTGCTGCCACTTCGTCCTTCAGTGCTCTGACCTCTGATTTCGCGTGCTTCAATTCTTCTTGAAGCTTTACCACGGTCGAACCAGCGCGAAAAGCTTCCTTGCGGGCTTTTCGGATTTCCTTTTCGAAAATTGATCGTTCGTGGGCCTGTCGTTCTTTTGTCCCGTGTAGCTCTTCCAGCAATGATTCGAGGCGTTCACTGATCCGGCGTTCTCGTGTCTGTGCTTCGGATAAATCTTCTTGTGCGGTGGCTAGGGCGGATTCGGCTTCCTCTCGGCCCATGATGGCGCGTTGTAGAGCGGCATTGCTTGCTGCAGAGTTGGCAGGGCTGCCTCCTCGAGATAGGCCATTTAGAAATGCCACTTTGGCTTGAACTTCCGAAACACCTCGGGTGCTCTTGTGATGTAGTGTGAGGAGATCGGAAGGTAGTGATGGAGAACCGGGGATGGTTTGTTGATTCATGCGTTCCGGCGAAACCGGATGCAGCGCTTTTGAGGGGCTTAGGATGGGACGCGTTGGAGACTCCATCGCAGTTGCTTCGTGACAAGTAATGGATCCAGCCGATGAAGATCACAAGGTCAAGAAAAGCATCACAGGAATAAGGAGATTCACGAGGGAAAATCACCGTTGTGGAGTTATGGTGGTGACGCACCCACAGAAAGATGTTTATTGCCCTCTTTGGAAGGATCATGTGACTGTTGCCCTGGTGACTACCTGCACCTTCCCACATGTGGTTAGACACTCACGTGCGGTACTCCCCACATCAGGCCTAGCGTCCCTATTTGGCTATGTCTGTGCGTCTAGGCATTGTCGATATCAAAATCTACTGAGGGGCCACACTGCGAGGATCATTTGCATCCATCAATATGCATGAAATTGTTACACTTCAACTTGGCCAGCGGGCTAACTACCTAGCAACACATTTTTGGAATCTGCAGGTACTGTCATCCACGGTCACATATGAACTTGACTCTGATATATAACCAGGAATCGTACTTCACATATGATGGAGAACAGTCTGATGTTGATCATGATGTTCACTTTCGACCGGGTGTTGGAGCAGATGGCTCCGAGACTTACACTCCACGCACAGTAATCTATGATCTGAAGGGCGGATTTGGAACATTACGCAGATACAATGCACTTTACGAGCTGACTGAAGACTCCACGGCAGGCCAAGGCTTATGGTATGCGGCTCAAATTGATGGACCAAGATTTTCAACCTAACTTCTGGCAGGGATGGACGAGAGATAGTCCAGAAGCAAACTCCGATTCAGCAAAGTGAATATCAGAAAAGCTTGGATCTGGGCACTCCAGCCCCTCGACTGACCTCAGAGTCTGTACGCTACTGGTCAGACTACAACAGGGTGTTTTATCATCCTAGATCCATTGTTCAGTTAAATGAATACGAACTACACTCCCAGACCATGCCTTTTGAGGATTGGAATGTTGGAGAAGAGTTATTCAAAAACCTTGATAAGGATCATGACCTACTGGATCGTGACGTGAGACCTCTTCTTGAAGAATGTGACCACTTGCGGGCGCTGCAACTGTTCTCCGGGTCAGATGATGCCTGGGGCGGATTCACTGCCCAGTATATGGAAAGACTGAGAGATGAATTCGGAAAGAAAAGCATTTGGGTCTGGGCCATTGAGGACGGCACGAAAACACAGCGGGTAAGTGACACCTTGGTGTTATTTTGAAGAATCGCGAGCTCGGTTGGCTAAGTTTCAAACTTTAATATAGCATCACCAGTTCAAGAAGGATACGAACAAGGCCAAATCACTTTACTCGATCTCCCCACTGGCGTCGCTCTATTCTCCAATTATTGACGTTCCGCATAAGCTGCCCGGCTACCTCCATGTTGATCGCCACTCAGAATGGCAGAAAACTGCCCTGGTAGCCTCAGCTATTGAATCGGTCACACTGCCTTCCCGATTGCGGCCATATCAGCACTTTGAGGCCTCTCTCGCCGGAGAAGATGGCACGCACACCATCTTCGAATTGCAATCTTCCATCAATAAAATCAAAATCAATGACGGTCAAACCAAAGCCTCCAATGAAGATGGGCCGACCAAAGCCGAAATTGAATTTGACATTGACTTTGCCTATGACGGCGAGTACAGAAAGGGCGCTCATATTTTCAACCAAGTCCAAGTAACCCGTGGAGACGAACCGGAAAGGGATAGCGAGTCTACCGAGGACAGCGACGTTGGGTACCTTCGCAAACTCAGACGATACAACTCAGAGGCGATGCTCCAAAGGTAGGTTTCCCATTTTGCGCCTTTACTTTCACTGTCTCAGCCGAGACGCTCACATTCTGTACCATTATAGTTTCCACACGCCACTCAGTATGCCTATTCTTGACAGTTTCCCGCACGACATGTTCCCCACCCGTGAAACAGGCACTGGAGTAAATGTTTTTACCGCATTGACCGCCTCGACACGGACGGCTGAGAGGATCAAGGCTATTTCGGCAACTGCCGCACGCCTGGTCTCAGTTGATGAGCGCGAGGCCTTGGTGAATGGACTCGGCGAGATTCGAGAGTACTACGAGACGGGTTGGAGTAGTGGCTCGGACGATGACGATGACTAGGCACTAGATAAGAACCTAGTATGTTCATATCGCAATTAAAAATGACAGGGTATATAGCCGGTTTCTGATAATTGCCTTTACTACTCCGTACGCCGATCCAATATACGGAAGAATATGTAATTGTTCCCCAGGAAAACAGCTAGAAGGATTCTGTGGCTTGTGACCCACTATCAAGTATCCAAATGTAGGGCCAACCGTTATCTAATATGTGCGCCCACCTAGGTATGGTCGGGAATACGATACAGGACCTTGGCTCACATGTGCACTTTACCCTCCACAATTTGAAAAGGCTGGGGACCTGCTTTTCCTATGGAGAGTTTAAGACATCCTAATTGTGTACTATACTTCAAGACATGACATGTTCTTTGCCCCGCATTTTCCTATGGAGTCCTTGGAATAATTTTAAGATTTTATGTGTGAGGCAATATGATGGGTACATGTAATTCATACACCTATGTTGTATGCAGTGTTATTGTACGGAGTACAGGGGCAGACAGGTTGTCAAAGACCAAGAGCTCGTTTACCCCGCTATTATTCTCGTTTGTCTAATCGAGGGTGTCATCAGTCCAATTGGGGGCTCTAATAGGCTAGACTGAAAGAAGATTGAAATGGATATACTGTGTACTAGAGGCTGTGGAAGAAAAAGGTGGTCCCACGAGGTACGAAATATCCATGTACTATACAACATACGTCAGAGGGAATATTAAAACAATAGAAAGATACCAGAGCAATCGAAATTAAGATCAAAGGAAACAGAAAGGGGAAAAAAAAGAAAAACAAAGCCAATACCAAGTAGGACCCATAGGGGTATCCGTATCAATCGCGGGGGCTTCGGGAACTTCCCTGCATGCCCAAATGGCTTTAAACCAAAACAGGGGCCTGTCAATGCCTGTCAATGCCTGTCAATGCCTGTCAATGCCTGTCAATGGCCGCTCTCCGCTGGATATTGGGAGATTTTCTGTTGGGACAACGTCACCTGCAGTAGACAGGTTGTGCCATACTCTCCACACACTTATGTTCTCACATTCACAGATCTACAGAAGACTGATCGGCCATTTTGCAATGGCCTGGGCACTGGATCCTGCAAGTCCAGACTTCAGCGTATTACCCAGACTAAGGGCTACTCTCTGATTTTTTATGACCTAATGGTGTTTATTATTACTTTTCTGAATACTTTTCTCTTTTGTCCTTATGACATTCTCAGTTCAAATTTCCACTGTCATTCGTGAGGTTTCCCCACATTTTACTGGGACACATGGTGTGGATCGAGCTTAAGACGGGAGTTATTCATAGCTCTGTCTCATGACGTGTGAAAGAGACAATTTAATATGACTTCATACAATATATGGCGTATCACAGAAATCGCAAAGCCTAACCGAATGGGTCCTCCGTGTGACGGAAAATCACAGGGCTATCTCCTTGCCAAGAAGCGACCTGCATCAGAGTTGATCCGCTCATGCATCGGGCTCTGGACTCTTTGAGTTTGGCATATTGCAAGTCAGGTTTTTTTGAGGTCGGCAAACCACAAGCCAATATCTGAGACATCGTCAAGCTGTCATTGGCTCAACCCTAGTACCTGGTCGTCTAGTCAACCGGGCCCGTGTACATGCGCTAGCTATCGCCTATGCATCCGGCTTCCGATACACCATACTATGCCCAGCCTCCTCGTTGGAAATATGCGGGTCGACTGCTGAATACTGGTTCATCTTAGGGTCTGGTTGGTGTTAAAATATGACCGCCACTTTTTTTCTGACTTACCTCTGTTATTAGTGCCCAATATGGTACCGGTTGGTCCACGCTAGCCGAAATGGCCAAGCTATCGAGTGAGCCAGTCAAACAGAAATTGGAATTCTGAGGAGATCTAACCCCTAGAGGCATATATAAGCCTGCCGTATCCCCCCATCTGCTCCCAGCCTCGGTGGTTGAAATACAAATTTCAATTGTTTATCTTGCTCGTTTAGGAACTCTCTCGCTACGGTTCCTATCGTCCTTCGTTTCGAGGAATATATCAGCCCTATCTGCAAACGTGATCAATCTATTCTAGTACATAATACCCACTCGTTTGCTAGGCAAGATGCGGGGTGCTCCAATCGTTCTGCTCTACGCCGCGACCTTGGCGTCCGGCATGGTCATTACTCCCAGGCTTGCTGGTGAGGCCCACATCGCTGTCCGCGGAGGTGGTGAAGACCACGACGGCGGTTCTTGGTGGGGCGGTGATCATGGAGGTGGTGATCATGGAGGTGGTGATCACGGAGGTGGTGATCACGGTGGAGGTGGCCCCCCAGCAGAGACCACTCCATGCGAAACTGAGACTCCCCCGCCTGTCGAGACCTCCACTCCGTGCGAGACCGACACGCCTACCATCCCCCCGGTTGTCACACCAACTTCAACCCCATGTGAGACTGACACACCGACCCCACCGGTCGAGAGCTCCACTCCATGCGAGACCGACACGCCTACCATCCCCCCAGTTGTGACGCCTACTATTCCCCCGGTTGTCACACCAACTTCAACCCCATGTGAGACTGACACACCGACCCCACCGGTCGAGAGCTCCACTCCATGCGAGACCGACACGCCTACCACCCCCCGGTTGTGACGCCTACTATTCCCCCGGTTGTCACACCAACTTCAACCCCATGTGAGACTGATACACCGACCCCACCGGTCGAGAGCTCCACTCCATGCGAGACCGACACGCCTACTATTCCCCCAGTTGTGACACCGACCTCGACCTCGACTCCTTGTGAGACTGATACTCCCACTGCTCCTCCTGCGAGCTCAACTCCTTGCGAGACTGATACCCCTACTACTCCTCCTCCTGCCAGCTCGACTCCCTGTGAGACTGACACTCCTACCGCCCCTCCTCCTGCTACCACTACGCCTAGCGAGACCGAGACTCCCGTCACGCCTCCTCCCGCTTCTTCCACTCCTTGTGAGACCGAGACCCCCACTGGTCCTCCCCCGGTTGTCGTGATAACCACCACATACACCACTACCACCTGCCCAGGTAAGTAAAAGTCTGACTATCGCATCAATCACAATTGCTAATAGGACCAGTGACCTGGAGCACCATCACAAGCGGGACCACAACTTACACTCACCCCGTGACTCAGACCAGCACAATCACAGTGACGTCTGTCTCCACCTGCACTGAGGGTTGCACTCAGCCCACAGCCCCTCCCACCAAGCCTACAATTCCCCCTGCTGTTGAAACAACTTCTATCGTGGTGCTTCCCCATCCCAGTGTTCCAGCTACTGAGTCCACAGCCCCTCCCACCGAGCCCACAATTCCCCCTGCTGTTGAAACAACTTCTATCGTGGTGCTTCCCCATCCCAGTGTTCCAGCTACTGAGTCCACAACCCGTCCTACCGAGCACACGACTCCCCCTGTTGTGGTGCCTCCTCCGGCTACTGAGCCCACTGCCCCGGCACAGTCGAGCCCCGTCACTTCTTCCACCGAGGCTCCCCCTGCTTCCTCCTCGCCTGGTTTTAACAGTGCTCCAGCTCTGCAGAAGTCAGCCGCTGCGGTCTTCCTTCCTGGCCTGGCTCTTCTGTTTGCTCTGCTCTGATCGATCTATGTGGAAATTGACCTGTCGGAAGAGATGATATCATCACTCTGGGCAGCGGCTTTTGGGAATCTGCACTGTGGTTCTAACCCATGAAAAACATCACTATGAAATGCCAAAAAAATTGTATTCGGCATATCCAGTGCTAAAGGACGCCAGGATGACAGGACAGTTATAATGGTTTCTTAACGACTTGACGCTCCTTATCCATGATTATGGAACCCTAATTATAGTCATATATACATTAGTTTACGAATTGATATCTATTCCATTTAATTACCAACATTTCCCATTAAGATTCTAAAATTAGGGCATTCAGAACATTGGAAGTTATTGGGTATATATACAATTCAGCCCTGTTTGAAATTAGGGCTGTGACAAATGTGATAACGATAAGCAGTGCAAACATCAAACGTTGCCGGTTGTGTTTGCATGATGACCCGTGTCCTCATCCAACAGCTCAAGGTTTCTGGCTTCAAGTTACTGCCAAGTGGCCACAGTATCCCTTTGCTTTCAAATGGCCTAATTTTGAGTCATACTTTTGATTTTCCTCCTCTGTTCATCCTCTTACACTACCCATTCCCCAACCCAACACCGATACCGAGCTATCACATAGCTCCATCCGATTGTCCATCTGGCGCAAAGCCACCCGACACACTATTCGGCAAACCGGCGGAGTGATTGAATACCTGTCAATTTGTTTATATATGTGCGCCCGAGAGTAATTTTTCCCTGTTCAAATTGCAAACAGCGCCCTTCCCTGAATCCACAATTTGGCTGACTCTCGCAGCCCGGAGCATACACATAGATCATGGCATTCTTAAATGGCCGACAATTATCTAGCTCGTCAATGCTATCCCTCGTGGTCCTCCCATTCCTCATCTTTCTCCTTAGCTTCGCTGGGCCAGCTTCTGCCGCCGGATCGGCCGTCCTGGGTATCGACATCGGCACGGAATATTTCAAGGCTGCCCTCGTGAAACCCGGAATTCCGCTCGAGATCGTCCTCACTAAAGATTCAAAGCGCAAGGAGTCCGCTGCTATCGCTTTCAAGCCTACAAGAGAGAGCGATGCGCCTTTCCCCGAACGGTTCTATGGAGGTGATGCGCTCGCCCTCGCGGCTCGGTACCCGGACGACATTTACATCAACTTGAAGACTTTGTTGGGCGTTCCGTTCAATGATGGCCAGGAGGAGGCGGTCAAGACCTATTGGAGCCGGTTCCCCGCGTTGAAATTGGAGGCCGCGCCCGATGGTCGGGGCTCTGTTGCCCTCCGCAGCAATCGGCTAGGAGAGGCCCAGAAGAAGGAGGCCTTCTTGGTTGAGGAGATCCTGGCAATGCAATTGAAGCAAATCAAGGCGAATGCTGATGCGTTGGCTGGAAAGGGATCCGATGTCCGTGATGTCGTCATTACCTACCCTGTGTTCTACACCGCGGAGGAGAAGCGCAGCCTCGAGTTGGCGGCTGAGTTGGCGGGTCTGAGGATCCAGGCTCTTGTCAGTGATGGATTGGCTGTTGGTTTGAACTACGCCACCAGCCGTACTTTCCCCAGTGTTTCTGATGGTGAGATGCCCGAATACCACATCGTGTATGACATGGGTGCTGGATCTACCACCGCGAGTGTTTTGCGGTTCCAGAGCCGCAAAGTTAAGGATATCGGCAAATTCAACAAGACCATCCAGGAGGTTCATGTTATTGGATCTGGTTGGGACAAGTCACTTGGAGGCGACTCCCTAAACGACCTCATTGTGGACGACATGGTCGCTCACTTGGCTGAGGACAAGAATATCAAGGGTAAGGCTACTGCAGCTGAAATCAAGGCACACGGAAAGACTATGTCCAGACTCTGGAAGGATTCGGAGAAGCTTCGACAGGTCCTGAGCGCCAACACGGAGACTTCGACAAGCTTCGAGGGACTGTACTACGAGAACGTCAACTTCAAGTACAAACTTAGCCGTGCCAACTTTGAGAAGATGGCTGCTGAATATGTCGCTCGCATTGGAAACCCCGTGGAGCAGGCTTTGACAGCGGCCGGCCTTCAATTGAGCGATATCGAATCCGTCGTGCTTCACGGTGGAGCCATTCGGACTCCGTTCGTCCAGAAGCAGTTGGAGGACTTTGTCGGCTCTTCTAAGAAGATCAGAACCAACGTCAACGCCGATGAGGCGGCTGTATTTGGTGCTGCCTTCAAGGGAGCCGCCCTGAGCCCTAGTTTCCGTGTTAAGGACATTCGCACCGGTGATGCCGCCTCGTACCCCATCTCCTTGAAGTGGAACTCAGATGGCAAGCAAAGAAACCAGAAGCTGTTTACCGCCACTTCCCAGGTCGGCCCTGAGAAGCAAGTCACTGTGAAAAACCTGGAGGATTTCGAATTCAGCTTCGCTCAGCATGTTGCCCAGGATGACGAACACCCTATTCTCAGTGTCCAGACCCAGAACCTTACTGCGTCTGTTGCCAAGCTCAAGGATAACTTTTCCTGCACGAATGCAAACATTACCACGAAGTTCACGATCCGCCTCAGCCCTGTGGACGGTCTTCCCGAAGTTATGGCAGGTACTGTTAGCTGTGAGGTGGAAGCCGAGAAGAACGGAATTGTCGAAGATGTCAAAGGCTTTTTCGGCCTTGGCAAGAAGGACGAGCAGGAGCCCCTCGGTGAAGATGGCGAACCTCGTGAATCAATCACCCTCGAGCCCGAGACGGAGTCCTCCACTTCATCATCCACCAGTTCCGAGACCACCACCACATCCACCAAGGACGGGAAAAAGAACGGAAAGAAGGACGCGAAGAAGGATGCAAAGAAGGATGCAAAGGCCACCCCTCAAGTCAAGCTTGAAGTTATCCCGATCAGCTTGAAGTCCGTGGCGCTTGGAACCCCAGGGCCATCAGTCGCAGAGCTTAGCCGCATTAATGGCCGCCTCCTTGCTTTCGATAATTCGGACCGAGAGCGCATCCTGCGCGAAGAGGCTCTCAATGAATTAGAATCGTTCATCTACCGTAGCCGAGATCTCGCCGATAATGAGGAGTTCATCAAGGCAGTCAAGCCGGACCAGCTGGCTGTTCTCTCCGAGCGAGTCTCTCAGGCCAGCGACTGGTTGTACGAAGAGAGCGATAATGCCAAGACTGCCGATTTCCAATCCAAGCTCAAGGACCTGAAGGTTATCGTCAACCCTGCACTGAAGCGGATGAAGGAGAGCTCTTCTCGCCCAGCACGCGTACAGTTGCTCCAGGACATGCTCAAGAATGCCGAGTCCATGAAGGAATTGATCAAGAACCAGATCGAGAACGACGAGCAGCTCTACTCCTCTTCCCTCTCATCCGCAAGCGCCTCCTCCACCTCCACTTCCACCGAGACTAGTTCATCGACCCCAGCCCCAGCCACTTCCGACGAGGGTGTCGATGATCTCGATGAAGACCCATACTCTGCTTCTTCATCTTCTACCACATCTACCAAGAGCGCTGCTACGGCCAAGCCCACAGGCCCCAAGTATTCCCTTTTCACTCCTGCCGACCTCACAGCCATCACCGAGGCCTACGAGTCCACCAACCCCTGGCTCGAGAGCCAGCTTAGTCTGCAAGAGAAGCTTGGCGAGTCTGATGACCCTGCTTTCACCGTTGTGGAGGTCGACTCGCGGCTGCGCGAGTTTGAGCGTATTCTTAACCGCATGTATGAGAGGATGACTTCAGCCGCTGGCCAGCAGAAGAAGAGCAGCAGCAGCGGCGGCGGTAAGAAGGCATCAAAGGAAAAGAAGAAGTCCGAGGCCGAGAAGAGCAAGGCCAAGGGCAAAGATCAGCCCAAGGAGAAGGAGGATCTTCCCAAAGATGAGCTGTAAAAATATTCATCCCCTTGTTCCTTTACATTTGTTTGATTTTTTTCACTCTTGACCCGTACAGAGCATTTCATTCTAACGCAACCCATGTATCATGCACACACTACATCCTGGAAGATAGAAAAAAGAATCAAAATGGAGTTTGGGCTGAGCGTTACAAGTCGTTGTCTTTGATCACTCTCTTTTCTTTTGTTAAAAAGACCTCCACTTCGCACCCAATCCCACTATAGAAACCGCCTGAGCTCTACAAATTCATAGATGCAAATCAAGTAGGGGGTGAAACTGCCATTGCCAGTCCTATCATTCTATCATCCTACCAGGAGACCACTTCAACGGGCTACACAATATCGAGCGCATTAGTCCAGCCTCAAACCATTCTTTCAGTTGCCGGCACCGGCACCGGCACCAAGACCTGCACCGGCTCCAGAACCAGCGCCGAAGCCACCTCCAAAGCCGAGGCCTCCGCCGATAGAACCACCGCCGCCGCCGCCGCCGCTAACGGCACCGCCGCCACCGCTGCCGGCGCCAAGTCCGGTACCAATATCTATTATGATCACTGAATTAGAAATGTACCAACAAGGTAAAGTACCGCATTACTGGTGACATACTGGTAGGGGCAGCAACAGCGGCCAGAGCCAAGCTGAAGAGCGCGATGAGGAAGTTGGACTTCATTGTTTTAGACCGAGCTAATGTTGTAGAAATGATAGTCAATAATTAGCTCAATTGCGGCATGTGATGAATGTCAGATAGGACTGGGTCTTACCGAATGACTTTAGAGGTAAGCTGTAAAGAAGGATGGTTGATGATATTCAGAACAGTGGGTGAATACCTACATTTTATACCTCGAGGTTCGGCCTCAGTTTCCTTCAAAGGACAAAGACTGATTAGCAATACTTGTCAGCTGAGATCGGAGATTGGGTGGATCTATTCGGTATGTTGCACGGAAAGCGTCCAGTCATTTGCGCTGTTGGAGCGTCTGATTTAGAATTTGTGGTGGTCCTGGTTCCGGTGCGTAGTACTTCTTTTACCAGCCTAGAGATTGGGATTTGACGCTACTTATTCGAGTGATACTAGGCATAGAGCTTTGGGGGGTGCTGCGTACCTTCGATTACAATATATGTTTTAGCGCTGTAAACTGGGGCATGTTTCCTTTCTTGCTCCCTCGTTTATATTCGGCTTGGTTTAGCAAGTAAGGAGCCAGACCGAAGTTATTAAGGATTTTACACCTAGAGGTCCAGAAGAATCCATATCTGCTTTCAAATTTGTCTGGATACTTTGCAAAGACCTCGATCCGATCTGAGGTAAGGTATGCAGCTTGTTTAGTTTAGGCGTGGCCATTCTTCCGGATGAGAATCTATAGCATATTGGACAAACAATCTCTCAAATTATGAACAATATGGGATACTAAAGTCAATGAAACAATTGACCTCTACTATAACTAGTTTTCAAGGACTTGTTTGAAGAAACCATCATCATCGGCGATTTACCAAATTAATCATACTATAAGCCTTGCTCCAATGGTTTGAGACATAAATTGGGACAATAGAACTGTGCAGGAGGACAATGGCCAGTTGGAAATGATACTAAAATCCGAGAGTCAGTCCACGTGATGGTAATTGTATCGGAAGTGTCCACTTACGATCATTTCGTCGGTACCCGACCAGATTGTCGTACGATTAGCGATTCTCCTGTTGTATGTGCTCAAACTGCGATAACTCCCTATGGGTGGAGTTCTCGAAGCGATAGGAAGTTCGCGATAAAGCTACTTGTGCTTGCTGAGATGATGCCTGTTGAGACGATGCCAGTGGCCGGCCATGGGGTCGCATAATATGAGAATGTTGAACTTGAAGTTCAAGTACTCGGGGTAGAGTCCTTGCTGGTTGAATCACCAATGGGGGTGGAAGTCCGCCTGGGGGAGGCCCCTGGCCTAGCTCTAAGTCCGACTCCCTCATATTATGTGACCCCGTGGCCAGCCGCTGGCATTATCTCAAACTCCACCCATAGGGATTTACTGCAATTTGAGCATAAATAACAGGAGAGACGAGAAATCGGCAATTAAACCGCGATCAGGATGGGCAAGGCAGCCAAAGCGGAGGCATGAAGATTGGACCAGGGGGAGACGACGGAGTCATCTAGTAATGAGATCGTGATTAGCCAGCGCATGGCTGGAAGACGGGAGAAGGGGAGGATGAGAAGCTAGTGCCATGATAATTTAGTTGGGCCCGGGCAGTGGTGGATACCGGAAGTAGCTTCGGATGTGTGTCGCTGGATAAAGAGTGTGTAGCCTGCCACTTTTACAATCAACAATTTGCATCTTTCGCTTTGGCAATTGGGGCTCTTTCTATGTTTACTGAATGTCACACCGCTATTTGAACACTCTGTTCGAGTGTATTGAAGGTATTAGAAATATCTCGGTTTGTGTTCGTACCATGTAGCTATTTCCCTTTAACTAGTTATGATTTTATATAGGGCTTAGTAAATACACTCAGTAGACAATACCTGGCTAAGCTACCCTGAATGAGATCTATTAACTATTGAAGGTGTCAAACATTCAATGAAGTGAAGTAGAAATGAAGTATAAGTTTCCACGTCCCAACGCGGTAAGTAGGGCTGACCCGCACTTGGCCCTGGCGCGCTATTCCTAATCAGTAAAGAAAAGTTCCTGAAGGTCAACCTTCTCCATTCAACCCCACCCATTACGAACGATACAAGATGGAGAAGCCAGATATCGTGGAGTCTCCGCGCAAGCGACAGAAGACCGAAGATGTAGCCTCAACTGAGGTGGCTATCACCCTTGATGGCGCAGCTGAGACCAGCACCGCAGTCTCAGATGCGCAGACTCTGAAGGAAGCCGAGGTCGGAATCACGGAGTTTGTGAGCAACGACACTGAAGGATTCTCAGGTATCCTGAAAAAGAGGTGAGCTATTCTGTTCCTCTAATTGAGGATTTGGCTAATAATCATGCGCAGGTACACAGATTTCATGGTCAATGAGATCATGACCAATGGCGAAGTTGTCCACCTCCGAAGCATCGATAGGCCCGGCAAGCCCGCGCCTACTACGACAGAGCCTGCCACTGTGCCAAAAGCCCCCGAGGCGGGAACCCAGGCTACGGAGCAAACCGAGGGTACTCCGGCCTTGGATGCGGAAACACCAGCTGAGTTCAAGGTTTCGGAAGAGGACCACACTCTTCTAGAGGAATACTTTGGCGCTCAAAATGCTGCCGAGATAATCGCGCTCCACAAGATCGCCATGGCTAAGCCAAAGGGTCGGCCCAGTGAATTTGGAAAGGTCACCTTCGCCGTGTCTGATCGCGACCTTCGCACCAAGATCCACCAGGCCATCCGTCGCATTTTCAACTCTCAGCTAGAGTCTACTACCGACGCAGAGGGAAATATGTCAATCACTGCCGCGAGCAACCGTTTCAAGCGCGGCGCGACCGCAGGACGAGCCAATGGCCGGATCCAGGGTCATCGAACAAACTGGGAAGAACTCGGCGGGCCATACCTGCATTTCACCATCTACAAGGAAAACAAGGACACAATGGAAGTCATTGGCTATATTTCTCGCTCGTTGAAGATGAACCCCAAGTCTTTACAGTTCGCTGGAACCAAGGATAGGCGGGGCGTGACTGTGCAGCGTGCCTGTGCTGTGCGCCTTCAGGTCGATCGGCTTGCACGAGTGAACTCGGAACTCCGCAATGCTTTCATTGGAGACTTTGAGTACCGCAAGCAAGGCCTCGAGCTTGGGGATTTGCAGGGCAATGAGTTCGTGGTTACTTTGCGCGACGTTGAAATCCCTGGCGTGAGCCTGAGTGATCCTCAGGCTGCGATTGCCAAGGCGTCCGAGGTCGTCGGTACATCGTTGAAGAACCTATACCAACGAGGATACTTCAACTACTACGGTCTCCAGCGATTTGGAACCTTCGCAACCCGAACGGACACAGTTGGTGTCAAGATGCTGCAGGGGGATTTCAAGGGCGCATGCGATGCTATTCTGCACTATGCTCCTGAATCTCTTCAGGCGGCAATGGAGGGGAAAATGTCTACTGCTAACATCGGTACTGATGACAAGGATCGCGCCATGGCCATCAATATTTTCCAGACCGGCGGTAACGTCAATGACGCTCTGCAAAAGATCCCGCGAAAGTTCTCCGCCGAAAACAATCTAATCCGCCACCTCGGCAGGAATAAAAAGGATTATTTGGGTGCGCTGCAGTGTATCCCCCGGAACCTGCGATTGATGTACGTGCACGCATACCAGTCACTTGTCTGGAACTTTGCTGTTAGTGAGCGCTGGCGACTCTACGGCGACCGAGTGGTGGAAGGCGATCTCGTCATTATTCAAGAGCACCGCGAGAAGGAATCTGGTTCCGCTGTCGAGGCTGCCGAGACTGTCGATGCTGACGGTGAAATCATCGTTGTTCCTCAGGGCGAGGACAGTGCCGTTGCGGCCGAGGACATGTTCATGCGGGCACGTCCCCTGACGGCCGAAGAGGCAGCCAGTGGCAAATACACCATCTTTGACTTGGTTCTTCCCCAGCCTGGATATGATATCATCTACCCCGAAAACGAAATGAAGGGATTTTATAGTCGCTTCATGCAAAGCGAGCAGGGTGGTGGCCTTGACCCGTCCAACATGCGCCGCAAGTGGAAGGACATCAGCCTTAGCGGCGGCTACCGTAAGATTTTCAGCCGTATGGTGGGAGATAACTACTCTTTCGACGTGAAGCTTTATTCCAAGGACGATGAGCAGTTCGTTAAGACAGATATGCAGAAGTTGAAGCCCGAGGAGGAGAAAGCCGATACCACCATGGCCGATGAGACGGCAGCTGATAAGCTAGCTGTTGTTCTGAAATTCCAGCTGGGATCAAGCCAGTACGCCACCATGGCCCTTCGGGAATTGACGCACGGAAAGGCCACAGCCCACAAGGCTGACTTCGGTGGTGCAGGATAACCGGAAGAGGAATCAGCGCCGACTGTAATTCATTTTCACGCTGTAAATGACCTCAAAATGCCCGTTACTATGACTACTGTGGCCAGAATATCATTCCAGTCAAATTCATGTACATAGTCTGAAATACACAACTTGTAGCCTATTACAATAAACCGCTACAAAAAGAACAGCCTCCCTGAATCCCCAAAACGTCAGAGAACCAAATGAAACCCACTTAACAGAAGCTCTAGACCAAGCTTAGCTTCATTATACCATATCATCTTACTAACACCCTCAAACTCCCCGAAACCGCATCCTCTCCTGCTCACCTATCGGCGACACCTCATCAAAAGACGACACCACAGAATGGTCATCAAAGTCCCTCTCCCTCCTCCGCCCATCCAGATCCGACACGTCAGAAACAGCATCATCATATTCATCATCCGAACCACCATGAGCAATGCCAATACCAACCTCGTCATCCTCAAAATCCTCAAAGGGCATCCTAGCCAACCGCGACGGCCCTCTCGAGGACGTAACAGACGCAACCCGACCCCTAAAATCCTGCTCAGTAGCACTCCGCCTCTGATCCATCGGAACTGCAACTGCAATCCCAAGCTCCGCCTCAGAGTCGTTAGGTCCACGGGTCATAGACATGCGGCGCAAGGAGGTCCCAGAACTGGGAGCGGGACTGGGCGTTCGGCCCCGACCTTCCGTCGAGGGCGAGATGCTAATAATCGGGATCCGGGGCATGGGGGGCATGGGCATGGCCGCTGATGACATCGCCGGTGTGGAAAATGAACGTCTTGGCTCTGGGGTCGATGATTTCGGGGATATCATTAGCTCTTGTGTCGATACAGCGCTTCGGTGACCGGTTGCTATGTCGTATGATGGAGGCAAGGCATTGCGTTTTTTGTCGCGGCGCCGTCGGTGGGAGAGGAAGAATAGGAACGCTAGGATTAGAGCTAGGCCGATTACCGAGACTGGGACTGCTATGGCGATTTTTGTTGTTTTTGATGGGCCGCCGGAGAAAGCGGTTGAGTCGCTGATTGCTGAGGTTGTTGAGGAGGCGGAGGTTATGGCTGATGAGGAGGCTGTTTGAGTGGATATGAGAGTGGATGGGTTTGAAGTTGAAAGTGTGGTCGGTGGTGTTTGTGATGGGTAGTGTGAGCTTGTTGCATCCAGTAGGCTGATTGGCTTTGGACTGGCTTCTGATGCACTAATATCTTTGACAGCTGGTGTTCCAGTTGATACCCATGTCAACTCGCTGCGTGTGGGCCATGAATCCGACCCACTAGGAAGAATGCTCGACACTGTCACAGGGTCTACCGAGCTTGACACTTCTGGTGTGATAATCTTGTTTTGTATGCCGGCTGTCGTCGTGGACACCACATCTGGGCCCGTTGATGCCACTGGCGTGGTCTCAATATATTTCGATGAACTGGAATCTGGGGTATCTGCATCGCCCGGTACAGTGCCCAACATTTCAAATGGCAAGAATCTCATAGCAGGTATGGTGGGTTGAAATCTAGATTCTCGGGGCACTTTCGTCTTATGTGAAGGCTCCAAAGCGACCTCTGGAAGACAAAGAACCGCCACGAAAGATACAAAAGACACGACTGACGCTAGAATTCTCCCATTAAATGCCGTTTTAGGTAACTCCTCGGTGTCTTTGTATAAAGTAATTAATTTTGCCCGGATTCAAGAGCAGAAGAGAGGTTGGAAGGTAGTAGGAAATACGTAGTTCCAAAAAATTCTTTGGAAGAATAGAAGCGAACATTCACAGATAATGTACAGCGGACAGCCCAACAGCCCCAGGGTGGGGGTTGAAGCACTGCCCTCAAGATGAGACGGTCCAACAAAGAAGCGCTTCGATATGTAGCGCTAGACTCGGCGTCAATGAAAAACTTCACAATACTCCGATCTCTTTGAATTGACACATTTGCCTCTCATAGAAATCATCACAACAATTATTACGATATCTTCTGTACAAACCATTCAAATCCATGAGGCTCGAATATGCTATTTTTACGACGTTCGCGCTAATATGGGGCCACGTAGGATCAACACGAGCCCTAACTACTTTCTATTTAGTTACTAGGCGGGGAAGTTCGTAGGTCAGGCTTACGGGGAATTTGATTATTGGATTATTATTATTTTTAACGCCGATGCTGACAGGAGTTGCATGTGCATCGAAATCGAGTATGGAGCCAATAATAAGTGGCCATATTTGACAAGGATTCGTTTAAAAAGAGCACAGCTTCCATTTTCTACTTTGGGTGCCTATCTACATAAAATTATGCAAGTGGGCCATGGCTCAACTCTCAGGCTACAAAATATTCATACCTGATATTATTATCCGAACACATCGTTGATATGAATTGCTCATAGTGTCGGGGGCTGAGAGTGCAAGGACCACAATACTAAAATTAGATCTAATAACCAACCTAGAGGATATACTATGTAGGATGATAATTCAAAATTTGTAAAAGTCTACTAAACCTAAACGAGATATACTTAGTCGTAGGTAGTATTGAACAAATTCCAAGCTGTGATGTTGATCCATATTCCTAATCTGATACAAGTTCGTTAAGAGTTCGTTAGGATGTCCCACTGAAGCTTAATAGGCTGATATTAATTATATATCTTATCCATATTTACAACATCAGTGTGAAAATAAGTCTACTACTTGAGAGATGGACTCCTGTCATAATCTTCTAATCTTGTTGCGATATATCTAAATCCATCACAGGGTGAGTTAGTGTTCCCTAAGCCCAGTGATCCTGACTCACTGCGTAGCTTTTCTATTCGTATCTAGCTTTCTAGTATTTCCCCTGCCTTGTGTGTTCATATGAGTCCAGGCCCGGTAATTATGTATTCCTTTCAAGGTTTATGCCTGGGGTTTCTGGCCTGTAACTAGGAATGTTAGAGCTTGTCTCTTCAATCCCCTCTCTATAGCCCTTTCGTCTTGTAGACTCAGATAATAATAGCATGTGAGAAACTGCTCAGGTGTAGACTGTATGAGGTAACTATGATGATGATGTAATGAGTGTGCGGTTCTAACAGTTGTAGAAGCCCCGGAGAGTTGAGATGAGTAATGTTCCGTTTCCGGTAATCCAATGTCTACGCTTCTTCGAATCCACCCAAGATGCCCAGATCATGCCCAGACTGCCCAGACTGTGAGGACCACAGAAGAGTCTTCACACTTTAATGTCCACCTGAGTGTTGGAATTCACTTCTTCAATCTTGTCAAAGACAAAACTCTAGTATGGCCGGTGGCTTCCTCCCATACCACGAACCCGGAAGTATGTACCCAAGCATATTCCAATTGATCTCTGCTCATTTCCTCACTGATCAATCGCAGCTGTCGATATCCTTATCATCATCTCTTTCTTCTTTTTCCTTTCCCTCGCAAAATGGGTCTCCGCGAAGGTAATCCAGGCCGGAATTATAGGCCAAATCGCCGTCGGCATCATCTACGGTGTACCGTTGGCCGATATCCTTGAACATAACTGGCAGAAGACCTTTTCTGTTCTAGGATATATCGGTCTGATTTTGATCATTTTCGAAGGTGTGAAAACATTTTTCTCTTGGCTCCTTGGCTTCTCTTGAATACTGATGTCATATATTCTAGGCGGTCTTGGCACTCGTGTCGATCTTCTGAAGCAGAATTTCACTCTGAGTATGATTGGAGCGGCAACTGGCGTTGTATTTCCAATTGGTCTTTCATTCCCTTTGCTATATCTTGGCTTTGGATATGGTTTGTTTTACTCGCCCGATACCTACAGTCAAAAGCTAATATGGACTAGGTGCGGTTGAGACCTTTATCATCGGAGCATCTCTTTCCGCTACTTCACTTGGTAAATTATTTCCACTAATGTGCGCGTTTCAATTGCTGATAAATATCAGGAACCACCTTTGCTGTGATCAGCTCTGCGTCTGGCTCGGTCAATCTCGCCGAGACCCGAGTAGGGTCAGTTCTAGTGAGCGCTGCTGTCATCGACGATGTTGTAGGACTGGTCATGTTAAGGTGTGTTACTTATTGGAACTGGAAGGTGTATGGTTGATTCATCAAGCTCACTAGCAGTATAGTGTCATTGCTGACTTGGGCAAAATCTCCGGAGATGGCGATGTCAATCTGGGCTGGCTTATTGGGCGTCCCATAGTGGCATCAATCGCCATGGCTATCGTAACACCCATCGTCACCAAATGGGTCTTTGCTCCTTTTTTCCGAACGTTCATTGAATACCACTTTGCCCGATTCGACCATATTTCCAACATCATCCTCATGACCCTTGTTCTTTCGGCGTTTGTTGCAATTGCTGGCTTTGCTGGTACATCCGTCCTGTTTGGTGCCTTTCTGGCAGGCGTATTCATCTCATACCTACCAAGCAAGCACCCCGACGGACCATTTGTGGTCATGAGTCGTGAGGAAGGCGAGCGCGAGGCGGATAAAAGCCCCACTTTTATCCATACATTTGAGAAATATCTGTTAGGAACTCAGCAGTATTTGATGGAGCCTCTGTTCTTTGCAAGTATCGGATTTGCGATTCCGTTCGTGCAGCTGTGGACGGGAAAACGAATTTGGAGAGGTGTGGTTTACACCCTTCTCATGGCATTTGCAAAGGTATACAGGTATACTTCAATCTCATTTTTCTTGGCATTGAGCTGACAAAGTCTATCTAGTGTATCGTCGGAATCTGGATCCCCATATGGCAACTTGCTGGGAGTAAATCTCACAAAAAAGAGTCACATGAACGGCAGAAGAGACGGCGAGGACCAAAAAACGAAAACAACAGCGCAAGCGACGATGAGAAAAGCATGCAAGAGAAGGGAAAACGGTGGAACCGAGCCTGGCTCGCCGCAGCACTTTTAGGATCTGCTATGGTAGCACGCGGTGAGATTGGGCTTCTGATCATCGAAATTGGACACAACGAAACTCCGTATGTTAGTGATGAAGGTTTCATCACTGGTGTTTGGGCCATTCTTTTGAATACTATCATTGGCCCAATTACTGTCGGTCTCCTGGTTCGATTCTACGCTCAAAAGATCGAAGAAGGGGAATGGGGAGTGCAGGATAGTTCCATGCCTGTCTCGAGTCATGCTGATGCACACGGAGCGGTATAGATGGTTTGTGTAAAGAGTGCATGTCAGGGGAGGTGATATGGCTGTATATAACATGTGGATGCGCTATGGGAGAGTATGGGGGTTTCTTTTTGATATATCTAGGCGGAATACCCTGAACAATTGAGAACAAACATTTCAAGTGGAGAGTTTACAAGCAATCAACGTATAAATTAAAACCTCTCAATGTGTACATATGTAGTTTAAATATACATAAGCTCCTGCAGGTGAAAGTGTAGAGGTTAAGCTTCGAAGGTTGTTTCTATTTCTATAGATGTGGCTTAGACGGCAAAATCCATGTGGGCCTAATAATACAATGCCAGGCAACAGGGATTTCTATACACAAATGTGGAGAGAAAAAGACAGTTTTAAAATAGGTATATAATACACTTATAGCTCTTTAACCCTTTTCTTTACCTATGAATATCCATACTTAAGTACCTAGGGTATATCGGGGCTGGGCTTAGTAAGCATCGGTGGCAATTTGAAGCCCCCCGCATTCCAAGGTTCCAATCTTGGAGACCCAAGGGAAGTCTGTTGTTCATTTTCCTATCTCGACTTCTCTCTTTGGCTTATGGAGATGGAGGGAAATATTCGGACTTGCACCGATCACTCCCATTCTAGCTTGTCGCTGCCTCAACCCGGAGGATATCAGACAGAAAAGCGCAGGCTATTACTGATTTATATCCATGGCTTCATGGGATCAGAAGCTAGCTTTCATGACCTTCCACTACATGTTCATGATCTGTTAACGGGATCGCTGACGGAGTCGCACGTGGTGTACACCCGCATGTATCCTAGATACAAGTCTCAAGGCGAGATACAAACAGCAGTGGATCAATTTAGCACTTGGTATGTGATCACACAACAGGAGATGTTTTCTTCCTAGGCAACTTTTTTTTTTAAGAATAAAAAGCACACGCATACTAATGGAGATAATTGCAGGCTATCACCACATGAGGCAGATGACCTAGATGTCATCTTGCTGGGACATAGTCTCGGCGGAATCCTAGCTGCAGATGTTGCGCGTCTACAACAAGATGGGCAACCAAAGCATCGAATTTTGGGAGTGGTGGGATTTGACGTCCCCTTTCTAGGAATTCATCCCCGCGTAATACCCACAGGAACTATGGGCTCTATGCCCAAGAAAGACCCGGCAGCTGAAGAGAAGCTCGCGGGAGAACAAGAATCCCTAGGCTTGAATCCAGCCTTCAAACCCGCTCCTTCCAATCCCAACTTTGACCCACCATTCATGAACGATGTGCGTCTGGTTGATCGTGGCTTCCTCAAGGGTATTATGCATTTTGTCAACAAAAACACCGACAATCTCTCGCGATCTATCTTCGATCGCATCGTATCACCTTTGAAATTTGCTGGTTGTGTCAATAACTACTCTGAACTTCGCCACCGGTACCGGCACTTGATGGAACTGGAAGCTGCTGAGTCCAGTCCCTGGAGAGTACGTTTCGTTAATTACTACACCACGAGCACCGGTCGCAAACCGCGGAAGTCCAAGACGAAAGCCGAAAAGAAAGCCGAAAAGGCTGCAAAAGAAGAGAAGAAGGCCGCGAAGAAGATCGGAGTTGATATGGATAAATGTGCAACGGAAGTACATTCGCAGGAATATACAGAGACGCCAGGTTCCGAAGAAACTGAAGTAACCACTTCCATGGGCGACATGGCAATCAAAAGAAAGCCATTGAAGACCATCTCTTCTAATTCTTCCCTGGCAACGGAAAAGGCCAACGATGACAAGGATTCTCCGCTGGCGGATGATATAAGTACCGCATCGTCTATCCCAGTCTCAGTCCAAACAGAGGACTCCCTCTCGGGAAGCGTTTCCCTCTCAACAGAGAGTGGCTCCATCGCAACCATGGAGTCCTCAGACCCTTCTAAACAACAACTTCGCAAGTTCATTCTCTTACCATCACATCATTGGAAGTACAATGATAACTCTCATTGGGAGCCAATATTAATGGAGGACATGGACGAAGTCATGGCACATCAGTCTATGTTTATCCCACAGGGTGCAAACTACGATCATCTTGTCGGAAATAGCGTTGGGCTAATTGAGCAATGGATTGAGAACGATCTTAGTCGACGATATCTCCAAGAAAGTCTCGACTGAACAGGTCATGTTAATTAGTGATCCAGCTTGTCATTTTCCAACTATGTAAATACATACTTAATAGATCGTATCTTTTCTTTCGCCAGAATGGAACCTCAAATTTCCCATTAGGCAGTCTTAGAAAGAAGCCACCCGTCATTTTGCAGCTTTTGGAAAACACCCTGGGGGTCAACTTCCTTCGCAACCGATCTGAGCTTGCTCAAATTTTCAGATCCATAGGTAGCCAGCGGATCCTGGTCTCGCGAAGAATAATTTGAATACTTGAAATCAATGTAAGTTCCATTCTTCTTTGCAACCGCTTCGGCTTGGTCGACGATTTTGCGGCTTGCTGTCAGCATAGTAGCCTCGTCCTCTGGGTTCAGCCAGTCCAACATAACCAAGATCCCTAGTCAAAGTAAGTAATCTGGAAAACCTATTCAAATTCAATACGTACACTGCTGTGGCTCTGCCTTTAAGCCTAGAGGATTGCCCCCTTGGTTATCGCAAGCCCTAGAAGCGCTGGATGAAATAGGTTGAATGTTCGTAATAAGACGAGCCCCAGGGACATTTTTCACTGCTTCCAGTTGCTGTAGACGACATTGTTCAATAGCGTTGTAGACATCCAGGTCAGGACGACTTGTCATCACTCGTATATCATGGCTGGCCAAGAAGAATTAGAAAGAAAAGTAGTACAGACACTGGGACAAGCAGTACCTTCTAGGTTCAGTAGCAGTAAAACTTGCAAAGACATTGACAATCTCAAAGATCGTGTAGACCTTGGATGGCACCACCTGGGCTACACACTCGATCTTATCGAAGGCGTTGAAGACAGCTGGTTTCTGCTCAACCGGGTCGGCATAAAGGAAAATGAGGAGCGTAGCATCCTCCATAAAGTGGCAGATTAGATTGGACTTGGAGTTCTTTTCGCTTGCTTCGTGGTAATCCATGATAGCTTTGAAGAGATTTGAATTTTGTCCAGGGGGGTAGATTAAACCTTCACACCATATTTTGTTGGAAAGTGTGGACATGGTGACTTTGGTCACGACACCTGTTGCCGACAAGAGGGGATTAGAACAGAGAAACATCTTGCTTAAATTGAAATAGTCCTACCAAAGTTAGGACCTCCGCCTTTCAGGGCCCAGAAGAGGTCCTTGTTGCTAGTTGCGTTGACCTTGGTAACCATTGAGTCTGCCAAAACGATCTTCGGTACAATCAGCATTTCTAGTCGCGCAAAGAGAGTTCATTCATCATTTACCTCATATTCTACAACGCCATGCGAGCTCAATCCACGCTCACTGTTCTGAAATGCCAGACCTCCCCCCAGAAGCAGGCCAGCCACGCCCACAGAAGGCTGACGTCCTCCAGTCACTGTGAGTCCGTACTCTTCGAGAGCTTTATAGACATCAAACCAGGTTTGACCGACTCCAATATCTGCTGTCAACCGATCTTCGGAAAGGCTGACAGTGTTGAACTTGTTCATCAAGAGAACTACGCCGCCATTGTTACTCGTGAACCCTGGGTTGTGAAGATGGCCGCCACTGCGGATAGAGAACTTGATGTCAAGGAATCGACAGAGCGCAAGAGCTTTGCCCACATCCTGAGGAGTTCGCGGGGTAACAATAATACCGGGAGTGAGCTGACAGTTGGTGGACCTTACAGAAGGAAATTAGATGTGTGCAAGATAAAGGATAATGGGATTCGGTACCAAGTTGTTTCCTTTCCCTCGGAAAAAATGATATCGCTCTGTACTACAGCATCATCGCCAAATACAAGACGGAATATATTCTCCGCTGTATTCAAGCGACAAGTAGCCTTGTCGGCATCGCTCAGGGCAAGGAACTGTGTAAGTATTGTTTCAGCATCGATACTCCTTTCCAGAATCTGAAGAATCGCCAAGATATTCGAAATATCTGCCATCTTGAATAGTAATGATGACTACTTCTTCTTTGGAGGGGCACTTTTCCCAGGGTGTTTTGTGGAACAATGACCAAGTACTAGCAACTCCCCGGGATTATACTTCCGCAAAGCCCACAAATGGGCCCGGCCTTCGAAACCCAACCCAACCACCCATAGCCTAACAATGGGGGCCTATAAGGCCCCTAACAAAGCCCATTTATATGCATAAGTACGGCCTTAGCGCTTATAAACCTGCTGGTTAATGCCTGTTTTCTACATATGTTCTGATCTATAAGCTTGTTATAGAATATCTCGGCCCGATGCCTAATTCGGGGGTTCAGCCTAATTCGGGGGTTCAACTTAAACAGAGTATCAACATATAGAGATATATATATATATATATATTTTGTAAAGTAGGTGTATCTTTCTATTAAAGTACTAGGGATTTTGCCCGCGGGCGGAGCCTAAGGCTGCCTACGTATATTCGTTATTAGCATGTAAATAGTTTAAACTCACTTAATATATATATCTAATCAATCGATCTCATCAATCTTATCACTCGGTCGCAGCGTGGGTGCTGGTACAATTCTAGCCAATCCTTGTGACAAGAATTCGGCCCGCAGCGCTTGGTATGACTGCTGTTCAGAAGACAATAATTGGTATATATTCATGGTCAGACTCAGCAGAGCGGCTGGTGTTGTCTTCGCCTTCCACCAATTTTCGAGGCGATCATAGAAAGAAACATGGGCGATGCTTGAGAGACCTGATATACTGAACGAGAGTGAACATAAAGCATAAAGATCACTTCCAATTCTCTGGACCCTTCGACTAAAGTCTCTGGCTCGGAGTCTGACATTTCTTTTTGGGATCTTGATCTCTTGTTAAGTGATTTATCACGTTCTCTCTCTAAGTCGACCCACGTGATAGTTTGATGAGCTGCTTTTATTGAAACTTTGTCATATATCTAAGAGTATTGTATGTCAAGACGAGACTTGAATTTTTCGTCTAAAAGCAATGGTTATCCTTTGGGATTCTTATGGGGCTTTCTTAATTGTATATCGATTTACTAACCTAAAGCACGTCTCTATACACCTGCACAATGTTTCTGCTAACTTGGTCCGCAAAGAATTATTGCCTTTGAATGAGACCCCGTCTTCGGACAAACCACCAAACCAAATCCTTCCATGACAGCCCACACCCAAAATGTTCCAGTAGTGTCACGCTTCGCTTGTCCTGAACAGCTCCTAAATTTTATCATCAAATAACTTCTATCTAATAGAAGATCTATCGTATAAAATACCTCCAAAACAAATAAATAATGCTGGTGATGCAAAACCGTGAGCTAAACCTAAAACTATTGCACCTATAAAATATACAGCTGCGTGAGATACAGAAGAGTAAGCTATTAATTCTTTTATATCTATTGTTCTTAATGTACTAAAACTAAGATAGATAATAGTTATAACACCTAACATTACATATAACTATAATATATGTAAAGTTTAAACTCTTACGATAAGGTTCGCAGTAAACGCTGTGCCAAATTTCACCGCCTACCCTTTTGGTAATTAATATGGCGGTGATGGAACAGGCAGAATATGACCAGACCGCCTACTTTATTGACAATCCAATCCATTTTAACTTTAAAGCACGTGAAGGAACTGGATTGAATTGTCTTTCTGGAGTTTCAATGATCCTATATCCACTTTGCTGTATGGAGTAGCTTACTGAAGATTATGCAGGGAAGGAAAGCTTGCACAGTCCCCACTTAGCAGACTATGTAAATCAATTACTAGATCAAGCTCACACGTGACTAAGTGGGGATATTGTCGTCACGGCTTCCCCTACCGCTTAGCAACTGTTCTCCCCGCACTCCCGAGTCTGCAGCATACAGCATAATGAGTGGCTTACGCAATACTATGAAGGGTGGATGGCACCCTGAAGGCAAGGAAGGTGGAAAGGAGAGCTGGCGTGGTGATTTTAAAGGCGTTAACCAAGTGGTAAGCCCACCCCTCCCTCTGGGACTTGCACCTCGGCCACTGATGCTGACTTGTACTTGCTATTAGGCTGGGTGGATGGGAAAGGGCAAGGAAGGCGACTCCTCTAGTTCTGGATCTGGAAAGAACCCCGAACCACAAGGGGGTATTAGAGGCTCTGTGGTAAGCTCCCCTCAACCCTCTCGGACTCGCACCTCGGCCATTGATACTGACTTATACTTGCTATTAGGCTGGGTGGATGGGAAAGGGCAAGGAAGGCGACTCCTCTAGTTCTGGACAGGGCTCCTCATCACAGGGGGGTATCAGGGGCCAAGTGGTAAGCTAACCCTTCGTGTATTCACGACTCGGCCATTCGTGTTAACCTTTGCTTTTAGGCTGGCTGGATGGGAAAGGGCAATGACTCCAACTCCAACCGCTCTGATCATGTCTCACGACCATTGTCAGCCCTAAAAGACCCATCTTCATTTGGGCCGCCCCCCAAGCATATCAATTACCATGGCGCAGCCGCTGTGCCAAATCAGACAACACCCGATCGCCGGGGTTTGGGAGCTCCATTGCCCCAGGATCAGATAAACGCCCAGGAGGCCCGTCGACGGGAAGTAGAGGAAGCAGAGGAGGAACAGTCCCGAAAGCCCGCCCCGCCTCCGGTCCCGTATCGCGTCGACACCAGCGGCCTTTCTACGAACCATCTCCCTCCACCACCAGTGCGGCGAGTAGACTCGGCAAGTTCTGCTTCAACAAGCTCAATCTCAAAGTCAAACCCACCAAAGCCCCCGCCACGGCTTCCTGCCCGCAATGGATCTCCCAGCTCCGACGTGCCGCCCGCTTATTCCCCCGCACCGGTACTCTCCCACGATTATATCAACCAAGATGCTACGTCCCGCCTAGCAAATGCTGGCGTCTCGGTTCCTGGATTTGGGATAGGTCAGGAGAAATCTTCGTCGCCTGCACATACGCCTGTCAATGAGCTGCAGTCACGCTTCTCCCGGATGAATACCTCGGGATCTCCATCAGCACCCACTCCGCCTGCCCAGGCATCGACAAACATCCAACAATCTGCCAGTAATCCATCTTCTCTCCAGAACTTTCGCGACCAGCACGCGGGGTCCATTGACTCGGGAAAACAGAAATATGGTGATTTCCGAGAGCGTCATGCGGATACCATCGACTCGGGGAAACAAAAGTACGGTGATTTCCGAGAGCGTCATGCGGATACCATCGATTCAGGAAAGCAGAAATACGGTGATTTCCGTGAGCGTCACGCGGACTCAATCGATTCAGGCAAACAGAAGTTAAGTGGTTACGCATCGCGGTTCACTGGCTCTTCTCCAGCGCCTAGCCCACCGGCCCGGCCCGCGTCGAATGCTTCTAGCATGAACTTGGAACCGGCCGAGCCCGCGCGGGGCACGTCCTCTGTGCAAGATTTCCGTGAACGTCATGCCGACAAGATCGACATGGGTAAGGAGAAGTGGGGTGGAGTCACATCGCGCTTTAACACATTTGTGGAGGACCGCAAGTTCTCCGCCGATGCTAACAAGCGGATTCCCCGCCCACCTTCTCGTCCCATCTCCATGACCCAGTCGAACTCTCCAGCATCACCCACAGAGCCTGATCTTCAGACTCAAGCCCAACGCAAGAAGGCGCCCCCTCCACCTCCTAAGCGAGCTGAATTTCGTGCGTCCCCTGTTGACGCTTCGTCGTCACTCCCAGGGCCTCCTCCCGTTCCTCATAGCACTAAGCCTCGCTAAGGACTGTATTTCTAATTGTGTAAATGTGTACGTTGTGCATTACTGGCGTTGGGGGGGTTTTTTTACAGCATAAATAGGATGGAAATCGAAATTTAGTCATGATGACGATAAGTGTAGACCTGTACAATAGTTGTACGTCATACATAGTGTCCATACCGATTATAGTCTCTCATACTAAGACCGAGGCTGCATGTGATGCGGCTTTTTTTTATATCTAATTGCATATCTCCAACTTGTTGGGATAGCGCAAATCTCCCAACAAGCCCAGTGCATCCCTGCAGGGTTATTCTCTTGCTTTGATTTAACCTTCAAAGGTCAAAACCTTAGCTGAAATGTTCCGAGGAACTTGGAACCTTGTTCAGCTGACTCAGCGTGACTTTTCCCCCCGGGGCCGAGCTGGTGTAGGTAGGGCTATGTACTCCGTAGGGCTTACAGCCCTCCAGGGCTGAGATGTCATGTCATACTCCATCCGAGTCCAGAGTTGCCCTCGTTCCCGGTTTTATCTTTAAAAGGGAATTACAAGTATTTCAAGGGCACAAGTGCCCCTGCAGTTCGGTTGGCTTACATCATCCTCCCCAATGCCCGGAAGATAAATTCTCATTGAGACAAAGAATTCACTACCCATGTCTATTCCATACATATTACATTGTTCAAAGCAATGTATCAGACCCTTTAGGCAAGTGGCGATACTCCAAGACTTACCTCGGCATGTCTCATAGCCAAGCCTTGGAATTCCCAACAAACTAGACGCGGGCGGATCGAGATCGTCCAAGGTTGTTGAGAAATTTAAAGGGTTATCTGGATCCACTGGGACTTCAACGTCTTTTTTTTTTCTTCTTTCTTTTTCCTTAGAAATCATATATCTTTTCTCTTATATTCCTTTTTTATATCACTTTTCTTCTGTGACGCGTTGAATTGATTCCGCGTGGCGATCATGCACGACTTCAACGTGCCCACCAAGTTTGGCCAGGCTATTGTTCGCATTGCCTTCCCTCCCGCCTCTCTCCTCGCCTTCCCTCCCCACGAGCTTCCAGTGACCATCCCTGCGCCTCACATCGACACCCCAACATGGAAGCAGCCCTTCAACATCCCGAACGATCTCTATAACAAGGTGCTGGACGTTCGGCTACCAATCACAATCGCCAGTGTCTATGCGATCACTGTGGTCCTGCTCAATCGCATCAACAAGAGCCGCGGATATAAGCCATATGCCTTCAGCAACACTCGCTTGTTCAAGCTGTTCGTTATTCTCCACAATGTCTTCCTAGCTGTGTACTCCGCATGGACCTTCGTGGGCATGTTCCAGGCCTTCAGAAGCTCTTTCCCGGATAGTGACGATCCCCACGGACTGATTGGAGTTGTGGACTCACTGTGCAAGATCAATGGACCCCGTGGTTACGGCAATGCCGCTATCTACAGCCCCATCACTGACGAGTGGTCGATTCCCAACCCTGTCTTCCACCTCACCAACGGCATGCCCGACCCCACGGATGCGGGCCGTTTGTGGAACCAGGGCTTGGCTTACTTCGGCTGGTTCTTCTATCTCTCCAAGTTCTACGAGGTTGTCGACACCGCGATCATTCTGGCCAAGGGCAAGAAGAGCTCCACCCTACAGACCTACCACCACGCGGGAGCTATGATGTGCATGTGGGCTGGTATTCGCTACATGGCAGCTCCTATTTGGATCTTCTGCTTGGTTAACTCGGCCATTCACGCTATGATGGTAAGTCGGACAATCGCATCGATTTTGATTTGTTAGGCCCAGTTACTGACTTTATCTTCGCTATAGTACACCTACTACACCATCACTGCTCTTCGCATTCGCGTCCCTAATGCCATCAAGCGGAGCTTGACCACTATGCAGATTACCCAGTTCGTCTTCGGTACCAACATGGCTGCCGCCTACCTATTTGTCCACTACACTATTCCCTACCCGTCCGGTAGCGCCGCCCTGCAACAGCTGACTGATGCCGCTTCCGCCGCCGCCTCTGCCACTGCTGAGGTTGGTTCGATCTCCTGGTTGAAGAAGCTGGCATTCCGAGCTGCAGGCGCAGAAGGACTTGCCGAGAACGTGGGCACTTCTTTCCACGCCGCCCCTGTCCAGCAATCCGGCTACTCCCAGCAGATGGTGACCTGTGCGGACACCACCGGTCAGGCATTCGCCATCTGGCTGAATGTCTCCTACCTCCTTCCCCTCACCTACCTCTTCGCGCGCTTCTTCGTCCGCTCCTACCTGAACCGCAAGGACCCCGGAGTGAAGCAGCCCACGCACATGGAGGCCGCTGAGAAGGCCGGCATGGACGCCCTGAAGAGTCTGAGCCGCGAGATCCGCAAGGCTGCCATTGAGGGCGAGACCAGCGAGGTTACTACCGATGATGAGGTCATCAAGGCTCAGGCCCAGAAGATTGCCAACAAGGTCACCCCTGACTCACCGATCCGCACCCGCTCGGCTGCTGCTTCCAAGGCAAAGATTACCTCGTCGTCGGTCAGCCGCTCGGAGTCTGAAGAGGGCTTCGCCAAGGTCCCCGCCAAGAAGGGGGCTAAGAAGCAAAAGGTTGAGAAAGAGTCTCCCTCCAGCAGCCCCAACGCAAATGGCGAGAACCCATTCGGCGTATTGGATAATAATGCTTAAAATGCATTGGAAGGTGTTGGCATATTCTTATACCGCATAAATATGGAGTTTCGGGGTTTAAAAAACGATTTGATGCTCGGCTATGATGGCTTTGCTTTTGTTCGCCGTTCGGGACTTTCCTAGAAGTATGTGGGCCTCATTGCCGGCCCGGTGTGTGCGGGTCATGGGGGAATATCCGGGGAATCACCGTCTACCCGGAGTATTTATCCCCGGCCTCGGCTATCCGAGTTTCATAGAGTGACTGGACGGCTTTTGATTTGATTTTATAGCGCCTTCGAGTGTATTCATAACAGCATTTTGCTGTACCAGCGTACACTATTTTGTATATTTTTATCACGGTGTATTTATAATATAAAAATATTGAAAGTTCATTATTCTTGTCCTCTGGAGTAATCCCGCATGAATGGAGGGAAAACATCTGTCATACATAACTCCCGGGGGATATGACTCGAACAGTTATCTTTTCAAGTAAGGCATATACCAAGTAGGCTGTTAACACCTATCCTAAAGGGATAGAGTACTTTGCTGCTTATAAGTGAATGTTGCGGCAAGGACCATTTACACGGTTTGGATATCTGTTGGCTCTTTCAGACGACGCAGGACTAACTAATCCTAATAAGCGATTTTCAACCGAGTCTGTCTATATGAAGACGGTCAGGATATTTTGTTTCAGCTACTGCAAATATACCAGAAAGACGTATGAATTGTGTATGCAAGCAAGACTACTGGCGCTATTTATAGGTAGATGAAGCCTAACCATCAAAAGTCAACATGCTGATCATCGCAAAAGGGTGCATCATCTCCCCGAAGAGATCTCCACCAAGTAGACACGTTGAAGGTGTTTACATCAATGATCTAATGCTAAGCTTGTTTGTCATCGTTAAGGGGTGTCGTGGCCATATACCCTGTTTGCCAGGAGACAGAATACCGTTTGGATCTAGCTTGTCCTTCACATTTGGTTAGCATCTTGACGGTCCATCCATATGTACTTAGTGAGAGCTTGGGGAAGTACCTTGATATCTTCAACAAATCGCCGGTACGCATGATTATTGTAGTTGTAAACGTCCTGAATCCGATCTTTCTGGCCGTCAGCGTGGTTCATACATTCCAGGGACCTTAGTGACGTTGACCTACCCATGTTGTCAAGGTGTGACCGATAGTTCGTCAGGTTGTAGTTTTTTGCGTGCTGTTCTAGGTCAGTCCACAGACGCTGGACGTTCTCAGTATCATCTTTGTTGTCGCTATCGTAATATATCATGTGCGTAATGAGCAGGTGCTTCTTGAAGATATGTCCGCCCGTGAAAGCATCGAATCCATGATCTTTGCATATCTTCTCAGCTTCTTGGACCCATCGCAGGGCAAATTTGCTATCGTGTGGCAGGACAGGTACAAAGTCTGTGTGCGCTGGGTGGCCCCCGTCTGGCGGCAACGCGAAACTGACCATCTTCACACTGTCGATCCGGCCCATACCAACGACCTCTGGGCGTGTTGAGTTTGCGAGTACTTTGTTATCAAGTGGTTTGCCATCCTTTTCGACGTGGAGCGTATGTTCTAGCTTCGCTGATGGGCAGCGCTGGGTCAAAACTTCTTTTGTTCGACTCAGACGAGCAAGTATCATGTCCTCGGTGCCATAGAAATCAAACATGATTATCCAGTGGCCCAGCTTGAAATCCTGCTTCATCTTTTCAATGATTATGGGTGGAATAGGGCCTTTTCCTTGGTAGTATTCGGACTTTTGCGTGAGGGTCGACACGGCACCAAGGATGTTGCCAATGAGAGGGTCATTTTGAATGATATCTTCTCGGCGTAACTGTGCAAAGGCCTCGATGAGCCCCTCTAGGTCCTGATGCTCTTGTCCATGTACAGCGAGAGACATGTACGCTTGCGGTCGAGGATACATGCCAATTCCCATTTTTGTCACAATTCCTAGATTACTCTGGAGGAACAGGCCGTCAACCTGGGGTCCAAAGCTGCTTTTATGAGTATGAGAAATTGAACAATTATCCGCAGCCCATTGTCCAGTTCGTAGAAGCTCCCCGTTTGGGAGTACGACCTCCAGTCCACAGATATGGTGATGATGCTCTCCCAGTGGGTTGTAACCAAAGCCACGATCGAGAGTCTTTCTCAAAATGTCAGTAAAGTCCAGAGGGGTAATACTCATTTGGGAGAACTCACATTTCCAACAACACTACCCCACGAGATGAAGGGAACGCTTGGCCACACGGAAGGATTGTGCTCGGTACAGTGCTGTGCCAAGTCATGGAAGCTGACACCAGGCTCAACCACGGCGTATGCCATTTTTTCATTCACTTCCAAAATTTGAGACATGCGGTGCAAGGACACGACCACTGAACCAAGTACCAACGGAGCCGGACCGCCGTACCCCAGGTTCTTGCCTTTCGAAGTTGTCCAAAGAGGGATTTTGTGGCAATTCGCCATTCGAACGATATTTTGGATATCATTGACGCTTGCGGGGCTATATATAGTTTGAAGCTTAGCGATAAGAACAAATAAGGAAAAGGTCGTGCCTTTCATTTTAAGAACTCACCACACAGCAGCAGAAGGAATATGGTCTTCGTTGACACCGAAAGGATCCACGAAATTCAGCAGGTTCGAGCCAGTGTGCACATTCTCTGGTCCAACAACGGATCGAAATTGTTGAAGAACATGGTCAAACCTCGCCTTAGAAAGCCCAGGTGGAAGGACTTCCCGTGGAGGCACACGTCCAGTGACGAAGGACGATTCATGAGCCTGTTGTAAGCTCTCATCAACGTACAGCTTCATGGTTGCGACTCAGTTTGTATCTTGTAAATAAAAGTTTAAATAGATAAGGCAAATGAGGATGGGAGAGAAAACACTCACAGATATCTTGGGCTTTAAGCTGTGGATTACCCCCACATTTGGGGATATAGATGGAGTACGGGGTACATGAAGATCTTCAAGCTCCCCACATATCCACCACATGAGATGGTGAAGGTGTGTATATAGTTGCCCGTGTTGACCAGTAACTTAGTTCTGAGAGAGCTTTTCTTCTAATCACGAACTTTCTTATCCTCTGGCTTTTCGCATACATTATTGGATCCATAACAGACGATTTTATAGTTTCAATAGAGGGAAGATATCCTCCAAATCATAAGGCTTGCTGTGACTTCGTCTTACGCCACATCCCTCGAATAGAATATCGATGACACCACGGAGAGGTCAAATTAATGAGCTCCAAATAAAATAATCCACTTCTCAGATGTCCCCACCGTTCCCCGCAAAAATATACCCTTTGCGGGAAAATTCCCATGTCATATGAATTGCTTTCTATGGTCGCACATTTTGTACATGTATCCATAGCATATCACGTCCACATACCCCCAGGGAGGTCCATATACCCCCAGAGAGGTTAAGGAGTGAGGTAGACAGGGCCATATGGCTCTGTTGTCGCGCCGCCTGACGTTAAATACTATTCCATTCCATTCCCTCGTCACGAGCAAGCTGGAATACGAGCTTCATTGAATGTAGGCCACCGCAGCCTTGCTACTTCTCCCTCCTCGATTCCTTTGGGACTGGACTAATTTCTTTACCACACTGATTTATATCAAGGGAGATCATACCCACATCGCTCCAGGTTATTGTGGAAAAACCGAGTACAACTGAAGTACTTTCCCTACCATTCGGTATCGAGCGTTATTAGGTTGGAAGCCATTCCACACCTTCGCTTTTCAATGTGTCGTAATTCAATCTGTATCACCAAGCGAAGCGAGTTGCAGGTCATAAGCGCATGCGAGTTGCTCAAACAACCGAGCAATCCGGGGCGTAACTGCGACAGGTTAGCCTAATGAGGAAATCGCGCGACAACGAGCATAGCCTACCTCCCCAGACCCATACATCGTCATAGAAATTCTTCCACATCCGTAGCACACCCGCAGCGAGGGACTCTTGTTCGTTAGAAACATGCTCCATCTCCACCAAAAGGTCTGTTGCCATCTTCAGAAACTCCAACTCTGCAGAGTTAGTTTCCTCATGTTGCTTTTGGTTGAGTTGAATTTTCTGGATGCAGTTGCTTAGATATATTGCTAGTGCCCGAGTTAGGTCGCGTTCGGTACGCAGGTGGCTCAATGGCCAGTTGAATTTAGGCAGGAATGGCACACGGACTTACCACAATCAATGCCAACCAGGGCGTGTTCGATGCTCCAGTTGAATGCAGCAGTTTTGCGCAACAGGAATGCGTCGGATCTGAGAATCGTCATAATGCCGTCAAAGATCACACGAGCGGTCTTTGCAGAAACTGCGTGCCTCTTTGAATTTTGAGTAACAAAGTCTTTAACCGCCGCCGTCATATCTTCCTCAACATCACTCAGCAAGGCCATACGATCAAGCCCGCCTACACCGGTAAGAACCCGGGCGTGGATCCCCCGGAGCAGGGATAGGCTGTTGAACAAAAGGGGACCTTCGGCTTCATCCCATGTCACTTCATTCGCAGCTCGGGCATTAGAGATCATCAGGTAACATCGCGAAAGGGCAGTCTCGATATTTGAGACGAGCAGGGCTTGAATGCCCCCCGGGGGATGAAGATTTAGCCCAAATCCAGTCAACGTTTGGGCGCTCTGCATCAGGTTCCATGTGTGTATGGATACGGCATGCATGACTACGGCCACAGCACAGGGTGACCACTGATCCAACACGGGTCCTGTTTCTGGAGATCCTCCGTATAATAGCTGGGAAACAGCACTTCGCAGTGTTGGTAGTGGACCTCGAGTTCTAGCTTGAACAATGAGCATCCAGTCAAGCTCTGTCGACGCATGCCATAATTCATCATCATCTGGTAGGTCAACATCATATTCCTGGACGAGGGAAATAATGGGAGAAACACGGAAGGTGATGTTGAGTATATCACTGATGGCTAGGATTGCATGAAGTACCCTAGGGATAGTTAGACGGTGCTCCACAGACTTTTGCTGGGACTTTTGCCTGGTAAACTGACCGCTTCTTGGATTCCCTCCCGATCCAGTGATTCCAAGACACGTAAGCCTGCCACGAATCACGGCACAAATAGGACGCTAGGATGCGATATTCCTACACGAATTAGGAGAGGAAAGACTACGGTAAGTTTTCGGGGCTCTTACACAAGCAAGAACTAAATCCAAACAAACTTGTCAGCGTGCCCTGAAGGAGAGAGAAATGTGGGGGAAAACTTACACCCAATCCCATCGATCGCCTTTCGACTAAATGCTGCCTGTCCGCCGATTGCAGCGACAAAGACAAGGAGGACTCGTGTCTGCAGCTCCCAAAGGGGCTTCGGGGAGGACATAGTTTGCCTGGTCGACGAGCTGGTAGCTTTCGCTTCGAACGATGGGCTTGCTGCTTCGCCATCTCTCTTCAAGGAGAGCATATCGAGAGCTCTCTCTGCCATGCAAAATAGGGATGCCGATAGCTTACGGTCTAGTCGGTATAGCGCACCGATCGCACACATGGCGAGAATGAGAGGGCTCGCCATCCGGTCAAGGGTGAATTTATGCGGGTGAAAGAGGGCGTGATGGATGTGGAATCGGTCGAAATAACCGCGCATGCAATTTTGCATCACAGTTGCAGACGGGACTGCAGTTCCTATATCTGCATCAAGACCTATATCCAGCAAATCGGAGATTATATTCTGTCGCATATCTTGGGTGAACATAACGGCCTTGGTTCTTGGACGATCGCGTATAACCACAGTAGGAATGCCGGCATGTAGGGGGTCGGGGTGGACGTTAACCGGGGGCGGGGGAAGCCCCCGGAGGAAAGCAGGCGCTTCCTGACCCGTGTTATTCAAATTGAATAAGATCCGAGGGGATCGGGACTCTAGAGGAAATTCAAATCCACTGCCGACATCAAACGGCAGGGAAATATCTAGAAGTGGCCAGTAAGGCTCAGCTTCGTCCTGGCCTTCGCTCAACCCACTCCCGGGCAGTACGCTCTCTGGCTCCGAGCAATCCAGCCCAGCGGTCTGTAGTGCTTTCTCAAGCATATCATATTTTTCAGCTGACATCGATGAATCAGGCGAAATTTGCTGGGGAGCTTTTCTTTGATCATTTTGGGCATCAAAGGAGGAGGTTAAGTCATCGTTTAGGAACGCATCTAGGCAAGGTTGTGGGGTAGGGAATGCGACGGCAGGAGCTATCGAGATGCGACGATGACTCCCATTCAACGAGACTGGTTGGGGTGGCGATGTGGCTTCCAGACTAGAAGTCGAGGGCGACCCTGGAATCATTTATAACCGGTCAGCACCCATCTTATCTCAAGTAGTGGAGCAGCGAGGCACTCACCTTCCACATCATCCGTTCTTTGGGCGGAGTCTATCGCTGAAGATGCATTTTTTCTGATAGGGGAGGCTCCCTTTATGTATTCATCCTTGTGAATTGTTTTCTCATGCCGCAAGACGAGGTCCCTTTTCTCGTGGATTAGTCATGTTCATCCATATCCATGGATATCGCGCATCCGTTACTTACCGACGGGCGTATTTTCGACGACAGTATCGACAAGAAAATGGTTTCTCTAGCGTGTCTAGGGAGATATGGTTAGCAGATCATAAGAATAGGTAGGAATGGACTCACGGCTGCGCTCGTGTCGGATGCGATGTTCACTCCGGGTAAAGGATTTCGGGCACATCGAACAGGGATATTTTCGTTTTGATTGGGCAACATCTGGGGCCGGGGACGGCATAATGAGGACTCAACATGAAGCATAACGCACATTTGACAAGCGTCAGAAAGAGTATCCTGCACACCCAAAACTCTGGGGAAAGGGGAGATCTTGAGCTTTCTCCGCTTTTTCGGCTATTCACCTATCCCACTTCCTACTGATCTCGAAATTCTGACTGGCCAAATAATTAACACACCCGTTCTTCCTTTTTTTTGTCGTGTTTTGCGGGGAATGTGGCCACCTTTTTCCGTATCCCCCGATTGGTTTAACACCATGGGGGAAATTCGAAAACTCCTATTGCCGTTGGTGTCAATTTGGATATAGTGTTCACTGAGATTGCCTCTTACGCCATAGTCTTATTCTTAGCTCGTCTCTCTCGCCGTTGTTCTAGGCTTAAGTATAGAAGGACATGATCTAGAGCCGGTGAAAGAGCTGCAGGCACAGTATGGGAATCACACTCTTGGAATCAGCTCTATCATATTGCTCTCTACCCCTTTCGAAGTTGGATTCAACCCGATATTTCAATTTGGGCTTGTAACGCCGCACAAAGTACACTTTGAGACCATTATACAAATTGCACCAAGATCTCATATCCCTCGCTTTCTATGTAATCGACAGAGGGAGACAACATCATTTTTGTGATTCTTCTTTAAGCGGCATCTTTTCTTGTTTTCCAGTCAAGGGTATAGATGCGCGTCTCTACTCAGTTTCATTCTACAGACTGGACATAAAAGGGCCACAGACAACTGATTAAATTCCGTGTTAGAAACCGCCACATCTCCGGGACTCCCCACGTTTACCCCACATACTCTCTTCGAGCCTCCAATTCCCCATTTTCTGAAAACTGTTGGGGGAAATTTGGGTCCCCAGATATTTCTTGTCCATTTTCTACAAAGTCCCATCAGTAAATCCAAGTCCAATTAACCTGTCGTAGTCCCAACAATATTGATCTTCTCCCCCACATCAAAGGGATCACCTTCTATCCGGCGTTTTTGAAATTATGATAGTGACTAAAAATAGACAAAGAAATCAAGTAGGACAGTTAATCATTTTTGCTCCGGGTCATAGTTCCATGTTATCGAATTTCAAAGGCTGGATTTGTCCTCTAGAATCAAAGCAATCAATGCCTCGTAGATACTATGGCCTTCCCGAGATCACGAAACTACACCTGTCTTGATCTGCCCAAAGAACTTTAAGCGAGCTAGCCACTGCTTTCGCCATAATAAAACTCGTTAGTACTTCCAGCACTTGAAGAAACTTGAGCTGATCAGTGCAAATCAGACACGAAAGAAAGACCATTCAATTGTGCCCAGTGTTCGAAGCGCTATTACAGGTACGTATTTTATCTACTCTACTATGCACCGATTATATCTGTCGTCGATGTATGAGCTAGCAGAGTATGGAGGTATGGAGTGCTGATTGACCAATGACCACCAATTAGAGTTGTCTCGCAGCTACATGAGAAACTTGACCACAACCGACCACAACCAAGAGACACAACAACGCTAGCTTGATCCAAAATCTGACTCGAGCATTTCAACGCATCCAACCTCTCCTCCCTATAGTAATACAAACCCGATCTTCTCCAAATTCAGCACCCAGAGAACTAGTTCAACCTATTCCCCAGTATTATCCTTTGTCACCACCAAGGAATACAACATTCGGTATACCGAGCCCTATCGATTGTTCTACCACGATCTCTGCCTATGAACGGCTTCTTCGATGTGAAGAGCTTTCCCCATCCGTGGGCAATCTTTCCAAATCAAACATTTTCGGAAGACTTGGGGAATCCCCGGGTGCCTTTCTTGGTTGCAGCCAACCCCATGACAATCCATCTCCCTTGTTACCGTCACCTATGGGATCACCTGCTTCGATTTTACAACCGCGTTTAGAAGGGCCCGACTCTGATCAGGTTTTCATGTCACTCATGAAAATGTTAGATCCATGGAGGGCACGACAGGAAGCAGTTCGATCCTACATGGCGGAAATTGACTCTGTGCCAGAATACCATGTCCATACCGGAACGCCAAAATTTAGATCTGACAGGTAATAATTATGAAAATGGACGCGATTATTAGATTGGGCATAGATAAAAACCGCAAGCTTAGAAATATCAAGAACCTTTTGTACGGGAAAGTGAAACCGGGCTTGACTAGATCTTTGGCCATCCTGCACGTAATATATGCAAATTTCCCAATATCCATACTATGTTCTAAAATAAGCTCTTAATATTCCAATTGAGCAAAGTTTGAAATATAGGTATATAGATCCATCTTCGATATTGAAACAAGTCCTCAATTTGTGATGGTCTTCCACCCTATGCTTCAGGCTACATTTCGATGAATTGATTCTGATCAGGCGCTACACTTATCTCTTTTTTTCATCGCCTCGTGCGCGGATCCGATGCGTGGGAATAAAAGAAAAGAACATTGAAGTAAAGAAAATGCCCCCATAACCCGCATACAAAGGTGGAGGGCTGCGGAAAATTCCAGTGTGGGGTAGTTCATTGCAGTCAACACCCCAGATAGGGGGACATACGTTCCAGTTTGACAACCGTCTAAGGTAGCCTGTCACATTGGAGCGCCCTTAGGAGGGGTAAATGCTGAATTGGGGATACGTGGGGCACATAATAATATAAACTTCCTTGTATAGACGCAGTTATGATGAGTCGAAACTGCTTCACGCAAAAGCCTCAGGGAACCGAGCTTCGCAATTTGAGTTCAAAATGACCAGTCCATTCTTAAGTATCGTTGGGGGCGGACCCAGTGGGATCCTCCTCGCGCTTCTTTTGGGAAAGCAAGGCATCTCTGTGCAACTGCTTGAAGCCGCAGAGAAATTCGATGATCGTCCACGGGCCACACATTATGGCCCTGCCGCTGTGCGGGAACTGCAGAGAGCGGGCGTCTTTGAGGATATGAAAGCCAAAGGTGGCTTCTTTCCTTCAGGGGTGTCCTGGTGCAACTTTGAAGGGGAAACCTTGGCCACGATTTGGGGGCCAACGGGAGAGGAAGAGCACCCTACTATCTGCCTTCCTCTAAACAAATTGCATGAAGTTCTAGAAGAGCACCTCAAGTATTACCCCAGCATTGAGGTGTTTTTCAACCACAAAGTTGTTTCTGTCGGCCAGGATGAGTCTACCTCTTGGGTTGTAGTGGAAACCCCCGAAGGAAAGAGGACTTTCAACTCGCAGTACATCGTTGGGTGTGATGGTGCCAATAGTATCGTCCGACGGACTCTGTTTACCGATTCTGGCTTTGATGGATTCACCTGGAAACAGCAGATTGTGGCGACGAATGTGAGATGACTGCCCTCAACAAATTAGATCATCAGTTCTGACGCTCTAAACCCAGGTTTACTATCCCTTTGAGAAACACGGAGTCAAAATTGACTCGAGTTTCATCATTCATCCCGAGCATTGGCATATGATCGCGCGGATTACCGAGGATGGGATGTGGCGCGTAACCTATGGCGAACTTCCAGGCTTGACGTTTGAGCAGTTGAAGGAACGACAACCCATGAAGTTCAAGACCATACTACCAGGTCATCCTGATCCGGAGGACTACAAGCTCGTCAACTTTAGTCCCTATAAAGTCCATCAACGAATCGCCAACAAGATGCGGGTTGGCCGTATACTACTAGCTGCTGATGCTGCTCACTGTACGTTTCCACTGGCTTACCTAGGATTTCCCACTACATAATACTAACTGATGTATAGTATGTAACCCCTTCGGCGGCCTTGGTTTGACTGGGGGAATTGTTGATGTCGGGGGGCTATATGACTGTCTCTTTGGAGTGTATAGTGGACAAGCTGATGAGAGCATCTTGACACTCTACGATGAAGTACGGCGGGGAATGTATAACAATATCATCAACCCGGTCTCCAGCGAGAATATTCGACGTCTCTTTGACCAGGATCCGGCTACAATTATGCAGGAGGATGATTTCCTTCAGCTCGTCAAAAAAGCCGAGACGGATGCTGAAGCGCTTGATATACTCAGCAAGGGTGTATTTTCCATCCAGTACGACTTTACTCAGCATTATCGCTCTACAAAGACAAATGGCAATTGACGCGACCTTTTGCTACCAGTGGGCTGTACTTGCAGCTATGCTATCTTAAATCAGTCTATAGTAAATATACACCAACCATTTTCAGCCCGTTGATGCACCGATCAAGTCCGTAGTTTGCGCCAGAAATGAGTTTACCATAGCTGATCAACGACAGTGGTTTGAAACACAGGCTGTCCTCGTACTTGATTCTTCAAATGACCCGAGACCGCCAACTTAGAAACCGCGAATAATTTTGCTGTATTTTGTTGTATTCTGCGCCTTTTGATATTGCATTCAAGATTCGCCTCCCCTCCATGTGGCATTGCATATAGATTCTACTTTGGCTTTGCTATTTTATTTATTACAATAACAGGTATATTTTCCTCTTCATTTCCCCTCCATCCCGGAACCGGAATTACTCAATGCATCTTAGTTGGCTCCATTTCTAACCCTTCATCTTCAAGCATCAAAAAGTGTCACTTCGGAGGAGGTGATGGACACCCTCGGATATCCCGGTGTATTCGCCGCAATTTGACCTATAGCAAGTTATGCTTGCCACATGCAGTCGATTTTCCTAGTCAAAGTTCAATCCATTTGTGGACTGCATCATCAAGCCTGTATAGCTTCCATGGGAGGGGAATTATATTTTAATTTTTGACTTGTGAACATGTATATGAAGATTGAAAGCATTAGAAAATATTTGTGACGATAAAATGTGTATTATGCCTCATTAAAACGAACATGACAAAACACGACAACAGTGGGATAATACACATGTCAGACAGTGAAACAACGAAGATGCGAGGATTGACCAAAGTGGCTAACAATGAGTTGGTGCCATAGGCAGACTCAACACCAGGAAAATCTACCTCCCTATGCCAGGATTTAAAGGAGGCCCCGGAGCTTGGTGTTCGTTTGTCGGAACCGACGACCCCAGATCCCCTGCTTACCTGGAGAGAGAATGCTGTTAGGATCAATAGAATCCTAATAGCATAACGTTAGCCTTATTGACGAACGATGATCGTTCATTCGGAGAGTCAATTCCATACCTTCAGTTGTTCCACGAAGCGACGATAAGCATGATTGTTAAAGTCGTAGAAGTCAGCCACAGCATCTGAAAACTAGGTTAGTAACCATTCTTCCAACTTGATTTTCTTAGCGCTGTCTCACCCATGAAGTTCACATGTGTTCGGTATGCACTGTAACCCCGGGACTTCCCCTCCTTAAACAGTCCGCGGAAAATCTCCTTGATGGCTAGTCGGTCACTGGGATTAGCTTTGTCGAAGGTCATGAAGTTGACAAAAATGAGATGGCGTTCATGGATGAAGAAATCACAGAAAAGGTCAAAGCCATTGTCCTCGCAAATCTTTTGCGAGAGTTTCACCCACTCCAGAACGGCCTTTCCTGAGCTCGGGATGATAGGGGAATAGTCGATATGACCAGCGACACCACCGCCATTCTCAGGGAGTCGGAACTTGATCATGGGCAAGCTCCACAAGGAGGGAACGCCCACAAAGAACCCGCCATCTTCAGTCGGCACATCTTCTGCTTTCAGGGGCTGGCCGTCTTTACCGCTATATACCTGGCTGCGGAAGCGGGCTGTCGGAAGTCGCTCGGCAGCGAGGCGTTTGATCGCCTCCAGATGGCCTTCTACCACTTCAAGGGGACCATAGAGACCAAACTTGCCATTCCAGAATCCCACATCTAATTCTTTCTGTAATTCACGAAGACGCCACAGAGGGATTGGGCCTGGTCCAGACCATGCTTGTTTCCGCGTGCCTGCCATTGCAATCCACTCCGTCAGGGACGAGACGTAGAAAGTATTGGGGACAACGCCCATCTGGCGTAACTCGTTGAAGAGATCAACGAGATGTTCCACGTCCTCCAAGTTTGGCAAGTCGATTGTGCATGATGCATACGCAGGTGGTTGAGGATATAGCCAGATGCCCATTTTAGTAACAATGCCGAGGTTACTCTGAAGGAAAAGACCTTCAATAGACGGACCAAAAGAGAACTTAGACAGGTGAGCAGCCTTTGAATTTGAAATCCCGAATTGGCCAGTTCTGACAACGTCGCCATCTGCCAGAACAACCTCCAATCCACTAATGTTCTGGTGGTGGGTTGCGGTTGGGGTGAAACCGGTGCCTCGATCGAGTGTCTATAACAAGCGTTAGTTCCTTTCTCCCTTACGGATCATACAGAAGAGGCTTTACATTTCCCACGACACTTCCCCAGCCAAGAGATGGGACGCTAGGCCATACAGATAGCTTATTTTCGACGCAGTAGTTGTAAAGGTCGGTGAAAGTAACGCCTGGCTCCACCACGGCATATGAAAACTTTTCGTTGACTTCGATAATGCGATTCATTCGGTGTAGATCCACTGCAACAGAGCCTGACACTCGAGGCGCTGGTCCACCGTATCTGATCATTGCATGAGAACCCGTGTTGCTAACGACAGACCGAGTTGGGATCTTGACTTACCCAAGGTTTTTCCCTCGCGAAAATGTCCACAATGGAATGGTATACTTGTTGGCGACTTTCAAGATAGATTGAAGCTCCTCGACGGATCGAGGGCTACGAGAATCTGGTAAGTATATGTAGACCTGGGGCTAGAGCAGAGCCAACTCACAGTACAGCCGCGCTCGCAACTTTCCGCTCCGAATCATTGTCCTCGTGCAGCTCATATGGGTCGACGTAGTCCGATATGGCATCACCAATCAAGACTCCGTTGGAACCAAGCACACGTACAAACTCTTCGATAGCGAGATTGAAATCAGCCTGGCTTATGCCTGGTGGCAGCACCTGTTTCAATGGTCGAGTCAAGGATCCTTGAAACACTGCACGATGAGCGTCCTGATACTCAGGATCTTCGTAGCGAATAGGTAACTTAGTTGAGGCCATTGTGCCAGGCGATAATGGAGCTCTGGTCTTAAAGTTGACAGATAAAATGTCGATATCGTCTTAGCGTGTACTCACTCTGAGAGACTTTCTATGAATGAAGGAGAAAAAGGAACGTTACGAAGAACATCTCTCGCTTTTATTTCTTATTTCTTATGTAGTTTGATAGTCGTATTGATGCAATTTTTGGGGAGCGACTACCCCACATCCCCTGAATTCCCCCACATTTGAGGCGATACATTGCTTTTGCAACTATAGAGATTTGGTTGGTGCAAATGAAACAATTGGCGTCTTTAGAAAACACTGTCGGATGTTGAAACGGTTGCTTTGTTCGCTAGCTTGATCTACGTCACTTCTTCCTGGCGGAGCATGACGAAATGTCAATATATATTCACAACACTTCGAATTGAGATTATGTTAGTAGCAGCTCGAGCTGACTCGTGTGGCTGGAATTGTGTATTAGCTATAGGTAATTAGCCATCTCCCGGGCACCCCCGGGGCAATCACAAACGTTTCCCCACATGGAAAGTCCGCAGTCTTCAGAATTGCACCCGAAATGCCTTACTATCTATTCTGAAGCGTAATGAATCAGCGAAGCTGCTTCCCTCACAGGGGCCTTTATTTCGAAATTCCACAGCAGAACGTACATGAGGTTAAGAACGCCGCTCTAGCATGTTCATAAATACGTTCAAATGATTCCGTCACCTAGAGAAGAGAGGGCCTTTGAGCCAGACCTGGCCCCTCGAAAGCCGAAACGATTTCTATGTGAGCTTTGTGATCGACGATTCGCTCGCTTAGAGCACCTGCAGCGGCATAAGCGAATACGTACGTTGCCTTTGAAACCGTGCGCTCTGGTCACTAACAAAGCACAGATACACAGGAAAAGCCCTTTAATTGTTCTAAATGCCAACAACGTTTCTCGAGAAGGTAAGGAAAACTGTGTGCACCATATCGCCCCTCATTTGAATATTCCCATTCTTTAGACGTGGAAGCCGTGAAACCTGACGCTGAAATAGTGACCTTTTGGTCCGCCATGAAAGGCTGAGCCATGCTGTGACAATCAACGATCACACGCATGATGGAACGCAAAGGGCAAAGCGACCATGTACACCAAAGAACATCGATCAACAAGAGAGCGTAGATGCAGAGAATGCAGGCCCAGTGGATGACGTTTCCGGAGGGATGACATTGAATGAGTTTGAGCTCTCAGCACTGGATACCACCCCGCAAGAGCTACTCGGTCCCTCTTTTGAAATATCCCCTGTTGCTATACCGAGGGATGTTGTAACGATAATGGATGTTTCATGCCCGAAAGTAAATGACCACGACAACCAAAGGCAACCAAGCTTACCAGGACAGGGCTATATGCGTCCAGATCAAGCGGTTTTCAACAACTCAATGCAGGACCTTGCAGCATTAATGGATACCAATAGCCCATTGCCCGAGGACTTTCTTTCATTTATTTCGCTATCAGATCTCACCACTTTCATTCCTCCACAACAGTCACAGGGACAAGAGACCATTCCTGTGTTACTCAATCCAGAATCGGTGCCGCGACAGGACCCAGTGGAGTCTTTTTCACGCCTCGGATCTCGAATTCCTTCGTTAGAGCCACAGCAAGATGTACGGCCATCTACTGAGCCTGCTCGATCGAGTAGACTGTTTGGGAGCATCAGTTCGGAGACAAGGCAGCATTTCATTTCGAAATTGGGAGTTTTTGGCATGGTCATTCCAGGACACTTTCAAATGCCATCAAAGCTTGCGCTCTCACGATATTTTACAGCTTATCTCAATGCGTTCCATGAGCACTTGCCCTTTCTTAACATTCCTACGCTGGTGAGCGAAACATGCTGCATTGAGCTAGTGTTGGCTATTGCGTCAGTTGGGGCCCAGGCCTGTTTGGAATCAGAAACTGCAGTCCAACTGTTTGAGACAAGCCACGCTATTGCAAAGGAACGTTTACAAAGGCTGGATGATTCCACGACTCAACCTAGGACATGTGTTCACAGAAGAGGGTCTACTTGTGCACCAAGTCCGGAACAATACGAAGCCCGTGTTCCAGTCCCAGAGGCGCCTTTGGATGACAACCAAAAGGCTCCGGAACATAGGATCCAAACTGCACAGGCACTGTTACTCCTAATGGCTGAGGCGACATGGTCCAACAATCGAAGAATATCACGACAGGCCCTGGTTATACAAAGCATGCTGGCGGGCCTTGCCCGAGAAGATGGGTTGAAAACTACACTACCGCCACCCGATATCAGATGGGAGCAGTGGGCAAAATACGAAAGCATGAAACGAACCAAATGGATCGTGTTCTGTTTCTTCAATCTCCATACCATTGTCTATGATATCCCTTCATTGATTTTGAGCGCGGATATGGATGCTATGCATCTCCCCTGCAATGCCGAAACCTTTCGAGCGATATCCAAGACTACCTGGCTGGAAAGTAAGAAAAAGGAAACTAACGTTTCCTTTAAACGGGCATTAAGGGGCTTGTTTAAAGATGAGAGTCGGCGCCAAGAGTTGACACCGAACTCAAGTCTTGGAAACTACGTACTGATACATGCCTTGATACAACATATATATCTGATCCGTCAGGTTTCCCACCACCGTGACGATACCGGTTCGGGCATACCGGAAGAGGACCTTGCCTCGATTGAACTAGCATTGAAAAATTGGAAGTTAGCCTGGAAGAAAACACCTGAGTCTAGCCTTGATCCCGCCAATCTAGCAGGCCCGGTGTCATTTAACTCAACCGCATTGCTGCGTCTTGCCTATATTCGACTAAATGCGGATATTGGACCTAATCGGGCTCTCCATACCCATGATCCAGCAAAGATTGCAAATGCTTTCCTTCAATCCAAAACCATCATAAGAACACCGGGGCTACTACGGGCGATCTTACATGCAGCCCATGCTTTAAGCATTCCTATAAGAATTGGAGTCCATATCGTGGCCCAGACTCAAACAGTTCGATGGTCTATCCAGCATTCCTTGGCGACGCTTGAGTGTGCATTTTTACTTAGTAAATGGCTTATGGCTTTGTCCTCGGCATTTGCGGACGAGAGTATCACCGCTGGCGAGTACAGTATGTTAGGGCTCGTGAAGACGATATTGGACGAAACTGACCATCCTCTGCCTTCAACAATCGCACTCGAATCGCCACGTGGGACAAGGACACTAGCGGTTAATTTGCTACGGGTTTGGGCAAATTCATTTCATGGGCCCACGCACGTTTGGGCCATTGTGGATGTGATTGCAAAATCTCTGGAGATGTGTGCAAATATGATAGACTGTGGGTGAATTTCAACTTTTGTCTCGGCCTTATATGTATGTGGAATTGGTTACGCAATTGAAGTTTCATGTAGAGGACAAAAAAGGACCTCTTTTAAGGGAGAATGCAAAGCAACAATCCTTTGGTTATCTCAAGATTGCTCGTTCAACCATTTGTACACAACCCGAGCATCCTTTCCTTTATATCGTGGATCTGCCGCAGCCTCGTCAAGGGCATCCAGGGTTGGCTTATCAAGGATCGTTCTTGCTCCCACCATCTTCCCTAGGTCACTGCCCATCTTCAATACCTTTCTGCATAATTCGATCCGGAATCCGCCCTCGTAGTCCCGACTCGCAGGCGCGTTGGCATGGATTCCAGGTACGGGGTTACTCTTTGAAGTCACCCAACATTGGCCTCCACTGACATTGATCACATCCGTCAACTGTTTCAAATCCAATCCCATTTTGGCGCCGATATTCAATGCTTCGCTGGCAGCGAGACTGGTAATGGCTGACAGATAGTTGTTGATGACCTTGAATGCGGTTCCAGAGCCAACTTCTCCACAGTGGAAGATTCCACCGGGGCTTCCCATATGAGAGAGAACGTATTTGGCTGTCTCAAAAGTGTCTGAAGTGCATCCAACCATGAATGTGAGGTTGCCGGCTTGCGCCCCCATGGGACCACCTGACACTGGGGCATCAACAAATGTGACTCGTCGGCCACATGTGAACTGTTCATCTGTATTTCTAGTGGCCTCGGCAATCTTGTTGATGGTATCGGACTCAATGGTACCGCACTCCATGATTATCACTTCTTTGGAGACATCAGGAACGCGTGCTCGTACACCAGCCAGGATTCCCGTTTCCGGGTCCAGGTAAACTGTCTCAACAGCACGTCCATTTGGTAGCATTGCGATTACCAAGTTCTATTCCATTTAATCAGTCAATTTTATTGAATTTCTTGTTGCTGGAATCACGCCTTGATCCCAACTGCTAGGATCGTGACCTCTTACCGCTACTTTGGCTGCTTCAAACCCACTCTTCACAAACTCCACCGTACCCTTTCCTTTGGTCTCCTTTTGATATCTTTCTATAGCCTCGACTGAAACGTCGTTGACAAGAATCTTGGTATTGGAACTTATCCTCTCGCGGAGATTGATGGCCATCGGGTAGCCCATGACCCCCAGGCCTGCAAATCGATTAGCAAGATTCTCGAATATTAAATCACAATTCCAATAGAAGAAAGATCGGATTGACATACCGATGAATGCGATGGTAGTGAGGTCGGAAGCCATTGTAGCCGGTGTATTGCTGTCTGTTCAGGTATGCAGTCGGATAACTCGTCAGATTCTAGAAGTCCAAGGAAATTCCCACGAAATGATAATTAATAGCACTGGAAATTGGATAGAAAAGGCGACCGAAATAAATACTTTTGAGGTCATCTTGATTTGCATAGAAAGTAAATGACTTGAGTCTTCGCATAAAGTGTTATGTGGGGGAAAAGCGATGCTTCCCCGATCTCCAATCCCCAACCTCCACCCCCAATCTTGAGTTCTCCGACTCGATATTCCAGCAGTGACCTCGGCTTGATTCATTGCCTGCGTCAATAATCGCATTCCTTCTGATGCTGGGTCGATTGATCTATTGTCTCTTAGAACCCCACATTGGGTGACTGTGACTTACTCTTAAAACATTGGTCTACGCGCCATGCTGTGAAGAGCTGGTCCCAGAAATCCCCAGAAATAATATCAAAAAATCCGAACATTTCATTCCATCACCATGCCTTCAGCTGAATCCAATATGGAGGGGTTCTTCCTTACGGAGCCGCGCCCTGATCAAGTCTACGTTGAGCTTTCAGCCCTAGAAGGGGGGCAGTTGACTCTCCCAGAGAAGATGTTCATCACCGAGGCTGATTTAGAAAGACGTGTCACAGTGCCCTCGCTGTCCTTTCTCATCCGCCATCCATCTGGTATCTCTGGAAAGCCCACGAACATTCTTTTCGATCTGGGCATGAAGAGAAATGCAGAGGAATTCTCACCTACCATGCAAGCTCACATTAGCAATCGCCAGCCAACTATAGTGCATTCAGACGTGGCTGATTCTTTGCGCGGCGGGAACCTAGAACCTTCGAGTATTGATCTGGTTCTTCTAAGTCATGTAAGTGGGCAAAGGGGCTTCCTTTCATTCCGCTTGTGCTGATCTGACTCGGGACCTTAGGTACACTGGGATCATGTCGGAACACCGGATGACTTTTCCGAAGCACAATTCATTGTGGGCGCCGGCACTTTGAACATGCTTCATCATGGTGCACCCCCTCATTATCCAGCCGACAATTTTATTCCCGACCTGTTGCCAGAAGACCGGACCCGGGAGCTTCCCCCAGCCCCCACGAACACCACTCCAGATGCAGGAGCTCCTGAAATTTTCCCCGCACCAAAATCTCAGCAAACCACACATGAATGGAACCCACTGGGCCCTTTTCCCGCCGCGGTTGACCTGTTTGGTGATGGCAGCATTTACATCATCAATAGCCCGGGGCACCTCATTGGCCATATCAACTTACTAGTTCGTTTATCGGAGACAAAGTGGGTGTATTTGGGTGGGGATTGCTGTCATGATATTCGAATCTTACATGGAGAGAAGGACATTGCTCTTTACAGTGATGGGCACGGCGGCAAGCGGAGTGTGCATATACACACGGAGGGTGCACAGGGCACTCTTGGGAGAATTCGAGACATGATGGATGAGTTCAACAAGATCGCGGTGGAGACCCATAGCGAGCAAATAGTTGAGGTGATTGTAGCCCATGATGGTGGCTGGCGGGAGAGGAATCCCTCAAAGTTTTTCCCAGGTAAAGTTTAGGGGCTTAGAAGAGTTCATATTCAAGCAACCTAGGTGGAAAACATCTCTCTCATTCCTTATTGAACTTAAAGAAACCAAAGGAAAATATTTAATTCCAAGTTCGAGTGACTGTGTTTCTAAAACAACTCTTTTTTTGTGGATGTATTTCTTAGAATAACTCGTCAACCAGGGGAGCTATGGACTCTGGGGTTAATTTAAATTACTCACAACGGCGCGAGCTATTGTTTAGTAACAGTCAAATCGTTGATTTGGAGATGTCAGAAGCTAAAAGTAGCAAGATCTCTATTTCGTTTGGACTTCCATTCTTGTACACGGTGGTGGAAGAAACATCGGGTGAGCCCTAAGTCAGTGCCGACAATTCACTACGTAAAGATGCTGGCAGGTCAGCGTCTTGGTTTTCCAGTATCTACATGGTATTTGTAATTTAAGTCTAGCTAGATCATGCATATGAATTATCGATTGATTGACTTGTCTTTCTTATTGTTGTTACTTAAACATGATTTCAATAGCTTCTAGGGTTTCCTGTGAAAGGGCCTTTTACCCACAGGACGGGATTTATCTAGTTTTTCCGAGCAACGCGCCTGCTTTCTATCCATTTGATCCAAGGTGGATTAAATGGAAGCTTTCCCCCTAACTCGCGTGCCTTTTCTCCTTTTTCCGCCATTTCGTTCAAAGTTTTCTCAGCAATCTTCATGGCTTCAACACCAGCTGGGACACCACAATAGGTAGTAGCGTGAATGATGGCTTCCCTGATTTCCAACTCGCTCAGCCCGTTGTTTCGGGCACCTCGGATGTGGACTGCAAGTTCGGGCCCGCGGTTCAGGGCCATCAGCATGCCAATATTGAGAAGACTGCGATCGCGTTTCTCAAGTCCAGGCCTTGTCCAGGCATAACCCCAGCACCACTCTGTCACGAGTTCTTGCCCAGCGCGAGAGAACTCCGTCGAGCCGTTAGTGAGGGCTCGGTCGACATATTGATCCCCCACAACCGCACGCCGGACCTTAAGGCCTTCGTTGAACAATTCCTTGTGGAGGTCTTGGAATCGGGGCTCGGTAGACATCTCGGTTTTTGTTCGATTTGATGTAACTCTTTGATTGAGATCGAGATTCAGTTCCAGGGCCGGAAATAGATTGAGAAGTAGGCTTTTTTTTATTGTTAAAGTGAAGGGAAGACCTATAAAGCTAAGTAGTTGGAGCAAACACTAGTTATACTTACATATTATTTGCCCCTACGCCTCACAATATTAGGTGTGTGGTGGTGCTCGTCGGGGTTTTCACCGGATGACTACCCCACGGTCAGTTTTCCCCAACTAACCCCACTGGATATTTAGGGCGGGTGTGTGGATCATAGAACAAAAGGACTGTCTTCACATCTCACTTCCGAATTATTAGAGTTAAGAACTGGGGCAAAGTTGGGGAAAGTGCTCATCCGTCCGGACGTTGGTCTGTTTCTAGCCCAGTGATATCCAATCAGAGACACAGAGCGCCGCATTATATATTGGTGATTCACTGTGAATTTTCTCAAAATTGGCCAACAGGTTAAAGATCATAATCAAAAGCCTGCCTATGTGCGTTCTACGAGGCCAGCTCATCGACTATGAATGATACAACTACAGCATCTAAAACAGCAGAAATCGTGATACGAACATAAACACCTTGTATGTCACGTCACAGGCAGTACTATCTAGCAAGCAATAAAATATATGCGCTCTTTAAAAAATTTTCACGGCTCATAGATGTCTAAGATTTCACGACCGGATGTCGGCATCGATTCTAGATCAACCACGACCGGCCAACTCTTCAAGAATGGGGGCTGCAGCATGGGCAGTATGAACGCTTAACTGAGTAGCAATCTCCAAAACCTCGAGGATTTCCTCCGGGGTTCCACCATACTTAAGCACATTCACCATATGAAGACGAAGGCCCTTGACATAAAGATGAGTCGCAGCCGCATCGAAGGCGCAATATATCATCTCCTTGACCTAGAACTGCTGTCAGTATTGTGAAGTATAAACACATAACCCGCACAAAAGGTAGCAATCGTACCTTAGGCTCCAACCCACCACGGGTCCCATCCATGTCTTTCTCCCATGGCACCGAGGAGAAAGCGAGGTAAGCTTCAAAGAATTCCGGGTCCAAAGCAAGGAACTCCTCCCACGTTGGATGCCAATAGCCACGCTTTTTCGTGAAATCGACCTTCAACGCTTCGCGCTGTGGATCAAGCGGTTTCCCTGCGTAGGGATGGTTGTCGTATATTCCCGCCTCTTTCATAACGTCCACAAGCAATGGCACACCAACGTTGCATGCATGAATTCCTAGCGTACTAGTGAGTTCAATCACTTCCATCACTTCTCTCTTTGTGGCGCCCGCTTCCAACGCCAACTTAATGTGTTGTCGAATCCCAGGAAGGTAAAGGTGAGTTGAAGAACTGTCCACAGCGATGGCGATGAGCTGCTGTACCTTCGGCGAAAGGTGTCTCTTTTGTTTGGGCACAGCTAGTAGATCGATGCTGGCATTGAAGAACTCTGGACTGAGACGTTGTATCGCCTCCCAATTGGAATCCCAGGAGTCCTCCCCGAGCGTGCTAATAAATTTCTCGCGGCTCAATTTGTCGCTCATTTTGTTTTCTGATCTTGTATTCGACAAAGGGGTTAGAATTTCTCCGCGTCGGCCAACATGCCGCCAGTTACGATTAATATCAACTTGTGCCAACCCCACTTTGGGGACAAGCGATGGGGAAAGACGTGGGGTGCTGTGGGGGAAGACTTCACCCGACCAAATAGTGCCAACACCTACCAGTATCAGTGAGCTCTAGAGTATTGTAAATTTTCAAAGTCATAGGCGAATAAATTCCCATTCTTCGAAGTTAGCATTTCCTAGTGGGTAAAGCTAATATAGAGCAAATTGGTTTGAATTGGCAAGTTGCCCAGAAATAGCCTTGAGCAAAACTATACAGCCTAAAAGATAGCAATGGCACCAGGGGGAGATCCGATACCTCCCTTAATATGCAATGGGGCACTGGTGAGAAAGAAGCTCCATTTTCCCAGACTTGCACATTTACGGCTGAGTTGTTCCAAATCCCAAAGCTCCCCAATCGGTGTGCCCCATTGGCAAAGTAACCACTCATGTAAACAACAGGCTTCAGGATATGGCCACGACTCAAAGCTCAAAGTGTCACTTGCCACTGCGGAAAAATGCTTATCATACAGCCAGTGCACAGTCTCGATCGTGTTTGCAACTCCAATTGCACAGTTCTGCTCCTGCGTACCGTGACGACGAGTGGCGGTATCGGCTTGCCTGTATCGCATTAATCGGCGATAATCTATGAGTGAGATAAATTTAGATCACTTACTCATACCATCTCACATAGCCCGTACGGATTATGAAAATGTCCCCCTGCTTCGTTTCTGTACCTTGCCACTTAAGAACTTGTTCGATCTCCGAAACAGAGATTGCATAACTCTGGATGGGCGACGGGGGCGTTTTGCCGGAGTTGTGAATTTCCCACCACCTAAGCTGGTTCATAATTAGTAAGGCAGTCGATTTGAATCGCAAGTGCTTTCAACAGATAGCATACCCAATCCACCAATATTCCCCGACCGACAATTCCTCCTCGATCACAAATATCTAAACAGCGGATGTCAGTTCATCACAATTCTGCTGGACAGGCAAGGAAATGGCATTAAACAAACTGTGAATTCCGTTTCTCGGACTCTCCAATGCCTCCTTCATGTCAAGCCCATTATAAAACAGGCCTTGCTTCTGGATACTCCACTGTATATAGGAAAAACCGTCAGCATGCTCTCCCCTATTGGTTGTATGTGAAAGAAGCCGTCAAACGCACATGTTTCAAGCTATCCCATTGCGAACTTATTTGTGTGTTCATAAATATCTCATCATCGAGCCCTTCAAACCCCTCGGGCCTCATATCCTTCACGCTATGGGTAGTCTTTTGGCGGCCAAGGCCTGGGAACTCTAGCCTGTCCAGGGGCCAGTCCAGTTGCACATGATACCCTAACTGTATTTCCTCGGATGTCTCCCGCACAACAGATGGCGTCAAAATATTCAGAGCTAAGTGATATTAGAACCATAGAATTACCAAGGAAGCAGGATACCGGAGGTCAAATTACTTCCAAGTTCATCCTTCTTTCCGTCCTTGTCGAAGAAATTCCACAAGGAGCCTTGAGGCTGACCTGGAACGGGCGGTAATTCATCGAATGATGGGAACACAATGCGATCAGAATTATAGTTATCGTGAAGGGTTGAAGTCATGATCGATAAATTTCATCTCTTTGTTGGAGGATAGTTATGTTGTGTCTCACGATCTTTGTATCGGTTGTGATCAAGAGTTGAAAAATGTTTGAATGAGTAGCGTGGAAATATATTCCCTTCAAATCTGCAGCATATTCTCTCTCGGGGAAATCAAGAACCTGGATATTATTAGATATTATTAGATACCTCAGTAAATGACTCCACGTCGGGGTAAGGATGTGGGGAGATGAATTGTCCCAAGACAAAATTCCAACGACTACGGAGTATGAAGTTAATGAAAACGCTTCTCTAAAACCAAACTCTGTATTTTAATTGCTTTTGAGGCAAAAAAATGAATGAATATTCGGGCAATATTAACTATTCACTAGGGGGATAGATTCGCCAAACTCATCAATAATGAGCTTGCCCTCTGCCCCTGCATGCTGTTGCTCAACAAGCTCATTAAGCTGATGTAGAGGAAATGATTTTGTAACACTTTTCACTCCATGCGTACTTGCGAACCCCAACATCTCGCACAGTAGTTTGTTGCTGCCGACGAGACTGCCAATGATAGACACATGTCTAAAGACAACGTCCTGCGTAGAGAACGTAAATCCTTTTTTGGGGAATGATACCACAACGCATCTGCCCCAATTCTTTAGCAGTCCCATCCCGTAGTCAAAAGCTTGTTGAGATTCAGGGAGAATGATGGCTGCATCAACTCCCATTTGCCCCCGCTCAGAGACACGATCTTCTTTCCCTATCTCATGGACCAAATCAGCAGCGTTGACCTCGGCTGCGTTCGAAATTTTGGATGTTTTGGCCACTTGGCGAGCAAGATCCAATGCGCGTTTTGATGTATCGATGCCGAGAACCTTTAATCCCATCCGCTCCGCAAATTGGATCCCCAGATGGCCCAGTCCTCCCCCACAGCCAATAATGGCAACCCGCTGCCCATGCTTTAACTCACAGTTCCGCAGCGCAGAATATATGGTTAATCCTGCACACATCAGTGGTGCAGCTTCCTGTGCACTCATACCGATTGGGAGCGGTGCGATTTGACGTGAATCCACAAGGGCATACTGCGCGAAGCCACCGGCGACGCTCAAGCCAAGGTTTTTCGCATTCGGGCAATAGACCGAATAACCGCTGTTGTCACCCGGCTGGCCATGGTTCGTGGTTTCTCGTTTGCATTCAAAGCAGGTTCCGCATGGATGGAATGCACGACCGGGCACACCCACGCGGTCACCAATTTGAAATCGCGGTATTGAGGGACCACCTTTGAATTCTAGTTGGGGTACTTGTGCAACCGCCCCTGCAAATTCGTGACAGCCGATGTGAGGCCATTGAGTTGGGCCATTTGCGTGGCCTTCAAAGCCGCCTGCAGCGCAAACTGCATCGGTGTGGCAGTATGAAGCAGCCTCCACCTTTATCAGAAGGTCGAACGGAGATGTCAACTTCGGCAAAGGCACTTCTGTCAAAACATAAGGCTCATTGTAGGCATTGAGAACCTGTGCCTTCATGGTTGATGGGAGAGAGGACATATCGACTGGCGCTTTTATTAAAATGGTGGAATCGATAGCCTGGGCACTCAGCTTGATAGATATATGAATAAAAAAGGTTTTGGCCGAAAGCTTACTAAGTATTGAAGAAAGTTGATGTCAATAAGTAGGACACCAGTTCCGAGTAGCGCGTTTCTCCGCATTACAACCTCCCCACATAGATATAGTAGTCGCTTTCAATCGGGGTACGTTAAATATGATATTTGGGGTAACTGGCCATTTTTATATTCGTTTTACTTATGTTATGATCTTGATTCCACTGCCTGTGGGAAGTTGAAGAAAACTATATAAAATTACAAAATCGAATATAGCGAAGTAGATAAGTGTTGAAATTGTAAACGGCGGACCTGTGAATTACTAGATCCAGTTCGTTTTGGCTTTTTTGGGTTTAGCGCCCCAATACACTGTCACGTAACCTACCTTTAATGCCGCCGACATAAAAGACCCGTCTTCGCTGTTCTTCCTCCCCCTCTCTCACTTTTTCATTCTTCCTACCCCTCTATCTTGCACTCATCGCCGCCAGCTTTCTTTTACTCTGGCCCCCACCGACTACTGCGCATTTGCTTTCAGCCTGACGCACTGCCCCTTTCATTTTTACAGGAGATGCCGCTCGATCCGACATCCAGCTTGCAATGCCCATCACCCAGAAGCGTAACCACTGGGATGATACAGCATACAGTTCTTTCGTATATCGAATTGATTCGCTAGAACTCTGCGCTACAAAATAAACCGCGTCTGAGGTGTGACTATGATCTTTTCTAGCGGTAGATTACTTCAAGGGAGATGAAAAATAGCCCAGCGAGATCGGGGAGTTGTAAAGTAGAAGTAAATTTTAATTGAGTTCCATCGGGATGCTTGCCTCTAGCGTCGCCGTTGAATACACGTGAATTTTCGTCTATTTCCATCCCAAAGAAGCCATGCGCGGACCGTCTGGATGATGCACCTATGGGCCAGGGGGAAAATATTAGATTGTTCTCAAGTGAGGGCAGCAAGGAGTGGGATAATATCGCAATACCTTGTCGACTTCTTTCCTTCTCGCCTAGAGGAGCGAGACCCGGGGAATGGTTCTATAATCAAAGCCAAGTGGTCAGCTAAAAGATGATTTCTTAAGAATTTTTGGATCACAACTCACCTTATCTTGCAAAGAGAGGGCCATATCCTCCGTATAGTGTTGAGAAGTGAGGGGAGGGCCACCTTGAGAAAGTTCTTCGTTCTTGTTTTTATCCATTTCCAGCAACGAGAGATAAAGGAGATCGAGAAAGGATTGCAAGTGAAATAGTTACAGAGTGGACGATGTTATATTTATACCTTACGTTCCTTGCTATGAGATCAATCAAGCCAGTTTCAAGATGAATAAGACTGAAGGGACAGGCAAGTCCTGCAGCAAGCCGTGAAAAATCCAAGCCCAGCCATTCCGAAAATGGTCATTTACAGTACGTAATGAAATGGATAAAAACTTCCGCCCTTTAATTCATCTAGTAATGGAACTCGCAGCTGGTGGAAGAGAAAGCCATGGCCTCAAATCCTAAAAAGGCAATATGGCGAGGTCTAGAAGCCATCGCTTGGCCCCATCACTTTGTCCCGCTAGGCCAAGGCTAGCGGGCTTTTGCCAGACGCCTATACGAGGCTGTTCTTAAGCTAAATGTTAGGCTGATGCACTTTTCCTCTCCTTCTTTCCCAGCTGTTTGCTATCTGGACGATTTGCTCATGTCAATCGTCCCCTCTTGTAGATAATATAATGTTCGGATACGAGTGTCTGTACTCCAAAAGTCCCCGCTCCTTCCTCTTCTCCGTTGTCGCCAATGTCGGCCCCCACGGAGCCAGCCGCTCTCTGGCCGTGGCCTACCGGCAGGGCAACGATAAGGACATCTCAGCATCATCTTCGGAACGTGTTGAGAATGTTGTGGCAGACATCCTTGCGCTGATCAAAATATTCTCAGATTCCGCGAACCGCGCGCCACTTGAGGCGGAGAGGGCACTCGCGGAGGGCTGGTATGGTCGGTCTCAGGGTGACAACGAGGCTGAGAGTAATGAGCGGCCTAGCATTCCAGACAGGCCGCAGCCTCCTTTCGTTATACCTGATGGCTCCCAGGAGGAAGAGCAGTCGCAAATACAGCCCGAGCTGCCATGGCATGATGATGGGCTCAGCGAGTTTCCCTTTACAACGACCTGCCTTTTGCTGGCATTATTAGGCAACGATAGCGATTCTAATACCACTAATAGAATCAGCACGCGCCCCGGCGACGTTCAGCTCCAGCCGTTATCCACTTTGTTCCGTGCTGACTGCCTCGAGTATGGCCTTGTCGTTCTCGACATCTCCGACCTTGACAGCGGCGTCAAGTACGGCATCGTTGGTTTCCCCGTGCGTTATATGGCCGAAGTCTCCTATTGGTGTGAGACTGGTGGCTGGGATCCAGTTGAAGACCCCCGCCTGAGAAGGAGCCTGACACTGTACTTGCCAGCCCGCGGCCTCGAGTGCCGTTGGCTATTTCTCCGTGGCTACGCAAGTACTTTTACCACATGAACCTGGAAGAGGACCCCAGGTTCCTGATACTGAAGAATACGCCGATTGTTTATGCTGCAGCCTTAGACTGTAAGTCTGTTTCCTCGCCACCTTACTATCTCTAGTATCAAGATGATGTGCATGAGCTGACTTGGTAATGGTAGACATCTGGCCCCCGGAGCTTGCTAGAGGCGAAGATCAGGCTGGAGAATCTTCGCCAGGTGCCATCTCAAGCATCTCAAATTGTCTGTAGATCACTCGTGCTTCCCTAGTTTTACACATACTTACGGCATTTACTGACTTATGCAAAAGACTTTTGGCCTTCAAAGTCCACCACCAGCGCTAAAGATGCATCGACCACAACACCCTCGCGCTTGACTACGTCAAACGAGCCGCCGCGAAATGCGCACATGGACCGCGCTATCGATAATCTGCTGATTCTCACACAGGATCCCGCCGATCTTCACCTCGATGAGGAGACAATCGACAAATTTCAAAAGCTTGCCAAATTCCGCGAGCAGCTGCGGCGGCGGCTCGAAGAGGTGCCCCATAGCCTGGGACCGTCCTCCGAGGCCTCGGGCCATATTCTGCGCGTTGCATACGCCGGACAAACGCACCTTAACTGGGTTGCGTTTAGGAACCTCGCGCCCGCCGTGATCGCTGCCGCGATTGTATCTGAAGAACTTCGAAGCGCGTCTGCGCTCAGTCTCTGCGTCGATAAGTTCAAGGTGGAGGGAGACGAGGGAGACCTTAGTGATCTAGCAGCGGCTCTAGCGCAGTCTAAGACCCTCAAACAGCTCTGTTTTGTCCAAGGACCGGACAGGCACAGCGATGACGCCTCTGCTCGTTTTTTCACGCAGTTGCTGCTGGGGGGAGGTCATCAGGAGGTTCATCAGCAGACTTGGCGTGGCTCCGCGACAGAATCATCTATCCGACTTACGCCTTTTCGACATCCTTGCGCAGCCGTAAATTCACATCGCCCTCGACTACTATTTTCACTCGCCCTTCCCCCGTTGCCCAAATATTTCCTGTGATGCACATGCTCACGCTTGTGGGTCATCAGCGCGAAGATGCCGCAGACGCAGACCACCAGAACAGTCACTATTACGACATGGGCAACACCCTTCTAGACCCCGAGCGCTTTGCCGTCCGATTTCTATCATACCTCCGTTCCGTGGGTTCGGGTTCTGACAAGGCCATCTTGCGATTCGCATGCGGGGAAGTCTCCTCGTCACTCACCACCACCAACGACGACAAGTCGTCGCCACCATCTGTATCACCAGGACGGTTCGCTGTGAGCCCCATTCCCACTGAATTCTTTGGCAGCAACCTCGCAGCAAGTGGTGAATCAAGAGTCGGAGCCAGAGATATACACCCTGGCAGCTGGATGCTCCTTCTGAATCAACAAGGCAGTATTTCGAGTGACGACGATGATATCTTACTACAATACTCATTTGTCAGAACTCGTCCAATCTCTGCCGAGATTGCACACGAGCAACAACAACAACAAATACCCGGTTTTGACTCTAGTCTTGTCGAGGTAGTTGGCGGGCTAATAGAGTTCCTGCGCGAGACGGTGCCAGGGATAGACGTTTCGAAGTACGAGAAAAGGGTCGAGAGAGTAGAGGAGGACCTCCGCACGCAGCGGGCTTCCATGAAATCGAGGAAAAGCCGTGTCCGTATCGGCGTCATGCATGAGAGCGGTGCCCGTAAATTGCTTACTCAGTTTCTGTGATATCCAGGTGGATCTGACTGTTCCAGTACACTTCAATATTGAATAGTAACAAGTCCTTTCACTTCTTATAGACCGAACAAACATCCTAGAAATCATAGCCGGTGAATGTGGGCTCTATATAATTTGTATGTCAGTCAATCATCACTGTTGTTTACTCGTATGTTCAGTAATCTTCACCTGAGGATAGCTTTTGTGTGGGTTACTTTAGTATGTCCTGCCGAAACAAATGGTACTTGGTCACTAAGAAATTGCAAGGTGTGGAGGGATTCATAGGGTGGTAATAGGACCATCGATGACATATTATTCCTGAATTAGGTTTGATTGATATAACTACCTAGGCGCTGTAGAGCCCTTCGGCTTCAGAAGGGCTAGGTACTTTGCTCTACCCATCCCTAGGGATCACACCACCTACATGACGACAATGACGCTTGGCTCCATTCCTTCTTCCAAGGAGACACCTTACGAACCAAGTACTTTAAAACCTAATTCTGAGCAACAAGAAAGACCTCATCACCAAAGTCATACTATGACTAAAAGTGCTGGGCGGGTGCAGAATAGTGGTGTTACAGGGCAGTGGGCGGTCAAGGGGCGGCTGGACATCCCAAGTTACGGGTGGAAAGGCAGCCGTTTCTGGCCTTAAAAGCGGTCATTTTCGGCGTCAATCCCACAGGTCCTCATATTCTAGTTGTAAAATATTGGCTAATCAACAGTAAGTCTCAATCTCTGTGCTGGCTAAATCATATTGAAACACAACTTCATGCTGCCCAGAGAAAGATGCGAAGATAAAACAAAACAAAACAAAACCGTGACCCTGCTTAACTTCATTGTTGTTGAACAAGCAATCAATGTCTTCTGCATCCCGTGAATCTTTTTTGGAGTCACCAAGCACATTGCTAACCGCATGGAATAGTACGAGGCTTCAAAATCACATTCATATCGTGCTGAAATGCAAACCATACACTGGTGATGCGCCATGGAACCTCTAGGTTGACCAATTCCACGTCAAAGTTTCTCAGCAATTGTGCGATGAATTTGTGAATCTCGACCTAGAAGTCATATCATACCCTGTGAGAATTGAACCACCAACGGAAAACATGTTTTAGATCTCTTACCAGGGCGATATTGCGGCCAATACACATTCGTGGTCCATTTCCACCAAATGTCATATTTGCAACCTCGTACCTTCTCGCCATTTGCTCATCTTCAAGCCACCGCTCCGGGCGGAAGATATCAGCATCCGCGCCCCAAATGGCCTGGTCGCGATTCTGCGCAATAGGGCTGACTCCTACTGGGGTTCCGGGCGGGATGGATTTGCCGTCAATCATGAGGCCTTGCTCTGGTACATGTCGAAGTAGCTGGTAGACAATGGACGGGAGAAGGCGAGTTGCTTCTTTCACGACAGCGCAAAGGTACGGTAGCTTCAGTGTATCGGTGTACGTAATGGGTGATGTGAGGGTATTGTCTTTGTAGTAAGTGTCAATTTCCTCCTGCAATCTTGCGTAACGCTCAGGATTCAAGCATATGTAGTGAAGTGTTGATCGCATTCCAATCGACGTTGTGTCCGCTCCGGCTCCACTAGCCAAAATAATTCGTCAGTATTGGCTCCAATTCTCTTTCTGGGTTGGAGATCTTACACGATATTCAGAGTCTCCATGAGAATCTCCCCATGGGAGGCAGGGGCGCCGTCAGGGCCCTTCATGTTTATGAAATGATACAGCATATCCTTTCGCTCAGAGATATTTTTTCCTTCCTGTCTCTTTCGAACTTGCTCACTGCTCCACCTCTGGAAGTGAACAGGACCATCAGCCAGCCCTAGAAATCTTCTGATAGAAGATGCGAAGGGGTTTTGGAGCAGGCTTATTTGGCCAGGGAAGTGACCCAGGTTGGACCCCCATTGAAAATATTGATAGATCGATGAGCGAATATTCAAGGTATCGGTCCCAGATTCCAGCTGTCCTAGAGGTGAGCCGTAGGCTAACTCACCCACAACGTCAAAGGCGAGCATATTTGTCCACTCAGACATGTTCACTGGCTTACCCAACCCTACATGCTTCTGCATTTGGATCATGAAAAGGTCTAGACAACTCTGGATATATTGTTCAAACTTCAGGATTGAAGTCATGGAGTACGCGCCGGAAAGCCTCTTGCGAAGAAAGGCGTGTTCTTTGTTGTCCTGTGTGGAAAAAACATTTGCACCAGCGTTTCGCACATCCCAGACTGAATACCACTTTGTTTTTTTTGCATGGTGTCCATGACTGTACAGTTGCTTGATTGCCTCTGCATCGACAAGACTAAGCTCATTTGGGGCGATGCGTACAGCGCGACCATAAGTGTTATGTAGTTTGAGGATGTCATCGTGCCAAGTACCACGCCAGTAATGGTAGCTTCTCCAAAGTCCAGTAAACTTCGCCAGGACTGGCCCGGGAAACCTTGCCAAGGGACTCAAAAACGCTTGGTAGAATACATAGGAACATATGGCGATCACCACCAGATTGGTCGCATTCAATATGACTGCTGGTGAGACTTTTGAAAAAGAAACATAAATGATATGAGAGTTTTGAAAGGCGTCAAATATCCGAGCAGTAAGACCCATGACTGAAAGTTTGACACGTAGTCGAAGTACTCCCGGAAACCATTTCTATGCAGTCATTCCTATAAATACAAAGGCCTGACTATCACAAACCTATTCCCCAGAACCAATTTCCCCATATTCAGGAAGATCCTGGAGTGTGGGGAAATGTGGCGCCTCAGTCTCCCCCACTTCCTTTCTGAGGTGTTGTCGGAGCATACAGACCGGCATACCGGGGATTTAATTAATCCAGGTTGTGCAGTAATTTTGAATTAGTAATCCGTAATCCATATAAATTGCTAGGAAAAGGGATACTGAAATACAGAGATTTTAACACCATTGATTGGACCCATACATTTTAGGATACCAGTGTATTCGACAGTTATGAGCCCGGTTCGCACCCAGTAAGGCCACGATCACCAAAGTATAGGGCCGAACACCCCCCAAAGCTATCCCTAATAGCCCCTGAAGCGGTATAGCAACCCCTGAAGCTATCCCTATAGCACCCAGCGCTGTATGGCAACCCTGAATCTATCAATGGAAGTAGCATCAATTCTCTCCGCCATGAAGGGCGATAAACTAAAGGACTCGCCGCAGTGGCTCACTTGGTATGCTCGGGTGCAGCTATATGCGATATAGAAGAATGTTTGGGACCACTGTGATCCTAATACCTCCCCCACTGTGAGGCCGGAAGCTCTGAAAGAGCCAATTGAACCGGAATACCTAGAGGATGGGAGTGAAACTGATCGGAGATATTGGAGAGATCGTATGGATATATACAAATTGAGATATGCTCGATGGGAGAAATAGGCGAAAGGACTGAGCGATGTAAATGAATATATCCTCACCTACCTGGATTTAATGCACCATCTCAATCTGATAGGATATCATACACCGTATGATAGACTAGTATACCTGAAATCTCGCTTTGCTCGGTCGACGGCGTATGAGGAGGAGGTTCGAATGAAATGGAAGGTCTTCGCTATGCAAAAACCGACGGGGGATATTGAGCTGTGGCTATAGTAGTGGAATTCCCTAAGAGAGCAAGCGATCAGCCTTGGTATTAACGTTGGAGATGCCAATAGGGACTTCCTACACGTAGTGAAAGAAGTGCTTCCTATCTGGTGGTAGGGTAAATACCAAGAGATTGTCATCGATAAGAAGGTGTACGATACCCGAGATCTTATCGAATCTTTTCGCGCAATAAATAGAGAAATAGGGGTGCTAAAGGTATTATTAACCTCGCCCCCGAAGAGCGCCTTTTCCACTTGGCAAGGGCACCCAGAAGCTAAGCCTGAAGCTAAACCCTAGGCTTTATAGGCTTCATAAGAGAACCTACCCTTCGAAAAGAGGAAATGCCCCTATGGTAACACCTATCCTAAGCATAGGGTCACCGAATGCTGGGTTTTAAACGAGGAAATTCGACCGGAAGGGCTGAAAATCAGCGAGAGGAAGCTAGAGAAAGCAACCTAGGTGTTAGTAAAGAACCAGGCCTGGAAGAAATGGGTGGAGAAAACCATAGCAGAGTCAAATTAGCTAAGGCAAGCCGAATCCGCCAACCAAGTCAGCTTTGCGACCACCGTCCAGCACCAAAAGGATAAGCAGCAAGGTGCGGATCAGAAGAAGCAAGAAGTGATTAGCCAGCGTGCCCTATCCCTTGCTAAGGAAAGCGATCCTATCCTAAAGAACCGCTGGATTTTAGATACCGGTTCTAGCTCCTATGTGTGCAATAATCGAGATCTCTTCGTCCAATATACCCTAAAAACCACCTACCTCACCACTGGAGATAGCACCACCGAAGTGCTAGGGAAGGGTACGGTTAAATTGGTGGGAAGACACCTAGTGAAAGGGAGAATGGAGATCACCCTAAGCGATGCACTGTATTCGCTAGGATTCCATATAAACCTAGTATCGTACTCGATGCTGATGAAGAAAGGGGGGATATGGTGCTAACGTATAAACTATATCCGGGACCCCAACGATAGGCCAGTCGTCTGTGTGAACCTATGGGATCAATTTAACCTTTGGATATTCGACGAACCCGGGGAAGCACCGCCTTAGCAAGCCTATTTCACACAGAGGAAGTTAGTGGAACCCCTAGAAATAAAGGTATCAAGCGAGCTATGGCACCGGCGATTAGGCCATATTAATCGTAAGAGGATGAAGAAATTCACCACTATGGTGGAAGGGGTTGTCCTCGATGATGAAGAGAAGAAGTCCACCGAGTAAGAATCCCTATGTCAAACCTGCCACTTAGGGCGAGCACCTAAGTAGATATCAAGACTGTTACGGAACTAGCCTAGTTGTGCAACTTAGACGGGTTTTAAGAACAAGAAGGTTTCGTTGAGGAGAGGAGTTCTCCTGAGCTAACAAATGTGTACATATTCCGTCGAAGGCGGTAACGTTTGGCAGATTCCGCGCAGCATAAGCAAGCATCTTCCATAGGGCTTCGTACGAAGTACGACGGCCCCATAACAATACCCCCCTCCCCTAGGACAATGACTGTTTGCTTCAATAGACGCCAGATTAGGAATCAATGGGAGAAGCAAACAAAATCGTGGCCTATGATTGGCCGAATAGGGCAAACGTGTTCGACGACGTCGTTGCTTTGTAGCATGTGGGCTGTAGTTGGAAGGCATAAATAGGTCCTCAATTCCCTTCTTCTTCTTCTTTTTTTTATTTTTTATTCGCAGTCTCCAAACCTCCTGTCAACCATGGAGTCGTCTAACTTCAATCTTCTGTCGTACGACCCGCGTCAAGTCGAACCCTCCTCCCGGCGTATGCTCCTGCCCCTGACTCGCATTGAGCACGGAGGGAAGCAGTATGTCAAGGTCCGTCTGACTGCTGCGGGAAACGAAGCCCTTCGAATGCTGTGCTTCACTCCAGTGCAGCGGGAAGTGTGGAGCTGGCCCTCTCCCTCCGCCCTCTGTTGTAGAGGAGCTCATTGACTAGACCGTACGAGGCTTAGCACTTTTCATAGACGCAATCAACACACAATATCGAGGTTTCTAGACTCAGTTAGCACTAGCACGAAGCGTAGTAGCTAGCCTTATCAAGGGACCCATCGATCTTTCTAAACGGTGCGGTCTTCTGTAGCCACACGTCTAACGCTATTGTGTCCTTGAGTGCGTCCGCTGGCTCTGTGGTTGGTCTCGTGTAGCCTCTCCACTTAACCTTGTAGCTCGTACGAGCGTTGTTCCTCCTGCGTGTTTGTGTCTCATCTATAATTTCTTCGATCTCCCACTCTTCTTGGTCGTCGACTATGATTGCTGGTGGTTGCGGTTCGTGTGCCAGTTGGGACGGAAGGGGGTCTTGTGTCGCGAGTCGTACGAGGTTAACATGGAATACTGGGTGAATGCCGGGTGGCGTATCCAGTCGTACTGCGTGGGAACCAATAACTTCCTGAACCCTATATTTTGCGTTCTTCCAGTCGAGCTTCTTGCAGGGTCGTTCGGTCTGTATATTTTTCAGGTTTAACCAAACAGCGTCTCCGACTTGGAAGGTAGGCGCCGGTTGTCGGTGCCGGTTAGCGTTTGCTTCCATCTGTTGGTTGGCGTAGGCTATCGATGCACGTGCCCAGTCCATAGCTCCAGCTAGCTTTCGTACGATCGTTTCTGCCTTTTGGATTGGGCTTGGTTCTGGCGTGGTAATGGTGCTGTTTATACGCGGTTCCTCGATTGGTGGGTCAAATGGAGAGAGGTTATAACCGTGGGTTAGGAAGAAAGGGCTTACGCCGGTTGCTGCGGAGACTCGTCCATTTAACGCAAGTTCGGCCATTGGGAGTAGGCGTTTCCAGTCGTTCTGTTCAAATCGTACGAAGAGGCGTAGGTACACTTCTAACGTGCTATTGTGTCGTTCGGTCTGTCCATCGGTCTCGGGGTGGTAGGCCGTCGACAGCCGTCGTATAACCTTACATAGCTGGCAGATCCGTTCCCATAGGAGGCTTGTGAATTGGGTTCCTCGGTCCGAGACGATCGAGTTTGGGAATCCGTGTTGTCGTACGAGGCTGTCAATGATTGCCCATGCGGAGTCTTCGGCCGAAATTGACTTCATCGGCCTTAGGATCACTCCCTTTGTCAGCCGATCTGTGATTACCAAGATGTTCGTACGGCTGTCGCTTGGTGGTAAATCGGTGATGAAGTCGAGGGCCACGTCTCGCCATGGTTGTTCTGGCACCGGGAGCGGCTTTAGGAGGCCTCGCTTCAGCTCTCGCCATGGTTTCGCCCCGTTACATAGGTCACAGTTCCGTACGAATCTCCGGATGTCGATCGACATATTCGGCCAGAAGTACTCGCGGCTAACCACTGTATAGGTCTCCTCCCTCCCTGGGTGTCCGGTGAGTCGAGAGTCGTGTGCGGTCTGAATGATTTTCGTACGAAGGGGCTCAGAGTTAGGGACCCATAACCTTCCGCGGAAGCGAAGTTTCTGGGCTTGGTCGATTGTGCATTCGGAAGTTGAGACTTTTAGCTTTAGTTCTGGTGGGAACTTCCGTAGGCCCTGTTGTAGTGTCCGTATAGCGCCCTGGTACTCGTCATCCCCATCTCTCGCTAGCTCCCAGTCTTGTTCGTCAGGGGTTTGCTGTGCGGTCGTGGCATGGATATTCACAGTAGCCTTATCGTCTCCTATCTGCGTTAGGAGACACTTCGTACGATCTGCGATTCTTGGGTCTTCCTCGGTTGGGTTGTCTTGGTCTCGTCGTGATAGGGCGTCCGCTCGGGCGTTGTCTGTACCGGGGCGATATTGGAAGTCGAAGTTGAACCTACTTAAGAAGAGTGACCACCGCATATGCCGTTCAGTGAGCTTCCTTGGTTTGAAGAAGTATTCTAGGTTCTTATGGTCGGTGATAACGAGGAATTTCCCTTGGACTGAACGTAGTTCTGCGTCCCATGCTTCTAGGCATCGTACGACAGCGAGCAGCTCCTTATCGTAGATCTCATAGTTACACTCGGCGGGAGCGTTTTTCTTGGAGAAGTAGGCGCATGGTCGTAGCACACCCTTATCATCGTACTGTGAGAGGACTCCTC